TATTACCTTGGTACCCCAGCCAACGGGACACATTTTCGATTCCTCTTCCACGAAGATAATGACGCCCGAGCGCCGATCGTGGTTGTGAGCCTCCGCAACATACAGCTTCTTTGATCTATTACATGCAGTGTTGCTTGCTTGCGTGCGTGCGTCGCTGCCAACGTTGTAGACCAATGCTGAATTTGTGAATTTAAAAAGTTTAGTTCGCTCTATTGAAGCAAACTTGTCGCCCCGAAGCACTGCCCCCGCTGATGTATTGCTTCCATTTGTTTTGTTGCATGCATTAGTCTCCTGCCAATCCCTGATCCCTTGTTCTTTGGCATCCCAGTCAAAAACTCCACAAGGAGACGTATCGATCGTCACGGGTCTCTTCCCATGGGTTCGCGAAGAAGGAGCCTATCATCTTCTCTGTCTGTGAGTGTTCTCAGTCTATGAACGATTCGATCAATATCGGCTCGATCGTGCTCATTCAGCAAAACCTTCAAGATTCTGTCGCGGTCCTCGAGTCGAGAGGCTTTCGCATCTAAAACCGTAGTTTGCTCGCAGTCCGCAAATGCATTGGGTCCCGTGATAATGGTGTGATCCGGGTACAGATTAAACGTTTTGGCGTACATCAGTTCGCAGACACACCAGATCCGACTATAGACATCCACTCTGGAATTGCGCACCACACAGAGTGCCGTTGCCGCCTCCAGTGCCACCACAAAGGGTGTATTCTCCAAGGGGAGATTCGAAGAGGTGCCCAGCTGCTGGCTGACCAAATGCTTCTTGTCCTCACCTCCTTGCAACAGAGCAAATGCACATACCCAAAGGTTTGGCTTTGTACATTGATACACCTCTTTGATTGCTTGAACAAAGTCCCCAAAATAACCGTCCCATGAATGTGAGGTAAATGCATTCACAAGAAGCCCATCCTTGTTGACACTGAGTGCATACGACTTGTTGGTTTTGTTGCAGATGGGTTCGATGATTACTTTGCACACATCTCTCATTGTTTTTGTGGGGTATTCTTCTTCTCCAAAGGTGGATTTTACCGTACTGTCCAGATCCAAGAGCTGTTGGTATGAAATACCACACATGTACGCCGGTATGGCGTCGCCTGGCGTTGGTTTGGATAGGTATTCCTCCACCACCACCGAAACATAGGGGTCACGATTGCGGCTGGGAAAATATGGCATCAACGCCAATTCCTTGGTCTCCAAAGACACAAAAGTCCCGAATGGCCATCGCGTAAATTCGAGCTCGTGGCTCAATCGAACCGTACAAGTCCGGATCAAGCCAGATATCTTGTCTCGTTCTACCAATTGAATATCAAAGAGAACCTTGAATGTTCCCCATCCAGTGTACTCATCGGATTGAAAGGAATTCTTGTCTTTTCGTTGTCTTTGCAAATCCACAATGGGCTCGGGGAACGTTTCGTGAAGATGCATGGTGGCTCGCACAATGGTGGTCTCCTGCCGGATGCTGTATGCAGTCTTGTTGAGTTCCAGGTAAACTCGCCACAACCACCTACCAGTGTCTCCTCCCTGGAGTTTGGATGTGTTGTGGATGTATACCTTGAGCTGGTTGTCATCCTCTGGTGGATCCATTGTCTTCTGATTTTATTTTTGGATACCCTGTCTACTTGCTTGAGATAGATGATGGTTTGATGGTTTGTTGTCTTCTGGTCAGTGGGGAGGATCTGTTGGAGACAACCGGTACCAGGTATGACTACGTGTACCGAAGTAAAGATCCATCGAATAATTAGAATGATTGAATTCAATCGAATCGAATAATTCGCACGGATCTTCGAAGAAGAACCCCTGTTTTGAAGAAGAGGGGCGAACTTTCAAAAAAGGGGTGAATGACGTACCCCTCCCTCCAACGACCAATCAAGATGACAAAACTTCAACAAGAACAATGCAAAGGCCACCATGAGCGATGAGAAAGCATAAATCCCAAGAACAGAATCCTATTTGCAGCCCTTTTAGTAACCCTGCGTAGACACAAACCCAAGCCTTTCCTCATCGTCACCTACATGAGCTCGGTACTATACTAGTCCGCCAAGCAAGCACTAAAGAAAGACAAATAAATATTATTCAGAATGATCTGCCGCCGAACAGTCCGATTTGCACTCTTGGCACTCCTGGCCATGGCCGTGGCCATGTGCTGCATGGATACCGCTCAGTTTGCCGCCGTTGCATCCGAAGAAGGAGAATGCGTGACCAATGAGGATGGAGAATGTATCAATCCGGATGCCGTTGCAGAGGAAGAAGCCGAGCCGGAACCAGCTGTGGAAGAAGAAGCTCCCGCCGAGCCAGAAGAACCGGCCGAACCTGCCGAAGAAGAGACGACAACCACCGATGAAGCACCCCCAGCAGAGGAAGAACCAGCTGCTGAGGAGGAAGTAGAGGCAGTTACCGATGAAGTAGCTGAAGAAACAACCGAGGAGGAGGAACCACCAGCTGCCGAGGAAGCTCCCGTAGAAGAGGAAGCTCCTGTAGAAGAGGAACCTGCAGTAGAGGAGGAAGCTCCTGTAGAAGAGGAAGCAGCACCCGTGGAGGAAGAAGCTGCTCCCGTGGAGGAAGAAGCTGCTCCTGTGGAGGAAGAACCAGTAGAAGAAGAGCCGGCACCCGTAGAGGAAGAAGCTCCAGTGGAAGAAGAACCAGCACCTGTGGAGGAAGAACCTGTTGTCGAAGAAGAGACCCCAGCAACAGAAGAGGCCACCCCCGAAACCACTGAAACGGCAACCGATGAGGAAGAAGAAAATACACCCAACTGCCCCTCTCGAAAGCTTGTTATCAAATGTGCTGGTGAATACTTGGATACCAACAAAAATGGCCTCCTGGAACGATCCGAACTCCAGACAGCCATCGACAAGCTGCCATGGTGGGGTCGTGGTATTTTGCAGATCCTGGGCAGCGTTGACAAAATGATGCAAAAGTGTGATGTCGACAAGGATGGTGCCATTGGCATGGGATATGATATGGAACACAACAAGGATCAATGTTTGGCCACTTGCTTCAAACGAAGAGCCTTCAAGGCGTCTTTTTTCCCAGACTGCGAAGCTTAATTAAAAAGCTACTGGCAGCACCGTTCCTTGTGGACGAGTACCCCTTGATCCTTTCGATCCAATGCCGGCAAAAATCGTGGGATAACCCCACATCCTATCTGTTTCTTTCGAGGCGTGGGTGGCACGGCCTCTTTTTGTGTTTCTTACATAGCAATGTACTTTCTGTCTCTGTTTTAAAAAATCATGCTATAACATGTGGTGTAGTCTATCCAAAGTTCAAGTTCAGAGGAGTGCTTCTACGTTCATAAATAAATGGTCCTCGTCGATTTTCGCAGGGAAAATGCCGGGAAATAACCCTGATCGTGCAGCCGACACAGAGAACTCAGAGACTCCTTTTGTGTACGGGGAAAAGACGAGCCAGCCAAAGTGCTTGAAGGTGGCATGAAATCAAACCAAAAAAGGTAACACGAAGCGGTGTTGAAAGGATCTGTTGGAAAGAGCCATGTGTCATTGATACACAGCTTTATCCAACTGTTCTGGTTCATGTAGGAGGAACATCATTCTCGTAATGACAATTTCTGCCGAAAGCTGTGTTCTCTCCTTCGCTCAATCCAGCAGTTCAATAGTGCACAAAGAATGATCATGATGACAAAACCCACCAACAGCAGCAATTGCATAGGTGAGCTTGCCTGAACGATTGGTAGTGGCCGTTTGGACTTTATGGGGGGGGTTAGGCATGAGCGCGGGGGAGGGAAAAGAAGAAGAAGAGGGAGAGGGTTAACCTTTGGATTCCGAATTCTGATTTTGAGAGCATGCAGGGCATGATCCAGTCTTCCAACGACACGAAAAGACATGACGACACCAACTACATACAATAAAGAGGGGGAAAAGGCAATGACCTTACGAAAAGAGTCATGGCCCCTGTCTGAGGAACACGGAATATGTCAGCAAATACGTCACATCTATCGTTTGTCTCACATTGCTTCGGTATTTGAATCTATTCAACGGCTACCGCTGGCTTGCTCTTTCTCTCTTTTCTGTTTCCTTGGCTCGAAACAAACCCTCCCATTTATTTTGAAAATCAGCCACCGAAACAACCACAAAACTCCACCACGTACTGGACAAGGTAAGAATGCTGCTGTTGTTGTTGTTGTTGTTGTTGTTGTTGTTGTTGTCGTTGTTATCCACAATCATGGCGACAATGGCATGCTACTAATCCTTCTATCCTTCCACTACCGCTGCTTCTTCCTCTACCGACGCTGCTTCTTCCTCTACCGATACCAATACCGACCGACGACCACCACTACTGCTGCGCTATTTTGCCTTGAATTCCTTCCTCTACCGATACAACAACAACTACTACTACTTGGTGGACTACTTTGTCTTGAAGTCAGCGCCTACGTGGGTAGGGGCAAGACTCTTGGCAACAACAACAACAACTACTTCCTCCTTCCTCTACCGACGGTCTTCCTGTACGGATACCACTACCGACGGACGTCAAGAACAACAACTCGACCATGAGGATCGCAACTACTTCTTCGGCCTTCTCCAAGTGGCTGCTAAGTGTCAACAGATACCCATTCAATGAGCTGAGGGCAACAAGGAATGGATTCACCTGCAAGTATGTCATTTGTGGGTACAACAGCGACGAGGAGGACAACTTCTGTTTGCCCACAACAAGCATGGAAGTGACAGTTCTTGAGGAGTTGATATTGCAAGGAGCAGGCAAGCCTCTTCCTCCTGATATGACAGGCATCATGGACTACATGTTTGAATGGGGACGCCAGGATAGTCCACAATGGTACCGTGCTGTTGTTGCTACCCTTTCTGAAATGCTGGAGGGTCCACATCCCTGTGAAAGGAGGGACATCTTTATGGAGTGCATCTATTGGTTAGCAAAGGATAGGATCACTGAGGAGTATGACTTGTCCTCCATTGAAGGCCAGATTTGCATGGATGCTTGGCATGGGTATTGCATCCAGTGGTACCAACCCAAATTTTCCTTCAAGGAATTTTGTATGATGAATCATGAGTTTGTGATGTTGTGCATGGAAGACCTTCAGTATAATGGAGGCCTGAGACCCCAATTGGCTATGTTTATTGATGGCAACAACCAACAAGGACTTTGAATGTAAGTTACTAATGGCTACATTAGAAAAGAGGTTTTCACATCTAATAATTTGTTCTTATTCATTATGTCGAATAACCATGGAATCTAGATTGGCAATTGGTATCATGTGGTGGTCTTCCTCTCCTGTGTGTCAACCAATGGCAGTATTTGTGACAGCAACCATTCGGTGGAGGTTGCTGGAAAGGAGCTGGCAGTATTGGTTGGAATTGCTGCTGCATTAAGGCAAGTTGCATCATTTGAATCTGGTGTTGTTGCTGATAGAGAATCAGGTTACCAATGTAAGAATTTCTTGTTTGTGCTACAGGAGGAGCTGCTTGTGGTGGTGGATGTTGGAGCTGTGGAACCGGTTGTGGTTGTGGTTGTGGTTGTGGAACCGGTTGTGGTTGTGGAACCGGTTGTGGTTGTGGAACCGGTTGTGGTTGTGGAACCGGTTGTGGTTGTGAAGCTTCAACTGGACTGGTGCACAATGTACACAAGCAACAATCATTTGGTGAGTACTTCTGCCTGTGAGGTTTGAATCCAACAATAAACTCAGAAAAGAATCTTTCTCCGGTATCCTGTGGCAGTGGCTCTGCATGAGGAAATGGTGCATCCAGACCAACAGCCTCTGCCATGTCATTTAGGTAAGCCAACTCTGAATGGTTCCAGTAAGGAACAACCTTCTCCCATCCAGCTGGAATTGACTTCCTTTCTGCCTCGCTGATTCTTGACAGGAAGGCTCTCTTGTGTCTAATCTTGAGGTTGTATCTTGCAGTTCCAGCCAAGTTGAGTGCATCAGCAAGGCTCCTTCTCATTCCACCATTGCCAAAATGGGCAAACTTGTCATGGAACGCTTCTAACTTGGATTCTCCTCTCCTTGATAGGTACTCTGGAAGCTTGTGCTTGGAATTGGGTGATGGCAGGATTGTGTCATACATGTCTTCCAGTGCCAGGGGATCAGCCAAGTGAGCAGCTTTCTCGACACAGTTCTCTACAGCTGGCTTGGTGTCTTGAGTAAACAAGGTATAGTTCTTGACTGGATCGAGTCGGCCCTGTCCTGGCTGGCTACCATCACTGCAGTCACCTTGTACTGCAGAACCACTGTTGCAACTTCTGTCTCATTGTCTCTGGTTCTCTCATCTTCTTCCTCAGATACTTGGAGTACCGATCTCTGAATACCTTGGAGGCTTGCATGTCGGAGATCTCAGCCATAGAGTAACACTTGCCATTGGTGGATAGTAGACCATGTTTCAGAGCATGCAGCAGCTTCTCATAGTCATCAGGTGAGTACACATACAGGCAATCCAAGAGGTCTGACATAGCTTGATAGTGATCAATGTGTCCCTTTCTCAAAGTTGACAGTATCCTCTTCTCATAATGAAACAGGCCTAGCCTTCCCTCGATTCCTGGAAAGAGTATCTCCCAGTAGTCATCTTGTGGGGCCAGTGTCGCTGTACATGGCAGCTGGTTGAAGTGGCTCCTCCTTGCTAGCTGCAGCAGCATGAGAGAAGTGGATTGTCTTGGTGGTGGGAACAAGAACAGCAGAGGCAATCTCTCCTGTTTCAGTGGCAGCATCCCAAACAGCACGGCACCAAGACTCTTGGAGTAGTTCTTGATCACCTGAAAGGTGTGATCTTGGCAGAAGATTCCTTTGTTGCACTTGACACTTTGGATCTCTCTTGTTGCCTTTGGTTGTCACTGATCCTCCACGGATTCTGTTTGAAGCACAGGCAGCATCATAGAGTCACGGATGGGTCACCAAGAGGAGGAAACTGTCGTATGTAAGTGTCATCCTTTGGAAGAAAGGGATCTGGATCAGTGTCGCTTCCCTCCCAATAGGAGTAGTATGACATCATGGCCCTAATGAACTCTCTGTTGATTGCATTGTAGATGAGCCGACTGCAGAGTTCTCCATTTCCATAGGTAACCATTATAGTGTCGAACACTTCTGTTGCACTCCTCTCCAAGTGACTAGCCTTGTTAGGTAGAGCGTACTTTGTCTCCACTGGATAGAGCAATGAAGCGTGGTCTGGGATCGAGAGAGCACTTCTGCAGAGTTGGCATCGAATCTTCTGTTGCAGCTTTCACAAACCATGGACATGACCATACACAAGAAGGAGGACCAGTGATGCCAAAGATGGGGAACAAGGTCTTGTTGTGTGACCAGTTTGTCCTTGTATTCTTGAGTTTGCCAGAGCATCTTCCATCGGGACAAGGAACTGTAATTCCACATCGATTCCAGTCCACTAGAAGGAGTTTCTGCCCAACAATGGAGTGGTAGTGAGGAGACTCGAATTGCTCCTCTGTGGAGGGAACTGTCATGGTGAGTCCTTGGAAGTGTTGTCTGAATAGCTCCTGATTCTTTGTCCTGTAATGGATTCTGACACTGCTTCTGCCATTGCTAGCATTGCCAGTGGTGCTCCTTTCGTCTTGTGCTTTTCCACAAAGGCACTATCATTTACAAGAGTGGTTACCTTTTGACAAAGAGCCACTGGAGTGGCCATTGCTGCCTTTTGTTGCTGTTGCCGGCTCTGCTTTGGTTTGGCTGTGTTGGTTCTAGCAGCAAAGAATGCTTCTCCATTTTCTCTTGTGGAATGCCTCCAGCTTCCTCTCTCATTCAGTGGTAGAGGAGCACTGAATTGTCTGGTGAGTCTTCTGCTTTCTTTGATTGTCTCCATGGTCAGCGCATTCAAAGGTCCTTGTCCTTTTGTTATTTTATTCTTAATACAGAAGACAGAGTGTGATCTCTTGGGGACTCTGAGACCAAGATGTCTGGCCTTACAGATGACACAGTTCTTGAGTGGATCAAAGACTTCTGCTACCTCTCCTCCCAGTGTTGTTTGGGGTCCTTCTTCTCTGGCTCTCTTGGATCTGTTGTTGTTGTTGTTGGAGGCGAGTTGATATGCTCTCTTCTGCTGGGAGTTCCTCTGTTGACTTTGACATCCCATTCCTGTGGCTGTTGTGGCAGCGCCAGTTGTTGTTGTGTTATCCATGATGATCTTTTGCTGCTGCTACTCGCTTTTTTGGCTGAGATAATGACTGTCGAGTGAGCGGCAGCATGTCGAGTGAGCGGCAGCATGAGCGGCAGCATGCCATGGTCGATCGATCGATCTAATGGAATCCTTGTTTCGGTTTTCGCGAAAGAAGAAATCAGCGACTAGGTAGCACATTTACTCTGTAATATCTATAAATGGTACGTTAAGTATGTTTGAATCTTGTTCCTTATATATCGCTGACATATACATTGTTCTTCGGTCCTCTCGACCAATCAGATCACTGCCTTCCACCCCTTTCGCCCTCGCATCCTCTTCCTGGCCACCTTCCAATGAAATGACGCTGGAGGTTGAGATGGTGAGAATTCTAGAATTCCATTCTTAGGGTTCAGGCTTCTGGCTCCTGCCTTTCCAAAACCCAACAGGCCCACCACACTCATCACTCTTCCTCGGGTTGCCTTCTTCATGGAAAGTGGCGCCCCTAGTACCCCGCTCACAAGCCATCATCAGCCAAAGCCACCCTGACGAATTCTGTTTACTACTGTAAAATCCTACAAACCTGGGATCCTCTTTGGTATCCATACATCGGTACAACGTAACGAATGTCAACAGCCATGGCATTATGAGTGGTAGATACTATTGCGAGAACAGTTGCAGTGAAAATGCCAACGCCGTGGATTCCCAGGCTGCGAGCAGCATGGAGGAGTCGTTAGACTCGTTGCTGCCACCTGTAGAGTGCAATACGTCGAGTGCAGCGATTGTAGAGAAACAAACTCCTCACAGCGACGACAAGCTCAAAGCCAAGGCAAAGACTACTTTGGAATCACCATTGGATGTCACCTTGCCGATGCCCCTGATGCCAGCGCCCATGCCCTTACCCTCGGCACGGCAACCGACGGGACTGCCGGGGGCTTATGCAGTGAGTACGGGTTTCGCTCGTCCCATGGTGGAGGACAGCTCTATTGGTGGTGATACCGAAGCGGAACCGCAGGATTCTCCTACTAGTAGCGAATTGCCGCCACCACTGCAGGCAACCCTTGTAGTTGCCGCACAGCACCCCAGGACGCTCCAAGATGCATCGTGCCACGGAGCAGCGGTTCAGCTTGCCACAGCCGTTCGCGATGATGACGGCCAAAAGAGACGCACTATTGCAGCTTTGTTTGCATTGGCTGTGGTGGTCATGCTGGCCATTATTTTAGCTCTTGTCTTGGGACTCCTAGGAATATTTGATGGAAATGAGGTAGAACCACCGCAGATTGCTCTCGGGGGAAACAATGAAAATGCAAACGGCAGCCTTCCAACTCTCCAACGAATCAAACAGGAAGGTATCTTACGATGTGAATATCGTCATGTTCCCAATATCATAGCGGATATTGCTGGATTCAGCTACAGCCTTGTAAGTGCAAACTCTTTTTCGTCTGGTATGGAGTTGCTTGAGCCCATTAATGGTATCCTCACAAAATTGCTATCCCATCCATTTGTGTGTCTTGAAATAGTGCCTTGCAGTGGCAGCCGCCATCTTTGGACCAGAGACTGCTAAGGACAAGATGGACTTTCAAGAATACAAAAATCGAAGCTCTCTGTTTGCACCGCTTGTGGAAGGGCAAGTGGACTTGTACAGTTCTTTTTACACACATACCATGGAACGCGATGTACTCCAGACTCAAGTCAAGACTGGCTTGTCCTTTACCCCTCCTTGTCTACTAACAGGAATGGTAATTGCTGGTGATCCCTTTCATGTTGGCTGTGTAGAAGACAACTTCAGACATCTCGATGAGTGTCAGAGCTTGAAGATTTGTGTTGGACAGGGCACAACCTATACAAGTATACTGGAAGCTTTCCTGCCAAGAAAATTTATTGTTGAAGTGGCAACTGTGGGCGATATTGAAAATGTGTTTTTCAATGCTGCCTGCAATGTCATTGCTACGGGAAGTTTCGTTGCCTTGAGTGCAGAGGAGATGGCAGCTGCTGGATATAATGGGAGCTATGTGCTGAGTGAACGCTACTTTTCCAAAGAGCCTATGGGCCTTGTTACCAGAGAAGACGATCCAAAATTCTCAGCCTTTGTGGCTGCCATTGTGGATTCCCTCAATGTGGCAGAGCTACACAACATCACTCAGGCATCTGCACACTTGTTTCCTACAACGCAAGTCTTTGGCATTGAGTATCAATACATGTTTCAAAATGTCATTGCTGCTGTGGGAAACTATGGTGAGATCTACAATCGCCATTTGGCCAGAGGTATTCCTCGGGCCACAATCAACCAGATCAATCAAGGAACCACAGGATTACTCTTTGCACACCCATTTGGTGCAATTGGGGAGAATGCGAGAGAGGAAGACACTATTCCACTGGGTGATGATCTCCAATCAATTGTGGATAGAGGGAGTGTTCGCTGTGGCATTAGTGCCAATGCAAAAAGGGCTGGTTTTGCTTCCAAACTGAATACTAGCAATGTTTCATCTGTGGCTTACAAGGGATTTGAGATTGATCTCTGCAGAGCTCTATCCACTTCATTGTTTCAAGGTGGGCCCAACAATATACAGTTCATAGAGGTGAAGGAACCCCAAGATGGCTTTGCTCTCCTGGCAAGTGGTGCAATAGATGTTTTGGCTGGAGTGACAAGCAGTCTTCAGAACCGTGTCAAGGAACCAATGACGGGACTAGGCTATTCCTTTTCTGTGCCCTACTTTTATGATGGTTCTGCAAACAACAACAACAGCAATCTCTGCATGGCCACCAATCAAGATGCCCATGACTGGTCTGCATGGGTGCACTGGATTGTCACTGCTTTAATCTTTGCGGAGGAGCATGATATTGGTCAAGAAACATCCTACAGGATGCCGGAGGTCCTCCTGTTTGGTAACCAGTACAAGCGGATGTTTCGAGATACCATTTTGGAAGTGGGGAGCTATGGCGATATATTCAATCGAAACTTGAGGCCGTCAACATTCCGCGCACTGGCCAGAACATGCTCAATCTAAACTCCAACCAAGGACCCCAACGCTATGCACCTCCAGGGTTTATCTAACTAAAGAAATGGCCGCTGAGTCTAACAGGTGTAAAGGGGTTAGAGCACGTAGGGTAGTTATCTAATTTAGTAACTTTTAGGGGGTTACTAGTATGACTAAACAGCAAGCACTTTGGGGTTGGGGGGAAAGCCACATATAGAAACTCTTAGATGTTTAGGGTTCAGGCTTTAGGCCCCAAGATCCACAAGCCATGCAACAGCCAACCAACCACACACTCAGACTACGAACTTCATCATCTCGTCTCGCTATCTCGAGTTGCCTTCTTGTCTTCAACACAATAACTTCCAGAGACACTACACCTCCATTCCATTCCATTCCATGCTGCCCCCCAAGAAGAAACGCCGTGTCGACACGGATGTCGCCGATGCGACCATGACGGACGGCGATGCCGAGGAAGCAGTGTCGACTCCCACGGTGAGTTCGCCCCCAACGTTGGCCGCGTTGGATCGGCTATTGGATCAATTCACCGACTCGTTGGAAGATTTTCGAGAAGCCTCTTCCATTCTGTTGAACATCAAGAGTTTTCAACGAGAAGTCCTGCAGCAGTTGGCCACGACGGAAGAATCGTTGGCCGAAGAGCACACCAAAGTGGAACGCCATCACACGACCTTGGCCAATTTGAAGTACGAACAAGGCCATTGGGAATCGAAAATTCAGCACATTGAAGCCACCAGCAAGACACCGCAGTTGGAAGCCCTGTGTCGAGAAGAACTCGATGACAATTTGAGTGACACAACAAAAGTGATTGAAAAGTTTGTGGGGCAAGATATTTCGTCTCATGAACACCAGAAGCAACAAGTCATTCATTTGCTCCATAATCAAATTCACGAACGAGGAACTCTGGAACGTGACGTTCTCCAGAAAAACAAGGAACTCCTCAACAAACAAGGAATTCAAAAGAAACGAGCCCAATTCTTGCAGCAGTTGCCCGACAAACTCAAGGCCATGGAATCGGCCAGTCTACCACTGCAGCGGTTCTTTGCAGCCGCATCGGCGGCGGCCGATAAGGACAGTGGACTTACCAAGATTGGCGCTGCCAAATTCAATACATCCGATCGAGATACGCGTCTTCAGTTGGCACGGAATTTGGCCGGGCCGCTCTACACGCTCTTGGTCCAGTTGCAGTCGTATTTGGACGATTATCCCCATAAAAACATGTCTCTGGATGTCGCCAATATCAGTGCGCTCAAAGTGTCATCGTCAGCAGCCGCAGCCAGCAGTGTATGGAAAGATCCACATGAAAAGGTGGTGCTGTGGCAAATTCCCATTCCCAACGTTCAAGCGGGTGCTGCGTCTGCCAGTACTACGTCTTCCACAAAAACCAAGTTTGTGACGATTGGGTTTGTCTATTTTGAAAAGCTTCAGGTCGTCACGGCCAAAGTTCTGAGCCACAGCGGAGAAGATAAATTGCTGGATGTGAGTACATTATTACAGTATCACCCACAGGATTCTGGTAACTATCATCCCGAACAACAACAACAACAAGTGCAGGAAGAACAGGAAGAGGATTCCAAACCAGCCAGCAGCTCGGAGGATGCCATCATGTCCGAGGCGGATGGGGACAAGCAAGAAGAAGAACAAGAGGCAGTCAAGAAACCCACATTTGTCTATGGAAAACCGTTTCTGTGGTGTAATTACTTGGCTGGACTCCAGTTGGTCAAGGGAGAGGATCCGCAAGAAATCAACAAGCAGAGTACACGTGCCATTGTGGCCAACTTGTTGCGACATATTCGAGCCAATGCCATTTTGCACTACCTGCTCACCAAAGTGTTGCCCTCGCATCCAAGATTTTCCAGTCTGCCGCCAGCCTCGGATGCATCACAATGCCTCGCCAAGGTATCCCTGTTTCAATTGGACAAGAATAACAACAAAGATGACACTTCCACCAAAACGTACAAGGTGCATTGCAAACGTGGCAATCATAGTCTGCAGGCATCGGTTACCGTCAACCCAGCCCTGTATCCCGCATTGGTGGCACCAGTTTGGTCCCTTACCGCCAGTGACGTCGATTGGGGACAACAACACGGCAGCCAGGAAGCATTGGACGGTACCAACGCAGCAAGCGCACCGCCCTTGCATGAATCACGATTGTTTGCCATTCAAGGGCAAGTCAACAACATTGACGCACTCATTGAAAAGTTGCAGAAAAAGGCGGCCGACGGTGAAGACGCCTTGGAGGAGGACGAAAAGGAGTCGTTCTATTACGATTGGATCTTGACGCACCAGTTGCGGGAGATCTTGGTGGAATGGGACGATTGGGTGACAACCAGCTCGGGAGAGGAAGGAGCTGGCGCAGCAGGAAGGACTGTGCGTGGACGCGATCGGGCAAAGGTGGAATGAATGATTCGAATCAGGAAGATTCTGATCTGATTGATGATTTTCTGGAGTAACGTCGTTCGAGGAAAACTGCCTTTGCTCAGTGCACATTCTGAGCAGACGCCTCCAGATCGATACGTGAGAGCAAAGTTTTAAAATAGCGTAAATGTGTCTACCACAAGTGAAATTCTATCAAACCCCGCGTTGTAGCTTGAAGTCGGCACTCCGTAAAATTAGTTTTGTATCGTATTCTTTCTATTTACAATTCACTCAAGTTGTCGCTTTGGATGGTCACCACCTTGAGATTGTGAGCATATCGGTGATGGTCACCGCTCTTGCCCTTGGTTTGATCTACCATGATGATGCGCTCCCCGTTTTGGATGAAACCCAGTTCCTTGGCGGTACGAACCGCCTCTGCACGCAGCGTACCCAAACGAGTGGTGGCGCATTTGGGATCCAGGTTGGACTGTAGCAGGAGAGGGACCAATGCCCTGTGAAGTTGCAGACGACGGGCCACTTGAACATCTGTGCAAAAGGACAAGACTGGAACGGCGGGTTGATGACGGGCCACTGCTCGGGCTACGCGTCCCGACTGAGTAATCAAGATGATAGATTTGGCGCCCATATCCTTGGCCGATCGCACCGCCGCAGCCGCCACGACATCCAATTCCTGCTCTTCGGGAGGCATGGTAGCGTGCAACTCCTCGTTCCACAAGACTTCGGATGTGTCATCCCGAATCGAGTCTGATTCATGAACAATGCTGGCCATGCTACGAAGTGATTCGATGGGATAGTTTCCAGCGGCAGTTTCTCCTGACAACATGGTAGCATCAGTGCCATCCAAGATGGCAGTACCGACATCGGTCACCTCGGCACGAGTTGGCCTGGGCCGGGTCTGCATCGAGTCCAACATTTGTGTGGCTGCAACCAACGAGGAAAACGTCTGGTTAGAAACTAATATTGATTGCCCCTACCCTGGTTTCTTCTTAGTCCAACGTACCAACAATGACACTGCAGAGGTGGTGGAGGTGGGAGAAGCAAGGGAATTGTCAGCTGCCTGCATTGGTTCCTTGACATAATGGCAAGCAACTTTGCTTAGATCGACCTTACCTTCTGCCCAAACGGTTACACTTGTTGACCATCATTTTCTGTGCAGCAAATACCTTGCTGTATGGGATTTCCACGCCCAGGTCTCCTCGAGCAACCATGATCTGCGTAACAAGAAAAGAAGGCAGGGAGGTTCCGTTAGTTAGTTGTTTTGAGCTCCAGCCTTGATGATGCAATCGATATCATATCACTCCAAGAGAGCCCGCTTACCCCATCCGACGCCTCCAGGATTTCATCAAAATTGTCAACTCCTTCTTTGGATTCAATCTTGCTAATGACTAGTGGCCGTCTGGGAGCTGGGGCATCCACCTCACGGGGTAGTTCTGAAATGCACCTATCCAGGTACGCCACTACGGACCGGACATTGGCCGCGGTTCGAATAAAGCTAGCGGCCACAAAATCGGCTCCAACTACACATGCCCATTTCAGATCACGCTTGTCTTTTTCCGTCAAGGCTGGTAAATCCAAGACGGTATTCGGTAGATTGACTCCTTTATTCTTCTTGATGGGGCCGCCATTCAGGGCGACACAAGTGACAGTCTCGGAGGAAGGATCCACTTCTACCACTTCCAAGGCAATCAACCCATCATCGAGCAATGCCTGTTTGCCAGGCTCGAGTGATTTGGCAATGGATTGGTAATCCACTTGAATGACATGATGACCATCCTCGGGGGCGGGATCGGATGACACCGATCGAGTGGTCAAATCGACACGATCACCCACGGCAATTTCGGCCACGTCCACGCCTCCTTGCAACGGTCCCGTGCGAATTTCGGGTCCCTTGGTATCGACGAGAATGGCTCGTACATTGTTGGGTAGAAACTTGGCATGTTCATTGGTAGCACCTCCCGTCGCCAGCTGAAAGTGCTTGCCAGGAGCGTTCCGAATTCGCTCCAGACATTGCTCGGGGTAGCTGTAGTCATCACCGGCGTGGGAAAAGTTGAGCCGTGCCACGTTCATGCCGTAGTGTACCAACTCGTTAATGTTCTCGACCGAGTCTGTGGCTGGCCCAATGGTGCAGACGAGTTTGGTCATGCAGCCTGTGGGTGGTAGTTCATTCAGGCGAGCTTTGAAGAGCCTGTCAGCAGATGAAGCAGTGGCATTTTTGGCAGAGGCTACTGTGGAAAGAGAAGCAATCAGCTGATGGTGATGAGGGGGAAGCGCTTGGATGCGGGTGTTCATGGCCCTGCTGAGCAGAGGGGTTAGCTTGACGGATCGAAACATGATGGGTCTTTACTTAGTGTAGGAAGGTAACTCGAGGTTTTCTTGAATTCTTTGTTTTATGTGATGGGTTGTTAGCTCTCTGCAGATACGGTGCCATCACTCCAGTTGCAGGTCAACAACGTTATTCCCCTGTCCTGTTGACGTCTTGGTTGGCTGGTTACTGACCGTTACCACGGATGCTGCCGGGATGTGCCATCAACCATCGACATCATCTCGGTTTGGTGACGATTGTCAAAGATTTTTTTCGCACGGATGAGATCCAGGCTTTGCCGCTCTGCTGGCTGGAGCTTTCGATTGAGGTACTGTGCATGTAGACCGTGAAAAGTAAAAAGGAGCTACAAAGTGCAAAGGGCAGCTGCAGACCTGCCTCCTCTGCTAATAGACCTGCATGGACTTGTCACGTGATAGAAAAACCTTTCTAACGAGCTACTAGCTAGCTAGGTACAACGAGTACAGTACCACGGTAGCTACTAGTTTCTCCAAGGCGATGTTGGTGGTACAGCTGAAACTTCGCTTGTGAGAAGTGCTGCGGTATCTGGTTCCGGTAGCACGCTATAGCACTTTGACAACCTTGGTTCTGAATTTTTAATAACAAAAAGGAGGATCGTATGTATCCGTGTTCTCCCTCCCTGTCATCTTCACTGCTGGTGCTATCATCGTCACTGCTGACGCCGCTGCCTTCAGCACCAACCTCACCTCCAGTTTGGCCTTCGCTGGCACGCCTCTGACTCCTGACAGCTCGAATGCATACCGGTAGTACCGGTACCCTTGCTTCCTTATTTGGAACCAACATCAACTACATGTGCATGCACGTTGCCCAGCTACCATACAAAGATTCGATTCATCTTGAGAAAAAGTGAGAAGATTGGTACCGGTATTACTATTATTAGTAATACCGCTGACCTTGGGTATAATCGGAACATGAAAGGCATTAACGAATGGTACGCGTATCTTTCGTGCAATTAAATAGTTTCATAACCAGTGACATACCAGATGCAATTTACTTAATGACTGTGAAAAGTAGTGTAGAGCTCAGATCTTCCAAGGATGATACCCTTTTCTCGGTTTGGACATGCATCCAGTGCTTGCTGGTCGGCTATCTACCGGTAGCTAGATGGCAATGACGAGAGCTTTCTGACAGTACAGTCCAACAAACTAATCAACAACAGCATCCACCATGGCTGACCGAGACGAGGAAGCTGCTGCCGGAGTGTCCAATGCCGTGGCTGCTATGGAATCCGATTGGGGAGAGGATCCCTTGTCCAATGCCGTGGCTGCTACGACATCCGATTGGGCGGAGGATCCCTTGGCAGAAGCCTTGGAAATTCTCAGTCAAACAGATCCCGAAGAAGTCGAAGTCATGAGCCAACAACATCTAGCAGAAGAGATGCTGCCGGATGCTGCCATTGCCAGTGCACTGGAAGATAGTTTTCGTCGACGAGTCAGTAGTGCCAAGGGCGGCAATGATCATCGGATACCCCTGCTCCAATCCTTGGAACGAATGGCCACGCAGAAACGAGATGTCTTTTTTGCACTCTACTTTGGCCTGCCTTCAGGGATCCGAGATCTGCCACCCGCTAATCCAGATGTCACCTGTGAAGTCACGTTTGGGGAGCTGTGGGATGCCGCCGGTGTGGTGGCCTATCATTTGCGTCATACGTGGAATATCCAGAAGGGACAACGCGTCCTGTTGGCATATGGCTATGGTCCTTCTGGATTGGAGGCACTGTTAGGATGTTGGAGAGCCGGTGTTGTGGCCATTCTCGCCGAGGCTCCTGCCAAACCGCTACGGACCATTGGAGAATCGCTGGAGCGACTCCAGCGAATCGCCGAGGAGTGTCAACCCATTGCCATGGTACTCACCGATCACAAGACCTTTCGGTTGCGCAACTCAGACATGGGTAGCTTGTTTCGAAGCACACGCAAAATGTGGTTGCCCAAACTACAATGGCGTGCTACCGACACACTGCAACGCAATCCTACTCTCCAATCCCTGAAACAGTCCATTACGACCATTAGCACTTATGATACCAGCAGTCCACCCGCCTACACATTTGATGAAACCAGCGTCTCTCCCCAAGATCTAGCTCTGATTCAATACACGGCTGGGAGTACGGGAGACTATCCAATGCCGGTATTGATCCCCTTTGCATCACTGCAGGCGTGTCTCGACATGACCCAACGGTTCTTTGATGTGGCCACCTCCAAGGAAAGCGTCGTGGCCAAAGTCTCGGGCTTATCACCTCTTCTACTGACGGATGGGTGTTGGGGACTCGTACACGCAACCCTCCTGCCACTTATGAATGGATGGAGAATGTACTACATGTCACCCGAAGAATTTGCGCAAGAGCCTTTGCGATGGTTGCAACGTTTGTCGCAGCACAAAATCACTTGGGCATTGGCACCCGATCGGGAGTACACGCGAGTCATGGACGCCTTCTTGGCGGCAACTGAAGCTCAGAAAGGTCTGTGTCCCATTGCGCATCTAGATTTGAGTTGTGTCCGACATTGGCATACATTCGGACAACCTCTGCACCCGGAAACCATGGCATTGGTCACACACACACTGAAACCACACGGGCTACGAGAAAACTGGTATACTCCTTGTTACGGATTGACGGAGCATGTCGGCGGAGCACTCTTCTTGCCCCATGACTTTGTCCTTTCCACTGCTGGAGTCACACGGCGTGTGGCGGTGGCGTCTCGAATGAGTTTGGACTCGCAAATCACGGTCAAAGTGGTCCACCCGCAGACGCATCAAGAATTGCCTGACGGGCAAGTGGGAGAGCTATGGCTATCTAGTCCTGCAGTCGCGGCGGGCTACGGTAAGGATGCCAATCTCACGCAAGAACGAATGGGTGCGGCTTTGAAGGGACCCGCTGGCGAAGGGTCCTTGGAACGTTTCCTCCGAACGGGTGATGCCGCGTTCTTCGAAAACAACCATGTTTTTCTCTGTGGGTCCATCAACGATGCCATTATGCTGCACAGTGGCGACGACGAGAAACAACGGGTTCTGTATCCACAAGATGTCGAATGGATCGCTGAGCAAGCCAGCGCGGACGTCATTCCTGGATGTGTTGCTGCGTTGGGGTCTCCTGGAGACGCAGAGAAGCGTCGTCTGGAAATTGTCTTTGAAATTGCGGCAAACCATCATCAAGATCCACCGGAAGTATGCCGACTCATCTCGGATGCTGTCGCGACTCGCATGGGCGTCACTCCCATTCGAGTAGTAGCAATTCGGCAGCACTCCATTCCTCGGACTCGTCATGGGAAGATCAGGCGCCACACTACCAAGATGCAATTGGCCGAAGAGACGCTGGATATCTTGTACATTGGCGAAGACCTCACTGATGGCGAGGCACGGATTCTACCCGTGGATAGTGTGGAATACATGGAGAGAGCACAAAACGTTGAGAAGGTGTTGAAACGATACTTTGGCTCCGACGTGGACGAGAACCAATCGTGGGAGGCTCTTGGGTTGACCTCGTTGTCTTCGATCGATCTGCGCTATGACATTGCTTACAGTTCCAGAATCGATCTCCCAACAAACTCCTTTGAGCAGTATCCCACCCCTTCAGCTTTGAAGGAATACATCATCCAGTCGCGAGATCAGACTATTCCAACGAAACTGCCGTATCTCAATGTTGCCAAGAGTATGAAACTATCATGGCTGGCGATGGGGTTCTTGCAGGCAATTTTGGCCGTTGTTATATTGATCCTGTTTTCGTCGTGTCTGATACCTGTGTGGTATCTCTTTGATGACTTGGCCAAATACAACATGGAAATAGCGTCCATCCCCATCTTTATGGCTAGCTTTTCGATCATTGTCCTCGCGGTCAAGTGGATCGTCGTTGGGTTCTACAGACCATGCCAGATTGTGGCGCCGTCCTTTCCGTATTTGCAATGGTGGTTCGTCGATCGGTAAGTCCTACATGATGCAGCTAGGCTATGCAATCAGTGTCTTCATGCCCCACTAACAATGGGACTTTTTTGTTGTTCATCGGATCACTGGCAGAATATGTTGCATGTGGGAATTCTGGGTGGGACGATTCTTTGTTGGCACACCTGCCCTGAACCTTTTCTATATTTTGTTGGGTGCCAAAGTGTCGCTTCTGGCCAAGCTGGATGGCTTTTGCCGAGAGTTTGACTTGATCGAGGTAGGGCCGTACACATGCTGCCAACATCGTTCACTGAGAGCTCGGCACTTTTCGTCCTGGAGCCGCGCCGAGTCTGGGCCCAGGATTATCTTGCGTCCCATTGTGATTGGCCAGAACAGTGTGATCAGAGGTATGCTCCAACCTGGGGTCACGGTAGGTGAGGGCTGCACTGTCGAGAAGCTTGCAGTCCTGCCCGAGGGCTCTCAGCTTGAGGATAGAGTTTCGGTCGCGGGGAATCCCGCTGTGATTATAGGGCGAGCACCAAAGCGAAAGGAGTTCAACTATCTGATCTTGGGCTTGATGAAGCTCAAGTGGCTAGGCTTCGAGTTCTTTGCATTTTCGGTCTTTGTCCTGTCTACCCAATGGGCTTTGCAGAGGATGCTACCCAAACCGTACTTCGAGATTTGGATCATATGGTGGTCCCTCTTTGTGGTCATATTCAGTGCGATTTCGTTGCTGAGCAGCATCGTTGTCAAATGGGTGCTGCTGGGCCGACGGCTTGCTGGGAAGATCCATACCAACATTTGGACGGAGTTTGTAGAATGGGCGTAAGTGGCTGTGACGAAACACTTATTTTACGCCCCTCAGCTGGGAAGGAGCTAACACATTGTTGCGTGCTCCTGTACCTTTTTCAACAGAGCCGACTACCATTTCTTCTTGAGTACTCTCGTCTTTCAGACCTTTTCCCTGAACTCTCGCTTCTGCAACTTGCTGCTAGCCGCACATGGAATGGATATAGACTTGGCGTCGAAAGTTTACTTTGATTCTTTCCCACCCAGCAAGATGGACTTGATCCACGTTCGAAGATCTTTTGTGGCTGGCGTTTCATTCGATGTGCGCAAGTACGGGGCGTACTATCCGACGCATATTCATGACAGCAGTATTGGAGAGTCTGCTCACGTAAACGCGGGCTTGGTGATCTCGAATGCTGTCATACCACCAGTGAGCGTCGTGTCTGCACGAACTCAATTGCAAGACTTTGCCAAGTCAGATCAGACGCTTCCAGACTTTTCTTGGAGTAAGGAGCTTGTGGTGACTTTAGTCTACATCATGGTAGTCATGTGCTTCAAGACTAGCGTCTACGCGGGCTATCGCTATTGGGCCTTCTTTGACAAGCAAGTTCCGGGGTGGTGTGTCGTGTTTTTCTTGGCCGGATCGATTACAATACAGGCAACCTGTTGGATGCTATTCATCTTGGTCCTTCAGTACGTGACGTTCTTTGGAGTTTCCGAAGATCAACCTAATCCCTGGAGCCCTGCTATCTATGCCGTTTATCTCTCGTCATCGGCTCAGTTTCAGACTTGGTCGGCTGTGACAATTCTGTGGGGAACTCAGCTCTTCAATGATGTTGCCCGTCTTTTTGGATCTACGATTGACGGAAGGGCTCTTTACTTTGGAAATAGGATGTATGACGGCCCGTTTCTGACAGTTTCCAATCGCACCGTCTCCGATGGATCGCAACTTTGTGGCCATTCTATTGTCTACGAACAGGTCAAGTTGGGCCCAACGAAAGTAGCGGGACTGGTTCATGAAGGAACTCTGGTCATCGCCAACGCTAGCATTACATCCAAACACAGTGGGCCGTGGCGTCCGGTTGTCCAGAAGGACACACTTGCTACGAATCAATACAATGCGAGTGTTACAAGTGCTACTGGTGGCTTCTCGGAGGACCCCGAGGTAATGATGGTCTAGCCAGCAAAACCTGAGACTTTTGACCACCAGCAACGACAGTGTAGCCGTCAGAGCAGGGGGGTTCTACAGGGCGTGTGTAAACTAGCTATCTATCTCGTCATCTAATAGCGCACAGATCCACAGGGCGCCCTCTGTCATGTTGCTTCGTGCTTCCCTACATGTCCATCAAAACTTTTTCGGAGCTATTCGGTTTAACTACAGCCGTCTCCACGCCCAGAGCTTGCAACCCGAAGGTCTCGGCTCGCCCTCACCGTTCCGCAGACGCCAGATTGGACCCTCAGCCGTGGAAGCTTGTAATACTCTCAACCATACAAACCACAGACTCCAACCACATGAGAGTGTTAACAAATGGCAGAGAAAGCCATGGATCAATATCCGAGTTGTGAAATGACCAGTGCATGGCAGGCAGCAGATGCAAAGATGCTCGTACAAGCTGAAATCTCAAGTACTTCATCATTGCCGGACGAGGTGGCATGGCAGACTGCACTCCTTCAGAGTCGTCCTTTTTTTGCTCTACGTACTTCCTCGCCTTTTGTGTTTCTTCACAGTACTTCAGTCCATTCTGAAGGATTTCAACAACGACATAGGCCAGCCAGCATCGACAGGACCACATGGAGAAAGCCTCAGCCAACCCAACGGGAAAAGAGGTTGGAAAGATCAGTTTGGGGCTGAACCAAAGGAGACATGCAGCATGCTCAAGAGGGTAATAGCCAACCATCGTCCAGGCTAAGAGTTTCCCCAAGAATTGCTGAAGTTTGGGATACCTGGCAGACGAGAAAGACCATGAGCCACTTTGAGCTGCCTCCAGAGCTGGTGGCAGACCATGGAATCGCAAGATGTATCTGGCAGATTCCAGTTCCCTGGCTAGCTTTGCGCAATCCTCCAACAAAAAGAAAGAAATCATCCACAGACTATATTGCAAACACCTGAGCAGCTTCTCTTGATTTGCCCCTGGCCACACGAATCCCTTGTACCCCTGCAAGAATCTGCCCACGGAAGGTTTCTTTGTTGATGCAGACTCCTTCACCTTGAACTGTGCCTTGGCATCCTCTTCCTCTTTGTCAGTGCGCTTTCCATCATCATCATCATCTTGCTTTTTGGTGCTGGATGACAAGGCAAGTCGTTTCTTATTTTGATTGGGGCTCGTCTTGACATCTGGCCTTCGATTTCGCAATACCGCTACTCGCTGCTTGCCCCAGACCTCAACCGTTGCTGTGCGGATCACTTGAGTGCACGTTATTGTCATGGTTTTGAATGAAAAAAAATGTTGGTCTAAACTTTCTGTCTGCTGCAGCTCTGTTTCAGGGCAAGACTGCCCAAATGGGTGATCTGGCATACAAAAGCATCGCTACGTTTCAGCGTGCGTTGCTCAACCGCTCTTGGCTCAAATTTTTCGGCGGCCACGGTCTTCTCTTGCATGAAATACTTTTTTGAAAACAGCAGTTGCTGGATTTGCTGAAGGTCAGATTCAACGTGCCGATGGCGGGAAGGCTCGATGCGGCAACGTACTGCTCCCATTCCAATACCGGTACCGCCTCGTCTGCTTGCGATGTGCGCCAGCGTGATACATATATGAGTATCTTGGAGCTTCAAATGAAACGGAACGTCTTGATTACGGCGTATTGTAAGCAACTATGGCGAAAGAGCTGGCTTCTATGTTGAATGTAACCCCAATCCACTGAATCCCTGCATTGGAGGGTGTTTGCGAGTGTGCCTCCTGCAGGTACGGTACGGCCCCCAACTGTAGTGCATTTTGCGACAGCAGCGATTGTCTACGGAGACGACGGCCATACGGTAAAGGTACTTAAGTTCCAGCCACTCTAGCTAGCTTGTGATTCTAAGCAACCAAAGGCTGCGTACCGGTAAGTGCGGGTGACAGTCTACGAGGACCGAAAAGAAGGGACGTTGCATTGGAGGGAAGCAGAATGTCCCTGCCGGCGGATGCACGACAGCTCAAGCTTTGGCCAAAGGAAGCAAACGAGCATTACGTCGAGATGCTCAGTACATCAGATCTTTGGATCAAACGTGATGTGCGAAGAAGATTGAAGCTTTGATAGAGTGCCGTTTTGGTTGATTGTTGGCCCTTGCATTGGAGAGACTCGACTCAGTAGCAAACACTTTGAACTTGGACCCGACAGTGGAGACGACAGACAAATCTTGGGAGGAGGACTCATCCGAGAACAGAACGCCAGGGCTGCACCCACCCCAGCACATGAGCAAAGGGGACCGTATAGGCAGCCAGAAGCACGGAACCAACCGGACAGGGAACCAGACAAACCAAACTCGGGCACCAACCGTGTGCAATCGTGGGGTTGTCGTCTTTACCGAGGACCCACAAGCAAAGACACCGAGTAGAGTAGAACAGCATGAGGAGAAGATCGCCGCTCGACGCAAAAGAGGTAGTATGCAAACCCGTACAAGAGCACAGCGTCAAGGTGAAGCGGACCCAACTGAGGAGCCATCCCGACTCGACTGTGTCATCACGTCCGTGCGGATCTCCAAGGCACCGTGAGCGGAAGCAGCACCAACACCCAAACCTTGACTTGAGCCCGACCACCAGCCCAAGAGACGAAGAAAACCTGTGGAACCATGGCTTCAGCAGGTCAAGAGAGAGAAGAAGTGTGAGACTTAATTAAGCTATCTATTCATAAGTGGGCCCATCGTGGGCTCGACGCCATAAACCAGCCATAGGACAAGGGCGCAGCTCCAAAGTCTACCCTAGCCAACCAACCAAGAAAGCAATCTAGCAAGCCACCTGACCCACCAACTTGACTGGAAACATGAACAAGGAACCAACCAAGAAAGCAACCTAGCAAGCAACCTGACCCACCAACTTGGCTGGAAACATGAACAAGGATGCAGCACAGCAGCCTGGGAGAATGCCAAAGGAGCCAGGGAGATTGCCAAAAGGAGCAGTGATGGAGCGACGCAAGGAACAGGAACTAGCCGACCAACCGACGCAAAGAGAAGAAGGAGGCGGGGCGGATGGTCGAGGAATGCAACTGGAGAGCCAAGGATGAGGACGCCGAGCAGATCAGGATCAGGAGCAGTACCAGTCGACCGTGCACTCAAAGGAACGTCCAAGGAGAGAGGCTGAGCTAGACTAGAACATCGGGAGAAAGACAAGAACCATGGACGCGAGGTTCAGGAATTAGCCGACCAACCAAGAAGGAACACGAGGGGCGCGTGGTCGAGGACGGCAACTGTTGCTCTGACTTGAACTCCGCGGGAAGGGAATCAGGAGAGCGGCGAATCGAATCGAAAGCAATGGAAGGGATGGATCTGAATAATGAAGCAGCCGCATGAGTCTCTCCACTGGAAGGTTGATGCGGTAGCACATGGTGAAAATTGTCGTGTCAAAAATCTGCGTGGGTGAGATCCCTTGTGATTGATTGGCTCCTCAATGATGTTACTCCTTCTTCACGGCAATCGGATAGCCTTGGAAGAAAGAGGAAGAATAGACTACAAGCAAGTGTTCGAGACGGAGACTGTGCGTGTATCTGTGGTGTGAGTGTTGACGTCTTCAAATGACGGAAGATGTCTTTCCTTCTTCAAAGGGCAAGTGTGCTTCTGGGTTTGAAAGATCCAATTTGGATCTTTTCTTTGAGTAGACCATGAGCTCCAATCATAGAGATCACGTCGCGGCTGCTATCTTTACAGCCATTTATAAAGACATCGTTAGTATCCTCTCTTACTACTTCTTCGACCATGCAGTTATTACTCTCCACTATTATCTTTCTTTGGATGGCAACCGCGGGCGCCCAAGAGAATGCTACCTCGGGCCAAAAAGTCTGCCAGAGTACGAGTGACTGTTCCGGAGGTGAATACTGCGCATCTGGGCTTTGCGCATTGATCAATTGCGCCAATTGGGCCGTCTCCACTCCGGCAGGAGAAATGTCCTTTAGTGAAGAACCTTGTATTGCCGAAGGAGCAGAAGAAGGAGAAGCGTTTTGTGGTACCGATGGAAGTTGTTACGAGTATACCTGCGAAAATTGGTATCAGTTTGGACCTGCGGCATTCACGGGTTACGATACTGCCACTGTGGTCGAGTTGCAGTGTGACGACTATGCCGATGGAGCCGCTGAAAACCAGAATTCCGTCGTCTTTGGATGTCGTCCTTACCAACCTGGAAGCAAGGCTCCCGAAGCCAAGACGTGGACGCATTTCTTTAACCAAAAATGTTCCGCCAAGACGCCCTCCGGATCGGACTTTTCCTGTTATCAAAACAAACCCAACACGGATTATCGAGATTTTCAGGGGGAACTCGCGCGGTTGAATTTGAATAGCTGTGACCGAGATCTATTTGATAACGAGCAACCGCTCTATTGGTATATTGTGCAAATGCAACACACGGTCAACAAAGTCACGACCAAATTCGGTCAAGGACGAGACAATACGGCCAGTGGAAGTGCCTTTGATGCCAGTGCGGCGGACAAAACCATGTTTGCGCATTTGAATGACGGGACATTTGTGGCGGGCGAAGAAACCGACAGTGGTTCCTCCTCGTCGTCGTCAGCCTCGAGACGTTGGAGCAGAAATAATCTTGGGTGGGGCATCATTATGGTAGCGGGTGCGGCACTCTTTCTTAGTTAGCTCAGTGGGGTGCCTGCATGTATAAATGTGGATCTTTACGATTTGGTAAGGTACGTTTTCATCTCCGTCTTGGGTGCTTCGATCCTGCACGCTTGGAACCCAAAGGCGCTACCGTAGTCTCGAACCCGCACAACCGAGCAATGGATATACTTTGCATAGTTTGATGGCTTGCTAGCTGCCTGTATCGAAGTCCAAATACGTTTGCCCTGGATGCGAGTGCTGAAGTAATGCGATTACTTATAATCGTAGGCAACAGCTTCAATTCAATCAATCAATCATTTCAACCACACAGACATTATCTCTAGGGCGGCACGTCCCAGCGCGATAGAAGGATCCAACGCTTTGCTCTGGCAACCCTGTTCTATTCATTTCCCAAAAGGAGACCAATGGTGCTGCAAATTGGTTGAACTACTAGTATGATAAAGATTGCCTCCAATGCCCGATCATTCGGCTCGACTCATTCGATTGAAGATTCGAATCTAGATTGAATCGAGTCCTCAGTCGAGTCGAATTGAATTGAATCGAATGATTCAATCATTCGATTGAATGACATTCAATCATCCGCTTCCCAGCAGCAGCGTTCGCTTTTTCTGGAAAGGTAGATGCGGTATTAAAAACTAAATTGTATAATATTTTCAATCCAATATTTACCCCATCTAACACTCAATGCTGACTCCACCTCATCGTTTCTTGAAGTAACTTGCCTCATTTCTTCAAGACACGCGTTTCCCATGAGGTGCCCCCAACACTCGGTACCAAGTACTGCACGAATTTTCAAATGCACGACTATGAGTGGCGAAAGCAGCGAGAGACAGTTGACTATAGGGACCAGAGTGACGGTATACTGGCCCGACCATGATGAATGGTACAAGGGAACTGTGGCGGATGAGGCCATCGACGACGACGAAAGATTTCTCATTGAGTATGACGATGGCGACACGGATTGGCTCGACACCTCCAGGGACAAGTGGAGAAGGTCAAAAAAAACCGACAAATTCTTGAAAGAGGAGACGGTCAATCTCAATTTACAACGAGAAAAGATGGCCAAGCTCCAAGTTGGATCGAGACTCTCCATTGGTGGCCTGAAGAGCAGGAATTCTATACCGGAACGATCAAACGAATGGAAGAAGACGAAGACGCTGACGATGGTGCCATGCTCTACAGAGTTCACTACGACGATGGAGACAAGGAATGGTTGGACCTCTTGCACCGAAAGTTTAAGAGAGTACCCCAGAAGGCCTTGCGTTTGAAAGTCGGATCACGGGTGTCGGTGTATGATGAGGAGGAAGACAAGTTCTTTCCAGGCACAGTCACTAAGATCCAACCAGAGAGTAATAAACCCCATCGTGTGAAGTACGATGATCAAGATAGGAACAAGGAATGGCTCAACCTAGCCGTGCATCCCTTTCTAGACATTGAGAAGCCATCCCATGCAGCTCCTGATGCTACTGTCAATTCCAACACCTTGAAAAAGCGCAAGAAAGAATTCATGAAGGAGGATCCCAACTCGTACAAGACCAGAAAAAATGGGCATGCCCTCAGAGTCGAGGAAAGTAGAAGAAGACCTACAGTCAAAGAAGAGCAAGAAGAAGAGGGATTGAAGACGAAGCAGGCCACGACCGCCTGTCACGAAGCCTGCGGAATCTGCAATGCTGTGGCAAAGAGACCCCGGGCTACTCAATGCCACCACATTTTCTGCAAACGGTGCATCACTTTTAACGAAGAATACAAAAAGACGTCACGGTGTCCACTTTGCCCGCAGGTCGCTGGCTCTGCGGAGGGCCTTGTCAAATATGAGCCAGACCATGTTTCCTTCAAGCCAGTGGAGGCTCTGGACCGAACGACGGCAGAGGTGGTGCACTCGTACTCCTCAGCTGCCGTAGCATCCCGTGCCGTGAGCGTTCCTCCAGCTTCCATTATCACAGCCTGTCAATCCAAGCGGCGAGACGATCGTGAAGTCCATGGATACTACTGGCGGTTCCAGGGCTGCACAGATCGCATATTGCGAGTTGGTGAGGGCGTCAAGGATGGGGTAGCTATAGAACAAGTTGACTTGAACACTGGCAAGGTTATTGAGGTGTTTGCATCTGGACGAAAAGCCCACGAAAAGACTGGAGTCGGCCGGGTAGTCATCCGAAGAGTTCTGGAACGAAGAGGAAAGGCCAATGGGGGAGGTTTCTTTTGGCGGTACCAAGGGGAAACACACGGACCGTGGCCCGACCCCGAACCTGTTTGCAAAACTGCTGTGGAACAACTTGACTTTGAAACGGGAGATATGCTCAAGTCGTTTGCCTCCTTGGCAGACGCTAAAAGAGCCATGGGCATGAAACCGAACTCTGGGCACATTCGAGATGTTTGTGATGGGAACGGCCGAGCCACTGCTGGTAGTTTCTTTTGGCGGTGGAAAGGATCAGATGCCCAACCGAATCACATGATGGGAGTGCACAAAGTCATTCAAATTCGAAAAGGCAAATGTGGGGAGGTCGTGAAGGAATTCCGCACCTCCCGAGATGCCCAAGCGTACTTTGGCTACCAGTGTTGCTGGAGCAAATTGTGTCGGTACGCCCGAGATAAAGAGTTCGCGATGGGCCACCACTGGCGTTATCGAATGCTGCGAGAAAAGGCGACCGCTCAGGAAGAAGTCCTGGGGAAGAGATTGTCGATACGACAACCAGCGGGCAGCGAGTTTGAGTGGCTTGAAGGCAAGATCAACGCCTTCAACTCGCAGGCTGGGAAATTTGAGATCCTGTATGATTCTGGAGAGACAATCCACTGCAGATTGGAAGACATCCAATACAAGTGGAAGAATGACTCGGGTCAAAAGCCCGTGGAGCAGCTGGATTTGAAAACCGGACAGGTCTTGGCGTCGTTTCAGTCTCTAAGCGAGGCATCGGCGTCGCTGGATCCACCTTGTCACCCAACTCGCATCGCTGCTGTTTGCCATGGACGAGTCCGGGCGGCACATGGCTTTTTCTGGCGCTTCCAGGGATCCAGCAATCAACCTCGAAAGATCAAAGGTAGGCGCAAGATAGAACAGCTTTGCCTGAAGACGGGGCGAGTTCTTGGCACCTTTGACACCATTACAGCTGCTGGCAAAGCTGTTGGTATTACAACACCAGGAATCAGCTACTGTTGCAACGGTAGAAATTCATCCAAGTCTGCTGGCGGGTTTGGTTGGAGGTTTAGCAACGAAGACGAAGATCATTAAGCTCGCGTTCCAGTAGTTGTTGATACCGGTAGCCGACAGGAAGTCCATTCAACCTAGCTAGTTGAAGGCAAGTGTGGACGAGCCGCACCTAACACCGGTTCTGCGTATTATACCACTCGTAATGTCAAGTCGAGTTTCTCGTACATGAAGTAGTTTTATTGTCGACCGCTGTTTGTCTCGAGGACTGGAAGGATCTGTCTCCGTGGGTGCCAGCACGTGTACGAGGCATCTTCGCCGAAAGGTATGAGTCGAGCCCGTTTAAATCTCGTGCAAAATACTGATAACACAGATATGCAGATAGATAACGAAGGCGGCCTTGGTTAAATGTTATCCCAGTAGGGGCTGATCCCGGAGCCGCTCCTTTTCCCAGTAGCGTTGGTTACTGCACTCTTGAAAGCGTTGTTGAGAGCATCTCCGTAATGTGCCACCATGATGTTGTAGCTCAATGGTTGCTGGGCCCTCTTGACGTAACCGTGTGTATATGGTGTAGCTAGCGTGCAATGGAAAACCCAACTCCTCAACTGTGTTCGCGACCAATCGCGACATGACTTGTCAGTGCTAGCGTCCCGAACTTGCAACATCCCAAGGTCATCCTTCGCACGCCTTTGATGCATTGAACACGATAGAGGGCGCGCGTCCAGAGGACCACGTACAGAGCAGCACACACAGCCATGGTAGTCAGACCCTGTCAAAAGATTCAGCGACGAGATCTCGCAGCTGACTTTTGCCATCAAAGGCACCAGGCATTACTGATCGGCACGTCGATTACAGGTACTTCTGTCTAGCACCGGCGCTTAACCGCAAGAACCGAAGCGTTGATAAGCCAAGGGAACCCACTAGGACTTCCACTCCGAACCAGCGCTCCATGTAGGGATGACTGTTTTGCATGGTAAGGGCAACCAGCACCTGCATGGATGCACTGGTCCATGCCAAAGGGCTGAATAAGTTAATTGTTTGCAACATGGACAACCCAAAGGCAGCCACAAGGCGAAGCGCAGGTACAATGTCTTCTTCGAATGTCCTGTCCACCATAGCCGCTGCAAGGACTACAGTTGGCAGCACCCAACGAAGGCTCCTCAGCAGGCGTATGCAGATCTTGGCCTCCATTGACCGTAGCTCCTGCAAGCGGTACTCCTTTTGCGACAGAGTGACTGCCGAAATGTCATGTAGCTGGACTTTGGGGGTTGCCTTTTGGGTCTTCTTCTTAGTTGAAGCGCCACGTCCAACTTTTTCACCTTGTTGCTGCGGAGGAGGTACTGCAAACTGGGCTGGAGAGAAAGAAGCCATTTCAATCAGGTATTGATCCTTCAACATGGCCCGGCAGATCAATGTCAGGACAATGCCCAGTGTGATACCTGGGAAGAAGTGAGGCAGCCATACGCATTGGTCCATGATCAAATCACATATGACTGGTGTAAAGTAGATGGCCGCATAGCACCCAGCAATCGATTGTCGTTCCACTGCTTCTTTCACTGCTTCTTGTATCATGCGTGATAGCAGCGACATTTGGAACTGTGTGCAGCGTCTTGCAAAGTCCATGCTGTTGTCGATGCAAACAAGCACCGAAGTCATGGTGTTCATTGATGTAGTAGTTCTGGCCGTTGTTCTGGTCGTCGATGCTGTGGCTCCTGCTATTGTGGTGTGGGTTATCGGTTTCGTTTTGGATGTTTTTGTTGTGGTTGTCACGGGCCTCGTGATGGCGGTCCCTGTTGATGGCACAGTTGTTCGAGTGGGACTTTCCCTTGGAGGGGGTGCTTCCTCCACCACGACAGGGGTCTTTCCAGTCTTGAGCACATCATTTTGGTGGAGTTGGGGTTCTCTATTATTGTTTCGAGTACCGGTTCCTGCAGTCCCCCTTTTGGAGGACTTGTGTTTTCTCCCGGATCGTTTCTTCTTGGTCGATGTGGTGGAGGTGGTTGCAACAACTTGTGTTGGTTCCACCGTTGAGTCTGCTACAATCGTAGGTGTGGTTGTGGTGGTGCTTGTCTTTTGTTGACCAGCCGTATTGCTATCTCTGTTTCTGCTTGTCGAAGCTGCAGCCTCCAACAACTTTTTAGCTTCCACAGGTGGTGGTTCCATTGACTTTGGAGCAATTCTTTGCTCCTTTGGTGGTTCCCGTGGCTCTTTGGGTACGACTTGTTGCCAAATATTTTCTTCTTCTGGCACTTCTTCTTCGTCCTCTTCCGGCATATCTTCTCCTTCTTCGTGTGAAGGGACCAGTGCTTTGCTGTGAGGCAGTGGGGACGGGATCGGGGCCGGTTTGGGTTCTTCGTCCTCAAATCGGTAACGTTGCGGGGGCGGCAAATGCTGGTACCCTGGCGGTGGTGCTACTGCCGCAAAAGTGGACAAGAGTGGCCGCTGTTGTTTTTCGGTTAGTGGCAATGTTGGTTGTGAGGGTGGGAACAAGAGAGGTCCGTCTGTTTCTGGTAAGAATGTCTTGGTTGGCTGTTGTTGTACCAGAAAGGATGTTTCGGATGGTTGATAATGGACACTGAGTGGCACCGACGAGTGCGAGCGATGGGAATCATCCCGCTTGGCACTGCCGCTTGACAAGGATGATGTGGTGGATTGGTGATCAATCAAAAAATCGTTGTCGTCGTCATCGTGATGGACCTCGTGATTGGGAGCAGCCGGTTGTTGTTGCTCATCAGGGAGTTCCAACGGCAGGTTGATTCGATGATGCGTCAAGGAAGACGGACGTCGAATAATCTTGGGTGGGCTATCCGGTCGCAATAAATGTTCCGGAAGAGCATGATCCGACGTCCCAACAATATTTCGCAAGGAGGAAGACAGCACCGATACCATTTTGCGAACATCTTCGACTTCTTGGGCCGAAGGTAGTGGCTTTTGTGGTCCACTGGTGGTGGTAACATCAATGGTCGTTATGCCAAGTGGTCCCGGTAGAGGAGTTGTTGTAAATTGCAGGGCTTTTAAATGCTGAAGGGGATCGTGATCGGGTGCACAGCGTGGCAATTGTGCCACCAGATCACTGTTTTGACTGTTGCTTTGCTGCAAAGTATTGCCATAGGGAAAGAGTCCTGGATTGTGCAGTAAATTGTTGTTGGGATCCTCTTCCTGATTGTTGGCTGTTATTGTTTGAAAAGTTTCCTCCACAGTTGCTGGCAGCATCCAAGGTTGGGGAGTGTTGGTTGTCGCAAAGGGCTGTGGGGACGGGTCAAACGGCATGTTATTGCTAGCAGCATTGTTGGTGCTCCAAAACGAATTGGGTTCTTCTTCCCTCATTTCTTCTGTTTCCGGCGCCAGATAGGTTAGCGTGGGCTGTGTCTGTGTCTGTGTCTGTGCCAATGGAGGCGCATCCGTCCATTGATAAGGAGTGGTTGTGGTTGGTGGGCCAATGCCAGGGGGATAGGGTGGCTTTCGAGTTTCAGCTGCAGCAGCAGCTTCTTCTTGGTCTTCTTCTTGATCCGGATCCAAAATTCCACCCGGCAAGAAGAATGAGTCCACCAATGCCGCCTCATCATTGAAGCTTGTCATGGTGATATTATCTTGAAGAATCAATAATGGGTAGATAAATGAATGATCTCAGTCTTAAAATTTTTTTGTCATTGACTGATCAATTATTATTGACCAAGTTTCCTTTTGGCTGGTGGTTGGTTGCTCCGTTCCTCAATGCTTTTTATAGCTTTCTCGAAAGGTGTTCCGCATTGACACGTAGCGGCAGACTTCGTGCTGGATGGTTGTTGCAGACTTCCCACGGTATCTTTTATCAAAGATCCGACCAGCTAGCTACACAAACGGACAAGCTCTGGCTGGCCTCCTTACATCAGCTCTATGATAGGGTCTGCCCAATTTTGCAACAGCAACTTTAGAAGTTTGATATCAAAACTGAAGCTTACCAGCACACACAGCATGCTGTAATAGATGTCCGTGGGAGTGCTCTTTTTGCTTCCGTGATCTTTCGTGACCTGATTTGTAAAATTCTCGTTGTAAACTGAAATTTTCTAATCAACTGTCTGTTTCTTCCCTGAAAATTCTAAAAAGTGAGTTTTGCGGCATCCGAACACGATGAAGGATCACAATCCAAAAATAGTTAACGGGGGTTTTAGAGAGCACGGAACAGTAGGGAAATTATTCGAATCCAAACAAACATCCACCATGAGCAGCAGCGACGCCATCAGTCCAACGGCAGCAGAAAGCAGCAACAGCAGCCAGAAGAACAATACTAACAACAAGGAGTCATCAGCAGACCCACCCCTAAATGTTCTGTTTTTACATTTGGATTTGGGAATTGGCGGTGCCGAACAATTGGTCCTTCAATTGGCCATGGCGAGTCAAGCGTTGGGCCATTCGGTGACGTTGTTGACGACTCGCTGCGATGCGGATCATTGCTTTGCCGCCGTCAAACCACCGCATGGAGCGCTTTACAGAAATGTCCAAGTCTGGGGTCGTTGGATTCCCGCCAATCTGTTGGGGGTTGGAACCGCCTTGTGCAGTCACGTGCGAGTTCTCTATTTGGCCATGGCATGGGCTTGGCAAATACGACAACACACACCCGATCAATCGCAGCCCTATTTGATTGTCCTCGATGTCCTGCCTACACCTCTGTGGATTCTACGACATTTCACCAATTCGTCGCTGTTATTCTATTGTCACTTTCCCGACAAATTGCTCATTCGCAACAATCCACTCGACCCCACCAATACTACTACTGCTACTGTCAAGAAATCCTTCTATCGAACCATCATGGACGCCATGGAAGAATCCTGCATGCCACTGGCCGACAGTCTCCTGGTCAATTCCAAATTCACACAACGCACCGTCCTACAAGAATTTGCATCTCTAAAACCATCCGATCTGCAAGTCTTGTATCCCGCATTGGACACGCAAGCCATGGACGCCAAACCAACCGACAATAATGACAATGACGACGACAATGATCCACCCCCTGTCGTCACTATTGTCTCTCTGAATCGTTACGAACGCAAAAAGAAAATTGAATTGATCCTGTACGCGTACGCACTCCTTCGCGTTCAGTATCCACCCAATACGCTTCAAGTTATTATTGCCGGAGGATACGATACGCAAAATGCCGAAAATGTCGAATATCGAGGGGAATTGGAGCGCATTGCGTTTACCGAACTCAAATTGGACAAACAAGAAGTCGACTTTCAAACATCCATTTCCGATGCCCAACGGGCCCACTTGTTGAAAACCGCTCGCTGTGTCGTTTACACACCTCCCAATGAACATTTTGGAATTGTCCCACTGGAAGTCATGTATGCCGGAACACCCGTGATTGCCTGTGCGAGTGGAGGACCACTCGAGTCGATTGTCGATGGAGAAACGGGATTTCTCTGCGATCCTCCCACTCCGCAAACCTTTGCCAATGCCATTAACGTCTTGTTAGTGGCACCCGCCAAAGCCCAAGAAATGGGACAAGCCGGACGAAAACACGCTCGCATTCATTTTGGAACAGAACGGTTGCAACGGGAATGGGCATCTCTGACGCAACAAGCTTTTAAAAGAGGGCAACAACGTGTTTGCCAAAAGGAACCCTTGCCAATCATGGTACGCCTGGTGATTTATTTTTTGGAATGTATCCTGGCCATGGTGGTGTGTCTGTGGTTGACCCGAATGCTGCGACACACGGGATGGATTGATTCTCAAGAATCCATTCTGGGGTCCATGAGACGAAAGATGCAGTCGGATGAGTTGTAGAACAATGTAATTAAGTTGTTATCAGTTATGAGTTAGTATACATACTGTACTGTACAAACTAGTACGTGTAGTTAGCTAGTTGCAGCCATCACGGGCTCCTCTGTGGATGCCTCTTCGGACGCAATCGAGGAGGCCTCTTCTTTGGTGCTGTCGTCAAGTGTTGTAGAGGTTGCCTCCTCCAAAATGGAATGAGCCGCTCGTTCTGCAACCATGACGGTAGGAGTGGCCGTTTGACCTCCTGGAATCACTGGCAGAATCGAGCTATCGGCGACACGGACTCCTTGAACACCTCGCACTCGCAGCTGCGGGTCGACTACGGAATCGTTTCCAAGGCCCATCTTGCAGGTTCCCGTCAGGGCATTGGATGTATGGACGGTACGTCGAATGTACGCTTCAATCTCCTCATTGGTTCTCACTTGCGGGCCTGGATAGACTTCGGTACCACGATAGTCGTCGCCCCATTCGGGATGATTGCACAATTGTCGTCCTAGTTTGATTCCTTCGCGGAGGGTGGCTAAATCTTGTGGATTGGAAAAGTATCCAACCTGAATGATTGGTTTCACCATGGTATTGGACGATGCCAATCGAACCGTGCCTTGGCTGCGTGCCCGGCACGCAATACATTGAATGGAATATCCATCTTCATGATTTTTGGTGTTTCGAAACTGCGTAAAGGTCGTCATTCCGTCTGGTCCCAGTGCCTTGGCAGCCAAGAAACGCAGCTGCAAGTCTGGTTGTGGTTGTGTGCCCGTAGCAGCGTTTGTTCTGACAAATCCACCATGGTCACATCCAGTCGAAGTGAGCAATCCTCGTTTGAATAGAAGCCACTTGAGAAGTGGCAAAGGATTGGTCTTGCCAAACAGCCGTAGTTTGGAAGTCACACTGATGCCCCTTTTGGACGTTTGAAAGGATACCACCGCGGCTGGATGATCTTGTAGATTGCATCCTACGTTGGGATTGTCGTGTATGACGTGGATCCCATGACTGGTCAAGTGTTTGCGAGGACCGATTCCACTGCACATGAGCAGTTGTGGCGACGCAATGGCCCCGGCCGTGACAATCACTTCACCGCCTGGTTTCAGATTGGCACAAAAGTTCTTTACCACACGACGACGACGATGATGATGATGGCCAAAACACGAACATTGTTGTTTGTCCCATTGCCGTCTAGTGTCGTGAGAGACGTAAGTAGATAAAAATAGCCAGACGTACCGGTAGCGCGAAGATCACAGACAAGACCTACCTTGAAAGTATCATCTCCCATGAGATTGTAGGTCACACCAATGGCATTCTTGGCCGAATCAAAATCAATGTGTCGGACCATGCATCCCGATTGCACCACAACATTTTTTCGTTTCATGGCCTTGGACAAAAAGGCAGTGGCTCCCGAACATCGTTCTCCATTGGTTTCGGATACAGCAAAGCGTCCCACACCCGTTTGAGGTCGGGACCAGTTGTTAAAGTCGTCATTGACGCCCAATCCAGCAGCTTTTCCAACTTGCAAAAAACGTTTGCTGAGTGGATTTTGATACCGAACATGACTCATGGTCCATTTTCCCTTGGTTCCATGATACTCGGTGGACATCATACCGGTGGTATCTTTTTGAGACAGCTTGAAAAAGGGCAAGACGTCGTTGGCGGTCCATCCCGGAACCTTCCAATCATTGTAATCTTGGGCCGACCCTCTATGATACAAGCATGCATTGGTACAGGAAGATCCTCCCAAGACTTTGCCGCGTTGCAAGTATAGATTGCGTCCTTCGCAGTGCGCTTCTCTGGCACTTTCGTATTGCCAATCGTATTGGCTGCGAAAGAGACGCAGAATACCGGCGGGGATTCGAATTTGAAGATTGTTGTAATCGGGTCTTCCCGCTTCCAATACCAAGATGCGCTTGTCGCCCGATTGGGATAATCGTTCGGCCAAGACACAACCGGCCAACCCACCGCCGACAATAATGTAATCGTAGGGCTCGCCAGATACCTGCTTGTCGTGGAGGGCTGTCATGTCATGTCATGTCATGTCATGTCATGTGAGATGCATGTGGGAATAAATAAAATGACAAGAAGGGAAAAGGTGAGGCATCGAAGTGAAACCACGAAACAGGAATCAGGATAGTTTAATTGGCTGAAACCAATCTCCCTTACCATGCGCTTTGGGAAGATTCTTGATGGGTGGAGCTCCTGCCATGGTGGTTGCTTCCACACGGGGAACCGCTGACAGAACCAGCAGCCATGGAACGAGAATCTTCATTTTCTTTCTCCAAGTCATCCTTCTGGAAAGCTATTGAAAAAGAACCGATACCAGTGATTGGACCCAAGCAAGTAGTCTAGCTAGTGCGCTTGGCTTTCAGATGGGCCCCTGACTTCATCCAATTGACCTGACGACACCCTTGCAAAAGGTTGGCTGCCATCGGATTGAAGATATTGTTCCGTTGACACCTTGGCAAAGATTCGATTGAATTCCAACCGAGGCCGATTGTTGAAAAGGTGTGAACTTGAACGCACAATTTCTCTAATTTAATCAATATCCTTCCAGCTCTACTGTCTAGTAGACTGGCTATTTGTTTCGTTTTCTCTTTCTCTCTCGTTCAGATTGTGANNNTACACCTGGCCATCTGATGATGATCGGATAACCATCTGATTTGAATCACACATCCCCAATCACGAACCGTGATTGTGGATCCCGAGTCGTCTGTCCTTCATACGAAAATACCTTTCCAACAGCCGATGTTGGAATGGGCCTTGTCAAGGTCACGGATACTTTGATTCCCGATTGTACAGTACTTTGAATCCCGACAAGGAGGAAAACGAAATCCAAGCGAAATCTTTGATCCTCTCTCTCGCGACACTCTCGCTCTCTCGCTCTTTCATTTTATCTTTCGTCGAGGGTTCTCTGCCTGTGTGCCCAGAGTAACGAGAGCACCATGGATCCACTGGCAAAAGGTGACTATGTCATCATCAATGGCCTCCAGAGTGATGCTGGGAAGAAGCTGAATGGAGGGAAGGGGATCATTCTCAATAAGCCCACGGTCTCAGACGATGGTGTCCAACGGTACACGTTTCTTTTCTACGCCACCAAAAAGAATGCCGCCAGTGGCGACAAATTGGTGGCATTGGATCCTACCGCCAACAAAAAGATCAAGGCCGAAAATCTCGCCCTAGATCCACAAGATCCCAAAGAGAACACCCTCCTGCATGAAGTGGCTCATCGGGAAAATGTCAAGCTGCAAGCTAAAGGGGTGAAAGCTATGCAAAAGGGGATCTTCTGGCTCGAGGTGTTTCACGGAGCTTTTCCCGACAACCTGGGATGGCATGTAACTACGCCAGTATCTTGAGAAGTCTAAAAAAATCAGCCGAAGCATTCCATGTGATCAAGGTGAGTGCGTCGAGTCAAAAAACTTGAATTCAAAATTATTGTTTTGTTTTGTTTTGTTTTGTTTTGTTGTGTTGTGTTGTGTTGTGTTTTGTTGCCGCTGACCATTGTCTCGTCCCGCTACTGCCTGCCAAGGACTACACATTGGGGAATTCTATTTCTCCTTCCGACCCTCGATATCCCCATTTTTGCTTTGATTTCAGCATTCTCCGTTCCCAGGCTGGCCAGCAACTCAGTGCTGCCTTGGATTATGCTCTACAGATACCTATGGACACACCACATCACTCAGAAATGGCCATGGATGCCCTCCTAGAACTCTGCCTGACATGCAACCGCATACTCCAGGAAAATCCCAACAATGAGAAATCTCAAGTTGCTGTTATTCATGTGCAAGCTTGCCAGGAAGCATTGAAACGCCATCCCGAGCGTGAAGCACACATGATCAATTTGGCTGCTGCCTTCTGTCTAGCTGGAAATAATTTGGAAGGGGTGCGTTGGTACCGTCGTGCATTGGCCATGCCAAATCCAGAATTCGATGTGGCTCTTCAAACCAAAAGTCTCGTTGTGGCACAGCTTCAATGCCCTGGCATGCCACTGGAAGATCATCAGATTTGTGAAGTTACTCCCACACACCTAACTGCAATTCTCAACAAGGACAAAGACAAGTGGCTCATGCGCAACAAAGTACTTTCAGAAGGGCGAGAAATCCAAGGTAAGACAAGTACAATGACCCTCAATTCAAAAGAGGGGGGCGCCGTCATTCAGCATCCAATGCCATCCGGTCCGGACGACCCAGAGTTCTTCCCCGAAGAATTCTTGAAGGAGATCCGTCCTTGATAACAAAAATTCCAGAAGGACCTTTATTTGATCAGGCTGGGGTTGAGAAGCATAGCAACACACTGGTGGTGACTGTGTTTGCCTTGCTGGACAATTCATGTTAGAAAGTGGAAGTAAAGGGGCATCTTTGGGTAGGATGCTCGTCTTTATTAGATGATCATTTTTTCTGTACTGATGACAACTAACTTCTCTAACTGCCAGCCATGTGAGTGGTCAATTAACACTAGAGGCATTGCAGCGTTTGTGCCCGTCATTACCCATTGAAACTAGGGTCCTGGGATTGCCAATTCTTGCACAACCAACCTAGATTTCCGCCTGACGACTCGCAAAATCATGTGTAGTTATGTCGAAGCAAACAAGCCCATGGAATAGAGCCAAGCTCCAACCAATCAAATAGGCTGACCTTCAACTACCTGTAGAAGAAAGAAAAGATCCAACAGAGCCTGAGTTTCTTATTCTATTCCCTGACCTTAGCCCACGTTGGCTTTGCACCCACCCCCAGTTCGCGAGAGACCATTGAGCAATACGGTCTTGAGAAGGCATTGTACAGTTGTACATGTACCAGTATTGCACATGCATGTATTCCAGATTCCGCTGGCTTTCATTTTGGATCTTTTGCCTGAAACGCCGAAGGGCTGTTGGCTGTGGCCTTCTTCAAGCAATGCCACAATCCACTTCCAAGCGCCGCTTCTACTGGAGCCCGGGGAGAAGAGCAACATGGAGAAGACTAACGAACTGGCCAAAGGTGCCTATGTCGTCATTGGTTGTCTCCAGAGCGATGCAGGGAAAAAGCTGAATGGAGGAAAGGGGATCATTCTGAACAACCCAACTGTTGCTGATGGAGTTGCGCGTTATCCTGTACTTTTTTACGCCACCAAGAATGCCAGTGGCGCCCTTGCAGCATTGAATCCTACTGCCAACAAAAAGATCAAGGCAGAAAATATCAGTCCGGACCCACAACCTCCTGCGGAAAACTCCTTGTTGTCAGAAGTGGTCCAACGTGAATGCGTCAAGGCACAAAGTGGTCAAGCTGCCGCTGTGCAGAATGCTGTCTTTTGGCTGGAGCTCTATCACAAGGCTTGTCCAGATAATTTTGGAGTGGCTACTACCTATGCCAATTTCTTGAGAAATGCGGGCAGACCATTGGAAGCATTCGATGTTATCAAGGTGAGGCAGACCAGATGACCAGATAGATTTTGCGTGTCCACATACTGGTACCAGTACTTATAGCTTCTAACACTCATTCAACTCTCAATCCCAAGGACTACATCTTGGAGAATCACGTTCTGTAGAGGAACGCCCTTCCACCAACTGGTGGCGAACTGGAACGGGAGCGAGCCCGGCCGGATGAGACCTAAATGGAAATCCGTTAGGATTGACATTTAGGTCGAAGCCGGCCGGGCGAGCTCCCGCCAGTGAGCCACAGGAGGGGGAAGGGCGTATCTTCTGGAACCATGTGACAATTTCACGCTAAGTAACTTAACGGCCGTTAAAGTAACTAAACGGCAGTTTCTAAGTAAGTAAATTGTGAGCGTTTACATGTCACAACTCCAACCGTGCAATTACAACTGGCTAAAACCGAACCATGGTAACCCATGCACCAGGTCGCGACAACAAGAGCAACCAACAACAATCAAACCGATCCATCAACCGACTGACCACCAACCAGCACCATGACATGGGAGAAGCCCTCGCGGCGAGCGACAACACTCAACATTCATTTTAAATAGCAAGTGCAAGCCCTCGCGGCGAACGACAAAACTCATTGGAAGTCGAGCGACACACTCAAGCCCTCGCGGTGAGCGACAGCACTCAATAGCAGGAAAAAGCCCTCGCGGCGAGCGACAACACTCAACACTCAAGCCCTCGCGGCAAGCGACAAGCCCTCGCTCAGTAGTAGTAGCAGTCGTTCGTAGTAGCATCAGCAGAAGCAACAGCTGCAGTAGTACATGGTAGTAGCAAAGGCAACAACAACCAAGAGCGACCAGACTGATCGCTTTTGTTGTTTGTGTTGAGTGCTAGCTAGCTAGTAGAAGTACACGTACTGTAACCACGGTAACATGTATTCGTTCCAGCCTCCCACGCCAATTTGGAGAGCCTTGGAAGAGTACTAAAATTGCCATAGTAAAAAGAGTCGTGTCTCCAGCGCAACTTCAACTTGACGTAGAATCACTACTAGAGTCTACACGAATTCTCTAAAATAATTGGAGCATGGTTCCTCCATCTCACCCGGGCTATGCCAACTTTTGCTATGATTTCAGCACTGTTCGTTCCAGGGCTGGTCAGCAGTTAAATGCTGCCTTGGACTTGGCCCTCAAGATACCTCTGGATCCTCCTGATAACTTGACCATGTCGGTGGAAGCTATCCATGAAGTCATGAGAACCTGCAATCGTCTCATTCAAGAAGATTTGAAATCAAAAAATCCACAAATCTGCAAGACATACATTAGAGCTTGCCAGGAAGCTGTGAAACGTCAACCTGACAGTGGGTCCGACATGATCAGCTTAGCGGCATCCTACTGCCTTTCAGGAAACAATTTGGAGGGGGCTCGTAGCTACCGTCGTGCATTGGGCATGCCAAGACAAGACTTTGATGTTGCACGTCAAACCACAAATCTGATTTTGGCACAGCTCCAATGTCCCAATATGCCGCTTGAAGATCATCATGTTGTTCGCTGTACTGACACTGAAGTGATCTCCATTCTCAACAACGACATGGAGAAATGGCTCATGAGCGGCAAAGTGGTGAATCAAGAAACTCAGTCCATGGAAAAATTTGTTTATATGGCCGCAGAAGAAGGGGGTGATCTGATTAAGCACAAAATGCCATCCTCTCCCAATGATCCCAAGTACTTTCCTGAGGAGTTCTTGAAGAAAGTCCAGCCCTAGTAGATAGATAGCGGGGTAGAAAAGGAAGCTTTCTTTCTTGCAGGGGTTCCGGGTGTGCTTCTTGTGGAGGGTGGCAGTGTGTCTCCTACAACAGTGTCAACGTCGGCGCCTGCGTTTTCTAAAGGGGTCGGAGGGATGTTCGAGCTAGCATGCTCGGGTTGATAATCATCTAACTACGAGACAACCTCTCAAATTCCTATTAGTAGTTTTCTCTTAGTCTTATTCCGTGCAATTTTCGTTTTGCGCATGCATGCAAGCCCTTCACTTGTTTGCAATTTCTTCTCTTTCATCGTGCCATGTATATTGGTAGGGTATGTCTCAACCAAGTACACTCCGTCCTGACACTCCATTTCTTCCGTACACGTCCCGCTCAATTACAGTACATTAGCACATTCACCAATCACTCAACCATCAATTCCAACATCGTCACCCATCTCATCTAGTAGCACAAAGGGTTCGTTCGGTTCCATTCTCCGTCCGATTCTCTACGATGCTGCCACCATGGGAGCCTGCGCTTCACCACCTCCCTCTTGAACGGCGTTGGTTTGGGCGGCTGCCTCTTCCGCTTGCTTTTTCTTTTCCTCTTCTTCCTTGGCCTTTTCGGCATTCAACTGCAACTGCAGTTCAATCACCTTTTTCATGACGGCCTTTCCCTCTTCTTCACGTCCGTGTTTCTTGAGGGCAAACGCACGAGCTCGCATGGCGACAATCATCATTCCCATACCGTCCGTCTTGTTGCCTTCGGGGGTATCGACGTGATCCTTGCCCAGTTTTTCGGCCACCTCGTATTGTTGTTCGGCTTTGGCGTAGTCACCCTGACGCGAGAAGGTGTTTCCGATATTGACGTAGAGCGAACTACGTTCCCAATCCAGACGACCACAACGAGGTTCGGGGTCGAGCATGGGGAATACTTTTTCGTAGGATTCACGGGCTTCGTCTTCCTTTCCCATGGCGGCGAGGGCGTTACCCCGATGCAAGTAGGCACTTCGCAGACAGAGGTGACTGACTCGAATGGGTAGGAGTTTGAGAGAGGTGGGGTGAGCCAATCCAGGAGCAGTGGCATTTTTTTCGTGTTTGGGATCGATTTTGGGTTCTTCTTGAGCCTGGATGATCGATTGTAAAAATGAAAGGCATCGCATGTCAGCATTTTGTTTCAGAGCACAAGACACTCCGAGACGATCGATACCCCAAAAAGCATGATTGGTGGTTTTCCAACATAATCATACAGAATCATACACAACACATAATAATAGTACATACCTCGACTTCAATTTCATCGGTATCGTAGAATCCATCTCCGGCAATTTCAATGGCCTTATCGGCACAACGCAATGCGGCGTCGGCTCCCTCCTTTCCATAGTAAGACAAACGACGTTTGCTAATTTCGGAGAGACTCAAACTGGCACAGGCGGGTTCTCGCAAGACGGTGCTGAGCGTGAGTGCGGACCGTGCCGACGTCAAACGTTGCATTCGATGGGCCTTGGTGGCTTCATCTTCCTGTCCATCGACGGCATTTTCGACGTAGACTTCACTGGGATTGGCATCTTCTTCGTTTTCTTCTTCGCTGAATAGCAATTTGGCCAACTTTATCTTTTGTTCTCTACGAGAATCCTTGGCGAGGGCCCCACGAGTGACTCGCGGCAAGAGATCTTGTCGTAGTGCGTTAAAGTATTCCTGGTCTCCACGTTTACGACGCAAGACGGAATCTTCCAAATCAATAACGAGCGTGAGGTCGGCGACACCGCCATCATCGAATCCCTCTCGATCCAGCGCCTTGTAGCCACTTCCGGGGAGAGTGGGTTCCTCCAAGAGTTTGGCAGAACCGACCTGGTGGGTGGATGGATGGATTGATGGATAGATAATAGGTAGATCCAAAAGAGGTAACAAGCGAATTGCAACGTATTAATAGAGGGACATCAGATGATAGAAAAATAATAGCCAAAGGGTATACACAGCAGCGAGGAAAGATAAAAGAGAGATAATGGGGTTAGCAAATCAAATTTGAAGATAAACGTAAGGGGTAGCATCCACTGGAGATGACCCAAATAGATTCATAAAAAGCCCTGAATTCTCATGGATGCAAGTGCCAATGGGAATCTCATCTCGGTTGATTCAAACCACTGTCAGGATGGAATGATCAAGATAACGAGAGATGAATTTACATACCTCTGTATCAAGAGGCTTGGGAGGAGGAGGCAGTTCCGACTTCGGCAGTTTGCGGGTTGCTGCCTTTTTCTTTCCTTGAGCGGTCTTGGCTTTCTTTCCCATGGTAGATATTAACTGTTTTACTTGCTGGGTAGGGTGATGGACGAGGGGATATGGCTGGGTAGCTCTGAGTATTCAAAGAAGTGAGGGCAAGGATCGAGGCAGAGGGAGCGATGGGTTCAACGTGGTGGTGGGTGATCACTGTCAAGCGGAGTGCTTGCGTTTTAGTTGTCCGATCTCGGTAGGGTAGGAAGAGGAACTAGCACAGAAAATCCATCAATCAAAAGCTCTGAAGGTCCCTTGTTGTCTGACGTTATCGATAGTGGTGTCGGCCGCAGTGGCAGGTGGATGGCCCAAAACGTCTTCCAACCGATTGGGCAGGGACTTCAACATGCATGCTTGCATTGTGTAGCCTTGGTACTGGTAAGTCACGAGTTATGTGCGTCAGTGACCACGGGACTCCACGTGGACCAGCATGGTCTGGCCTTGGACCGAGAAAAATGAGCCGACGATGAGACACAGTCCGGAAACAGAACAAAAATGGCAAAACAAAAATGGCGGGTGGTTCCTTCTAGCTAGAAACTCGAGGATTGAATCAACCTACTAACTACCGGTATCTCGTCTCTTTGGCTACCGGTATGGTGTTATCCTGCTAGCCTAGCAGCTAGCTAGTATCCAGAGAAATTAGGAGTGTCAGCAGCGGGCGCTCTGAATTTCCTTTCCATCCGTGCTTGCTGGTGGCCGAGGGTAGCATTTGCCTTGAATGAGAAGTATTTGGTTCCCCATGGCGTCCTCTCTTCTGGTCACTACTCCAGATCTCACTCCTCCCGAGTACAAGAGTCAATGGAAACCTATAGTGGAAGATTCGGAAACCAAGAGTTACTCGTATTATTTGCCGTACTCGACAACCTCGACCACCAATAACTTTGCGACGCGGGAACAATTGGATCGTTGGTTTCATACCCTTTCCAGCTTGGAGGACGACGAGACAGCTTGGTCGGATGCCCACTACCAGGGAGAACTACTACTGCGCAAAACTGCCTGGGTTGTCCTGGACGACCGCTGTACCTGCGAATACGGATATTCCGATACCTGGCAACCCATTTCCAAATCTCAAGCCTTGCAACTTGTCGTGCAAGAAATTACCGCGGCCGTCACGGCATGTTGCGGCGGTTGTGCCACTAGCATCAATTCCTGCAATCTCAATTATTATCCCCAAGGAGGAGGTGTGGGATTTCACGCCGACGACGAATTTCTCTTTGACGGACGACGACGACCCACCCGCATCATTTCCTTGTCACTAGGGGCGGCACCCTCCAACAACTCGAGTAACAAGGATTGGGGCGCACGGAAATTCCTCATTCGACCACAAAAGGATACTCCCGAAGACGACGTGCAAGATCAGTACCACGATGTCCAACACGAAATTATGTTGCGCCATGGAGATCTCTTGACCATGGAAGGCATGTTCCAGAATCATTATTTTCACTCGGTCTGGCCAGGGGATAGCAAAGCCTACCAGGATCATCATCCATGGACGCAAGGAGAACGCATCAATCTGACCTGGCGGACCATTGTACAGCATTTGGATGGATCCAAAGAAGAATGTCGTGGTATCAAGTGTCCGCTGTCGACCACCAACAACCAACTTGGATGATGGGATTGCTGCCGAAAAAGACAACAACACGGCTTTGTTCCGTGTCCCTTTGGGCATGGGATCGCTCAGACGTGACAACAAGAGCTATCCAGCCATGTACCTGTTGCACTTCAACACGTTGTCCAGTCGTCAAAAAAATTCTTCGAGTTGCGTCTGGATGCGGGCTGGACCATCCATACGAAGAGGGCGAAGACCAAGCCCAAACACAATACATTTCGTTGTTCCGCGACATTTCGAAGTCGGCTTTATTGGATGATAACAGCTATCATCTTACATCGTAAACTCCAAATGAAATAATGCGACGCAGCGCCATCCAACCGGCTGAGGTGGAAGAAAATAGACGATAGTCAAACAGGAATCTTAAAAAAAATTAGTTTGGCGTCTCCCTTTGAGAATTATCATTATTTAAAATAGTCTTCATAGTAGCGAGGCTATCTGGCTTGCTAGCTAGAGCTACAGTAGTACCGTAGCTGACACAGCAGTGGCATAAGATTTGAATCAACAGTGCCATCCGGAAAAAAGCAAGCGTGGAGAAAACACAGGTAAACTGGCTTGCTATTTCTGTATTCTAAAGTAATCTTTCAAAAGTCGGTCCCTCAGTCTCAACCACAAGCTTGGCTACTAGAAACAACAAAAGAGAGTCTGCACTCAGCGTATACAGTTCTTCAAAAAATCATTGAAGAAGGGTTTTAGTTAGAACAAACACAAACATGCGTGGGAGTGATCTACCGTTCGGGAAACCATATTCGATTGAATCATTCGTCCATGGCACGTTGCTTCAGCCGACGGCCTCTTTGCTCCTGAAGCTTCTGCAAATGGCTCTCCCAGCTATTGGCGGTCCGAGCTCTATATTCTGTGGTTCCATCCTTGTTCTTGCCTCGGTCTTGATGCCCATGCTCAATGAAGCCACGAAGACCCCCGGCAGGACTGATGCAGGAAAGGAATTGCACACCATGACCAATGGTGCTTCCAAGGTAGGCCACAAGCAAGGATATCAAAGCGAGGGCCTTGTAGGCAGAGTTTTTGCATCCCGAGAGTATTCATGAGTATAATCTTCGGGTCGCAACCGACTTATCTTGATAAGCTTTTGGGCATGTTTCCGTGCCTGCTGTTGGGCGACCGCAAGAGATTGCATACGGCGATCGATGGAGGTTACATCGCTGGGGTTTGGAGCGGAGGCGACCGATTGATCATTGTTTCAGCAGCTACCGTTCGATGTGCCTCCGTGGTTCTTGTGTTACTAGGATGAGCTACCGGCACCGGGACGATCGTGGCGCTCTTGATCTCTACCGCTACCGCAGTCTTCGCCCTTTGAACCCTTTCACACCTTCCTATCCTCCTTCTGTTGCCTTGTGCAGTCGGCCTGTAATCCTGGTTGTCCTGCTCCCACCTTGCCCTCATCCTCAGGAACCCATTCTCCCCCCAAAGTCCACTCTAACCACTGGTAACCGGAGCATGGCACCACAACCAGCTTGGTTCTGGTTCCTTGTCTCATATGCATAAGTATTTTAATGCACGGGCGAATAGTCGGCTAAACATCCAAACATCCTGTAATTCCAGCGACATCTCCACCATCAACAGCTTCGCGTCCCCAACGGGCCAGCGCTCGACCGGGATCCACCCCGCCAATACCTGCAAAGTAGTGTGCCCAAAACCTCTACACTTGTAGTAGCTCAAAATTTCCATAATAATCTATAGAAACCCCCCCATCAACAAAGTTGCCTCCATATTCAAAATGGTAAGCTTGGGGGTTAGCTATCACATACATGATGACCGTATGGGGAACTCTGCGTTTGCAATCCGAATAGCCAAGCAAAACCTGGTATACACAGCTCTACCATCAGTGAGCGACCTTTCCCAGTGTAGGTAGACTATAAGCAAAGACATCATTATCTTTCCTCGGTGTATAGATCCACGGTGTTGGAGGGGCAGCTAGTAGGTACCGGCATTGTTCTTGGATTGTAAGGCACGAAGGCGGTTTGTTTTGGGGCATATTCGCCTGGAGGGTCCACTTGCACTCGGGTCGGCTTATCGACATTGGTCAGATCCCCTGGCGGCGACATCGGTGCTGCGCTGGGGTAAGGCATAGTTGACCCACCCAAATTGGATAGATGGATCGGTAGTTGCATTCGCGGAGGCGGCTGCTTATCGACATAATATGCAAGGGGGGTATCGACATTGGTAAGATCCCCGGGCGGTGACTTTGGTCCTGGACGTGGAGTTAACCCAGCCAGATCTCCGGGGGGCGACCTTGATTCTGCGAATGATGCGTAGCGAGGCTCATACACTTGTTTCTTCTCTGCTGGTGGCTTTTTTGCAGCAATTCGTCGAACGTATTTCCTTTTCTTCCTCTTGTTCGGCGACGGTAGGACCTTGATGAAATGCTTCTGGGCATGCGATCTGACTTGATTAGGACTTCTTGTTTCGACCAGGGCGGAAATCATCTTCCACCTCCCCTTCATCCTGCCATACTTCTGGTAACCCTCCAAGAAGAGCTCATGTTCTTCTGGCTCCCAAGTTCCTGTCTTGTAGTATTCCAAATCGGACGCAGACGCTGCCGCTGCCGCATGGCTTCCAGTCGATTCCTGCATACTAGTAGTCCCGGGGATTGATCGATACTCGGAGTGAGTCCTCAGGGTCTGGCAAAGGAGGAGTGGTATTGAAGGTTTGTTTGTTGTGTTCAGAGATTACCACCAGGTACTAGTAGTGAGGGTCGGTGTGTCGGTACCTTCGCTCTGATCTGTTAGTGGTACTACTAGCTAGCTAGGCTACCAATACGGTATCGTCGCTACCGGTATGGGGCAAAGGTTCACGGGCCTTGACGAGACAGAACGGATGCTGAGGAAGTCTTTACTTTTTTGAACCATCCAGCTTCCACAGAGCGCTTCCCAGCATGCTTGGAGGTTGGAGGTCTGGAGGTCACCCCCGATTGTCCTGCTTTCAAGAACAGGCTTTCCCTTGGGCTTCTTGCACCGCGGCAAGATACTTATTATTGCTATTAAAACACGTACTCGTACTTACCGGTATGCACATGGATACGGATACCTTATTTTAAAAAGGGGACTGGCATCAAGAAAGTGAAAAGATATAAAGCTGAATGGTGCCACCTCTGCTTTTCAAAACTGAACCTCTTATTTCAAATCACCCACGGTCGGCGGTGAGACGTCCCCTTTACCGGGCAAGATTTCATTGCATCGCCGAATCCATTTCTTTAGTGTTTAGGTTAGATTCAATCATTCCTCCTCCGGTTTTTAAGTTTTTTTCGAATCGTGCAAGTACCGTACTTGGCCGTACGATACCGTACGGGCGCCCTCTGTGGAGTCGAGTCGGTGGGGCATGGCTCACGAAGAAGCCACAATGACGTAACAGGGGCTTAGTGTTAGCAATACCGGTACGTAGGTAAACATCTGCGGTGCTATGTGCGATAGTACGGTACGTGGTATGGTACCGGCTTGAACCCGCGCATGGTGTCTTGATAGCGGTACGAGTATGCCACTTGGCTGCAGAGTACTAGTACGCTGTACCGCATGATAAGTCAGCGGGAGCTGCGATACCTCGGCAGAAAGACAGATAGAAGAAGGAGGATCATGTTCGAGATTGCACCCATCTTTCAAGCCAGCCCTGGCGACAACACCCGACTACGTCGTGTGTTGCCGCCCGGTATCATTCATTCCCTCATTGCAACCTTCTTTATTAAGCTAGCCCTGGCGACAACACCCGACTACGTCGTGTGTTGCCGCCCGCTACTCTATAATTTACCAGCTGCCATTCCCTTATTGTAACTCTAACCTTTACAACTCCTGCTGGCTTATTGTGCTCCTGTGCTGATTGCACTAACCTTAAATATTAATGATTTATTCCTACCCCTAACTTGTATTGAACCATCAATGTTCAGTTTTGTTGGCTTATGACTATCTCTATCCTTCTACTTTGGCTTCACCGGAATACGAATAGGAAATAGGAAATAGGAAATAGCATTAAAGGGGTTGAGAACTCAGGCAGTTTACCTGCCGAGGTTAAAGGGGGAGGATACCGCTAAAAAAAAACTGGCACAAACTCTTCTACTATTCGTAGCCAGTGCGGTACTCTAATATCTGTTGAGCATCGAGTCCAGTCGGTTGCCCCCACCAGATATTATCCAAGCTCTCTCTAGCTAGCTCTTGTTGTTGTTGTATTTTTGCAACAAACTGAGGACCAAAAACAGGGGCAGAATGGTTCGACATGCGGGATCCACAGATAAAAGAGCTGCTCTCTTGTTCATGGAGTTTTTTTGCTATCTAGTGCGCTTCGGTACTGGGCAAGGGTCACAATCATCTGCAAGAGGGAGTTTGTAGTCATGAATTGTCAAGCAGGCACCACTTCTAGCTAGAGCTAGGTAATGTGGGCTCAGATATCGTTTTGTAATTCTGGCAACCTAAGAAGATTGTTTTTTTTTCAACCCGAGTCGTTGGACTACGCTATCCAGTACTGTGTTTGTGTCGTGTGCAGCGACTATTCGGATTGCCATCTCCCCTTGTTCTTCTACGCCAGGCTCAAAGCCACGTTGCACCATGGAAAGTTCTCTGAGAACAGCTTCCTCGCTCCCATCGGGCTTGCCATGGGATTTCCAAAACTCTTCCAAACTCTTGCCTTGCGATTTCGCCACCTCTTTTGTTTGTTCCAGTTTGCGTCTGGGTGCTGCTTTTTCGGCATCGTACAAGACCACAAATTGGATCTGTTTCCCCGTCAAGGACAGCAGTCGCTCTTCGATCCATTGGCGAACCGAACGCGGGTAGACGGCAAAACTGACGGCGAATCGGATGGGATTTGGTTGCTTCGACACGGCTTGAGCTACCGCTTGGACCAAACACTCCATGGAATCAGCCCAATCCTCTACTGGGACTAGTGCACCCGTAAACAATGCCCCAAAGTTCTCGGACACCAGCGACCACTTTTGCTTGAGTTCTTCTGGTCGGTCTGTGTGTTGCTTGTAGATGCCTGCGTCGGCAATGGGATCGCCACCTTGGTAGAAGACGTCTCCATCAAAATGCACAAAACCATAGTGGTCGGACAAATTGGTACCAAGTGTCGTTTTCCCAGCTCCACTCTGACCACTGATCCACAGGAAAACAGCTTCGCTTGTGGTTGTTGTCATGATTGATGGATAGAAACAGTGTAGTACTCCTTTACTCTGTAGTACTCCTTTACTCTGAATTTTTTTATCTTTGATTGCGAGTGATGTCTACTCAGCTCCTCAGTCGTTCGCGTTTCATCGAGAGCACCTCTGCAAAGATTTTCTTCTTCAGTTGTCGGAAGCAGGAAAGATCTTCGCCACGTCACATACATCGTCTACTTGTACTAAGACTGATTAGGGTTAGAAGCTTTTTCAAGGGGGTTCGACAGCCATGCCCTCGGAAATAAGATTGACCTTGACAGACGCCTTTGAACTCAGATGAGGCGATACCGGTAGAAGTTTGGGTATCATGCAGAGTTCGCCAATGTAGAACCTCCAGAATATTTAACAACGACACCAGCCCAACTGCATGTATGTACTAGAGCTACCAGGTATGATAGCTAGAACAAATATCAACCATCGGCGTCAAGCGTTGAAATGGCCGAACTCAAACCTGCACAAGATTGAAGAAACAAACGAACAAATAAACGCTGCAACTGCGGCTATAGCGTGCATTCAGTTCTGAGACATTAAAAAGTGCGGGGTTAAATTTTTTCGTAGTCTAGCTAGTTGATTGAAATAAATAGTTGACGGTCAAACCTCACAGCACAAGAAAGGTTCCCAGTACCAAAACTTCTACAACTGTTTGCGTGCATTGTCTTCTTCTGGGTTCCCTGAAATGCAAACCAGATTGATGCAGTATCTGTACCCTTGACCATCCGGTAGATTATGGCCTAAGTGTGTACCTGGTCGCATCAGAAATAGTAGCAAGAGAATGAGTACCAAAGCAGGCATTTCGTTGCGATCCATGCATGTATTGTATCCGCGCGAAGAAAACGTACCATCCGCCGAAACCGTCTCTCCATCTTCTAGGACTCGCACATTTTCCCAAACGACTTCTTGATTGCGGAAACTGGGCCAACCGTGTTTTCGACTCTCGGCGACAAAATCCTCCCACGTTCGCCCAATCGGTGCTCGGAAAATGGGTTTTCCCGTATTGCTGTCATAGAATTCCACTGGATGTTTCTCATCTGGAGTCCCATTGGCGGTCGCTTCGTCCATGAACGACGTGGTCAACCAGTACCCGGAACGTTCAGCATAATGTCTGTGAAGAAGAGAGATGACTGAGAAAAAGACACTACAGACTGACCTCCTTGCCAATTGAATCACACTCACCTGTTAAAGTTTGCAATACGATCGGCCGTTTTGGTGTCACATCCCCACCGAAGTGGATTCTGCACGGGTGTCTCCGATGTTCCGTGGGCCTTTTTTCGCATGATGGATTCATCGCCAGGCACACAGGGGTCTTCGCAACCTGCATTCCGACGAATTCTGCCAAGCCACGAAGCCCGCACGGAATGACACAGGGCCACCAACACCAACAACTGCAATGGGAATCTCATTTTTTTTTTCTTTCTTGCTTTGTGTGATGTGTTTATGGAGGTTGGCAACCTTGAATGATTGGGAACGAAGGTTGCTCGAGTGGTTTCTGTTTCGTTGTTTGTGTTGTGTTCTTCGCTCAGGCTGTTGGAGTGAATCAGCCCCGAAGCTGACAGAGCTGCTGAAAGGCAAAGAGACCGGGGAGGCAGACTTCAACTCCAGCCAACTCCACCACAAAAACGTCCAAGAAGCGCACTTTTGGGCCACTTTGGCTCGGAGACGACCTGACGGGCGAACATCTACGATGTATTGTATCCTATCTAGCCAGCTAGTGCAATCGCCAACACTGGCATTGCCTCGGTCTAGCTATGATCTGCAATCTCCTGGTCGTAGGTTGATCGGTTCAGGACTCTTCCCATACGGTAGATGTGGCTTGGAGCTAAACCGTTGGGGCCCTCGAAAACCTTGACAAGCATTGGCGTTCTAGCTAGAGTAGCTAGCTAGTCGTGGAGGATTAGATTGACCATGGACAGGATTGACCTTGGACATAAGTAGATACATTAGAACAAAATATATATACTAGTTTAGCCCACATCCAGCTAATACAAGATGCCACAGATAGCTCATCCACTGAGTCCATCGTACACGGAGTCCAGAGTCATCAGCTTGTGTGCTATGGCCTCCTTCTCACTGATCTGGTTTGGAGCTGAATGGGCTGCACCTGCAACTAAAGCATCGCGCAGACCACCCGCATTGGTAGTAAATGCCACCATGCGATCCTTCAGCTCCTTGGCGGCGTCGGATGACACTGTGAGATCCACATGAGGGAGATCCTCCCGGTTTTGCCACCACGAAGATTGTGGAGTGGCAACAGCAATAACAGGAGTATGGCAGCTCAAGGCATCAGTGACAACACGTGCAAGTGTCTCAATCACACCTCCAACAAAGAGCATGGCATCCGATGCCTGTAGCAAAGTCCCCACTTCGGATTGTTCAAGGGTACCCATGTAGAAAATATTTTTCGGATGTTCTCGCACGTAGTGCTGCAACACACTTAGCTCACCCTGATCCGGGCCAGCCACTGCCAAGCATGTGTTCTGCCAACTGCCGTTGTCTTTCAACAGTCTTGCCATGGCATCAAGGATTTCGCGAATATGTTTCTCCTTTGCTAGTCGTCCCACCCATGTGAAAGTTACCTCACAATGTGACCCAATGATTGTGGACGGACTGAAGTTCTGTGACCTGGTAGTGGCGCACATATTTGGCACACCTGCAGGCGCAATTTGAACCGGTCCCTTGTACCCAGTCTCATCACGAAGGTGCTTCTCCTGTTGTTCTGAGATTACTAGAACTGTGTTTGCGTATTTGAGCATTTCCTTGTGCAGCCAGTGAAGTGCCCGTTGAACCAACGGGAGACCCGTCCACGGATTGAACATTGGTATCAAATCGACAAGGTTCGTGTGAATGTCATACACCAACGCAGCTCCTAATTCACGGGCTTCATAATGTCCCGGTGCGATCATCATCATATCAGCCATGAGGACGATGGGATCCGGAATCAGAATAACATCCGCACCAAAGATAAGAATGTGTTGCCGCATTTCATTTCGAAAGGCCCGTGGATCAAAGGCGGCAAGGCCACCTCGATCTAATTCATTGCTTTTCTGAACCGGGAGGCGCAGAATTTCCAAGGAGCCAGTGCCATTGTTTGGAAACGCAATGGGGACCACTTCATCCCTGAGAAGAGGCTCCACCACAAGGACATTGGTCCCACGAGCCAATGCGCCTGCAATGAGTTGACGGTAGGCAACAATTGACCCTGACACGGTTTGGACATATGTGAGTGGTTCCGAAGATATCACACAGAGTCGCTGCATTGTAGAGCCCTTGTTGTGGGTAACTCCTGGTGTTTCTGGGGCAGAGTACAGTTCTGGTTGGGCGGTGAAAGCTCTCAGAGCAGACGCAGCCATGAGAGATAGTACCAAGAACATCTTGAGCCATTGGTGGCCACGGCGATCACCCTTCCTTGGGTTGCCCGCGTGATCAGATGACACTTTTCCTGTTTCTGGAAGCTGTAGAAATTTCATTTCCCACTGCTCCTCTTGGGCAATTTGTTGCAACTTCGGGGTCGGATTAATAGCCACAGGATTCCCTACACTTTGAAGGAAGGCCAGGTCCTCGTGATGGTCAGAATAGGCCCATGAACTTGAAAGATCAATGCTGCATTCTTCAGCTAGCTCCTGGATGGCCTTGGCCTTTTCTACACCACAAAGGATGCTACCAGCCGGCCTTCCCGTACAAATTCCATGTTGGTCACATTGGATGGAAGTTGCAAGCCAGGCATCTACGTTGAAATCTTCGGCGAAAGGCTTCAAGAGGTGTTCACTGGTAGCCGATACTATAATAATCATGTGCCCCTTTCTTCGATGATCATTCAATATTTCAATCATTTCTCTGTAGACCATCAGTTTGATTCTCTTGTGGTAGAGCCACCGTGCGCTTTCAATGAGGCTTGTATGGCGAATGCCTCGGTAGGACGAAAGGTACATCCTGCCTAGGAGATCCGCATTGGCCCAGCCTCTGTTGACAATGGGTTCAAGCATGAAGCATCCCAAGAGCCCGGCAATGACGCAAGGGTTTGTCAAATGACGAGCAAGAAGCACATCTTGCCCTTCCAACAACTGGCTGTCTTTGGCCACCAAGGTCTTGTCAAAATCAAAGAATGCTGCGGCTGCTCCTTTTTGGTGGTCGGCAGAAGTTGTTGCTGTTGCTACTCCCACACCTTGGTGATTGCACATTCCAGTTACTGGTTGCTAGTAGTCGTATTGGACGGTTGGGCTGATTCGATTCGATTCTGTGATGTGAAAGGAGACTCGACCTCGCCTTGACTCTGGCTCGACTCCAAAGTGCTGGGCAAAAAGGGCGCGTGCCGAACACCCAGGGGAAATAATGTATGTGATGGGACTCAATCGTCAATCGTCATAGTCCTCGCAAAGGACGGTGGGGTTGCATTGCAGGAACTGCAGTGCTGGGGTAAACCAGCATCAGAGCCGGCCGTGTGGGCCCTCCAGGCCTAGCTACGACTGTATTCAGAGGACCATTATGTGGAGTGAAGTTAGTGTCGGTCAACTCACAAAATGGATGCACACGGTTTTTAAACTGCCAGGTCGGAATGGCTCTCCGGGTTGCATTCGGAATGGCTGTCAGGGCTGGATGGCTGTTGACGCAGAAGGCTTTGGTTGTACGAAGGACTATTGTTGCTGTAACATTGATCTCCACTCCCTCTAGCTAGCGAATACCTACAACAGCGAAAGCCCGAAAGGCAATAAACTGCAAGTCAAATTCGTCGCCCAGTAGGAGTGTATCCCGACGAGAGAAGTTCAACAATCCCAACATTGGAGGCACAATCTACCAAGTGGGCTGTTGAAAAGTGGTCAAACTCATCATCGGAACTCCGGGCCAGTATCCACAGCAAGGCGGGTGTGCTATGGTGCTTGCCACTTGCCACCAAGGGTAATGTTTCCAAATCGAGTGGTTTCGTTGAAGAATCCATGGACATTGATTTCTGCGGCTCATCTGCGTGGGGGGGGGGGGGGAATGATTCAATTCAATCTACGAAGTTGCCAACAAATCATTTGCTCTATGTCTGGACCAGATTGTCATCCAGCTAATACAACGTATTTGCTTTTTCATTTATCCAATTCACAACACTTACATGGACATGTAGTAACTGTGGAACAAACTTCCTTTTCTCCCGTGCTGAAAATCCCCAGTACCTGGTACCCGACAAATGGTCATGGTGGCCACAGTGACATCACTATTCCTAGCCGTATGCACTTTGGGCGTACAAGGTTTCCGGTGCAGTAACGCAAGCAAAGCGATTTAAAGGCAGGAGTGCTTTCGCGGAGGAAGCGAGGATACGGCAAGAGAGGAACGAGAATTGGAGCCGACACGCCGTCAACATCCAGGAAGCAGCGAGTCGGATCGGCAAGACATTCTAGGAGTGATTGTAGACGACGCAGAAGCGGTCTATATCACGGTGATCGACCTGATCCTGGGACACCGTGATCGTTCCCAGCAGCCAGAACTTACTTGGGCTGCTTGGTGGATCCAATGCAGAGGCAGGAAAGGCCTGTGAACATTGGGGAGACTTCAAGGACCGGTGAGTCTTTGGTGTTGTAACCACTGGAGACTCGAAGCTTGCTGAAGCAAAACGTTCCTCCGAAGCACCATTGCTAGTTTAGGAGCAATTGCTGCAGGCAGGTTTATAGTAGGTTGAGGACTCTTGCTTCTTCTTATTACCTGCCGGCCTCTTTGTTTGACTGCCGCGACGCGTTCTTCCGCACAGTGCTAATTCACGCGCAAAAGCAAAAGCAACTTACGACTTTCATACCATGGTATCCCCCTTTTTTGTTGCATGGTTAGATCTAAACCAGGTTCTCGTCCGTTTCCCCAGAGAAGCTTTGCTTGCTGGGTTGGCAGCATGCTCGGTCGTTTCAAGATCAACTTTTGAGCGGTTGTGCCACTGCTTGTGAATTGGTCATTGCTGGATCGTTTGAAACTCCTTTGCCAGAAACTAGCTTGCTAGCTACCGATCGGAGCACAGTCAGCTTGCACCATTGATGAGATCGATGAGAGCACCGAACCATCTATCGATAGGATTGAAAGTTCTGCCGTTTTGCCAGTTTCGGCTCCCGCAAGTCGAGTGACAGTCATGGCGTGGGAGTCGAAGACATCCTCTGGGATCTTTGGATCAGCCGGTTTGCGGAAGCGAATGGCTCCTGGCCAACTGAAGCTCACAAACAACAAACAGACAAGTAAGCCACCATGTTTACAACGCGCCGCATGAAGAATATTATTTCACCAACCAGCAATGTGCCAAAGCCGCTTCGCAGAAGCCGCCGCTCAAATGCTGAGGTCTATGATAGCCTTGTAATGGCCAACCAGCATGCCGACCGTATCGGGTCGATATCGAGGCCATCGCCTCCACCGGTATCATGTTTTGATTTCAGCCACATGTCAGATAAGAATGAGGAGGCCAAGCTTATGAACAGAACTATGCTAGGCAACATCAAGTTCAGCGCCGCATTCAAGGCATCTCCTCGAATAAACCTCATCGAAGCAGCCAAGACCACCACACCAGAAATCCCAGAGTCGGCAACTCTCAAAGCGTCAGCCAAGGCAGCCCCGAAACTTCGCCATGTTCGAGTATAATCCTTCATTCACTGTCCTATTCTTCAACAAGAGTCAAGCAATTCACCCCAATATTCATAACCATGTACTAATTAAAGAGTAAAAATATACTATCGAGTGGCGATATTTCATTGTTCGTAATGATACAGATTACCAAGAATAGGACCAAGCACAGCGGGGCCGAGATTGTGTGCTTCTATGCATGCATGCATGCATTCGCGTCTTCTTATGTGTAGACCAATGGTTCTTTGAGATTCATTTGAAGTCTCGGGAGCTTGTAGTCAGAGTTCCGTTGCACCTTAACAAAGGACAAGTATCCGTAGACGAACATGACGAAGCTGACGATCAGCCAAAACCACATTCCAAAGGCACTGGTGGAGTTGCGACGCCTCGCCAACCATCCTCTGTTTCTGGAGTCCATGTATCCCTGTAAGGGATTCTCCACCAGCGTCCCTTGGGCATTGGCCAACAAAATGTCGCGAAAGCTGGCCGTCTTCATTTCTGTCTTGGCCATGAACTTCATGCACTGAATACGTGTTTGTTGTGCCAATAGAGAGGCAACGTGGGTGAGAAACGGCATAAAACATCCAATTCCACCAGTCTCAGACCAGCCATGACACGAGCCACTTGGATAGGGCAAAAAGACAATCCCTTGCATTTACTTGAAAATGACTCACCTGATTGACATTGGTATAATCCGCATCATCATAACAATCAAAATCTTCTCCTTGCGCATTGCCATTGCCATAGTAGTAATTGTAGCGATAGTCATCATCGTATCCGTAGCGGTACGTTCCGTAATTTTCGCCTCGATTTTCATCATCGTCCAAATTGTATCCGTAATTGTGCACATCGTAGGCCACACAGGGTTGACAGATCCGAAATGTCTCGAGGGAGTAATCCCACTGTTCCAGAGCACTGGCAAACGTTTCATCTCCACCGCCATTATTATTATTATTGTTGTTGTCGCCACTTCCACCTTCTCCCAAGACATTTCCAACGACATTTTCCACCGTAATGGGATCGTCGTCTCCAGTGGACACGTACTCCTCAATGCACCTCGTGTCGGTGTACAATCCAATGGTGATTTTTCCTCCGGCAATGGGTTTGGTGGAATAGTAAATGGCATCGCCAGAGGTGGATGCGGCTCCCGTGGCGACGCATCCCTGTGGCCATGCCTCTCTGGCATCCGACATGAAATCGTATTCATCTTCGGTCCATACGCACATGCCTTCGTGCTTGAACAATTGTTCCATCCAATCATCGAGGGACTGGTGTTTGAACATGCCCAGTAGACTCCAATGGGTTCCATCTTCGTGGCAGTCCATTTTGGCACATCGTGAATCTTCGACAATGGAGCAGGGAGTGTCGTTCCATTCTCCGGTATCCTTGTCGTAGTACTGATATTCTCCAATACCACCACCTTGGTAGTTCAAGTCGACATACTAGAACAATATAATAAAATATGGATGATAGGACGGGAACAAAAAGAGTCAGATACTTCTCACCATAACATGTATGTATGGTAGCATGTGTAGCCTGTGGTGACTAGCTAGCTAGGTGGCTAGCTAGACAGTCCCACCAGCACACAACACACACATATCTTCTATACATGAAATACATACCGCAGCCCAAATGACATAACGATGACATCCTTCTCCTGTCCCTTGATCTCCACTTCCACTGTTCCCATTCCCGTCATCATCGACATCGGAGAGCATATCGTCACAATCAATCATGAATCCCAACAATCTCCATGCTTGCTGATATTCGTCGTATTCGGTTTCTCCTTCGACAAAGGGCGAGAGGTAATAAATATCATTGTTGACCATGACATTGGTATCGGCATCTCCTCCATCATTACCAAGGTGTCGTCGCGCATGCGTCCGGTGTTGTCCATTGCGGGTCAATTGTTGGGATGCCCATTGTCGAATTTGGGAATCTTCGAGCAATCCATTCTCCCACTTGTGACTGGGCAAAAATTGGACACCATTGTTCAGAGACATCCATTGATCTTGCTGGGTGTCCGTCATGTCATGGAGATCTTGATTGTTCAAGAATAGATTGTCATGATTATTGTGGTGTTGTTCCAGAGGTTGTGTGGGTTTCTGGGGCATGGCGGCTGCTGCTGCTGCTTGCGAGGAAAGCAACGATAGTACCATCAACCAAACAATCATCAGTGGAAGCAGCCGTATCCTACCGATGGGTGTGATACTACTACTACTACTACTAGACAGAGGCATCATCTTGATTTTGAGAAGCAGATATCAGTGAATTGAATGAATTGAATGAAATAATTGGAGAGAGATCCGTTGTACCGTTGTATAGCTGAAGGTTGGATGGAAGGAAGGAAGGATGGGTATATACCTCTTTTAACCATTAACCAATGCGTTTGGTACGATCAAGTTGTGGATCCTCTTTTGGCGCACAACAAAGAGATGAGGAAGATACAACCTGCTTGCTTGCTACTAGCTTGCTTATAGTATACTAGTAGTCAGATTGATTAGAGTAGGAACCCTTTGCTTGCCAAAGACCCCGCCACTTTTCCTCTTGTGCAGGTCCAGCACAGAGCCAAGCAGCGCAAGCAAAAAGAGCCGTCCACTACGTCCAACGGGAAGACGTCAAAAAATGGCGGGATGGATACCGCCCTCTCTCCCGGCGCATGATGTCTAAATTGCGTACGTTCAACGAATCCATGGTCAATCTAATTAAGTCACAAGAAAACCGCCAGTAACATCAAATGCTAATTTGTTTAGCAAAATAGCCCGCTTTTTTTCATCCATGCCATTCGTCCTGGCGCGAGCTGCACGATGTTCTTTGGCTCTCATTCTATTGCTTTGTTGTTGTGCAATCTTTTTTCTGAAGCTCCGAAGGGGTTCACAATCACACAATCAATCGTCGGAGCTACTACTACAGTCAGTACCAATAGCTCTTCTTCTTGGGTGAAATAGCTAGTTGTTTTGCTAGCTAGTAGTGCTCCGTGGGATACCTGATGCATCCATCATCACCATGGGGTTTTCCTTGACTTGTCGTCGTCCAACTAAGGACGATGACTCTACCGCTGCAAGACCGTCCTCTCTGCTTCTTCTACTTCTACTGCTTCTACTTGTATCATCGTTTCCAGTGGTTGTGGACGCCGACAAGGATTCCAACATGTATCCATGGGGCTTCAATCCCAACACACATTTCAAGTCGTACTGGAAAGACGCGGCCAATATCCTGGAAGATTTGGATCAGTTCCAAGCCCTTTACATTACCGTCCACGGCTGTGTGTGGTCCGAATGTGGCGTCGACGACTTTGACGACGACGGCGAGAATCACGATGGAGACGAACAATGGTACGAGACGCGCACGCGCACATTCTGTGCCAATGCCGCCTACAGTCTCTATGGCATTCGCAAAAACAATTTCAAATTGGTCAATACATGCAGCAAGGGAACCTACATTAATACATTCTTTACGTATGAAGGAGCCGATACGTTGGCGCGGGCACTGGAATTGAGTATCAATGAAAACAAGGACGACAGTCGATACTCGACCAAAGATGATGATTCTTATGGGACGAGTAATTCAGACTGTGTTGCTGTCGATGGGAATGGACGAAGACAACGTCATTTGGAAGACAATAGCAATGAAGACGACCAACAAAATCAACAGCAATATGATTACGAGACGGATGATGGTGGAGATCCCTATTCGGGAGTTGTCTCCACCACCATGGGATGTGCCGCCAGTGCTACCAGCAAGTACAACAAGTTTGTATTGGCCGGGTTTGACGATCAGTATTGCAGTGGACAACACTACCTCAAGACGGTCGATAACCTCAAGACGTACAATCGAGCGTTGCACAAGGTATCCTGTACCCGCATTTGGGAACTCCGGAATCAAAACAACAATAACAACAATGATGATGCTTATAACAATCAGAACAATAACAATGGAGACAATCGCCGCCACCTGGACAACAACAACAATAACAATCAGTACAAGCGCGTCTACAACTCGATCGCGGAACAATTGCTCTACCACAGTTGGGCATGCGATCTCAGTCTCTATCCCAACCAATGTCCCGATCCATACGGACTCAAGCGCAAGTACTACAATGTCATGAAGTCGGCCGCCAATGGACAACCCATTGGATTCGCCGTGTGGAATGCAAGACTCCGTATACCCATCAAGTTCTTGACATGGCTGCTCTTCCTCACGGGCATGTACTTGGCATGCTTTGCCTATTACATTCGAAACAAGGACTTTATTGCCGAAAAGGGCGGTGGCGTTCGGGGGTGGGGTCACTTGCTCCGACGCGATGTAGTCGCCGGATCGGCGGCCGTTTCCGCGTCGGTTGCCAAGGTACGCGAGAGTTCCCGGAGTAACAAATCCTCCAAATCGTCGCGCTCCAAGTCGGGATCCTCGTCCTCCTCCAAGAATGCCAACAAGGGATGGTTTGCCGCCATCTTTGGCGGCAAGAGGAAAAAGAAGAAGAAGAAAAAGAAGGGACAAAAAGATGCAAGCGGTGGTGGCAGCAGCAGCAAGCGATCCTTGCAACGAACTCCCTCGGGGCGAATCCTGGAGAATGATGAAGTCTCGGCTTACACGGAAATGACGGACGATTACCAGAACAGTCAACGATCGGGACGCTCCAGTCGCTACACTTCGGCCAACTTTTCTTCCTCTCGGACATCCAAGGCCGCCGAAGCGGCATTTGCCGCGGCGGCACAGTTTGATCTGGAACAGCAGCAACAGCAAAATCAACCAACCTACATGGTTCATCCCGATATTTTACCACGTCAAAACAGCATGTCACGTCAAAACAGCATGGGTGGTCAAAGCGAACGCAGTGGCAGAAGTCGACGCAGCAGTCGGAGCAATCGCAGTCGATCCAGCAATCGCAGTCGCAGTCGACAACGAGCGGCGTCCATGACGCCCGTGCGACGAACGGTGGTGGATGCCAGTCCGACAAGATCACCGGGTGGAACCAGTGTGCGAAGCAGTCGACGTTCTCGCAGTCAATCGTCCGAACGACGCGTCTTTGTGTAAAAAAAGTCGTACAACTAAATAACTAATGAATGCGTGTTGTGGTGGAATGAAACAGGGGAAATCCTTAAAACGACATTATACATGTAGGCAGTCAGTCAACACAGATTCATGAAGGAGTTGTCGGTTAGCTATGTATTGATAGATTTCCATTATTGAGTGAGCTTTCAACATCAGAGCTGGCGACTGGCTACTAGCTGTAGCTACAATGTGACGGGGCCTGCATGGCTGTGACCGGTACCGGTAGGCCAATCTGCACTCATCATTGTTTGCCCTTGTATGGTTTTTCCCTCGGCATATCATAGTTTGTCACGATCACGATGTCCCGAGGCCAGCCAGGTGGTGGTTCCAGCACTGGAGTTCCCATAATGGCTCTAGCCCCAGCCAGAACTGGTTTCCTGCAATGGCTGGCTGCCTCACCCCGGCCAGCACTTCTTGGTGAGTTCCCTCAAGTGCATGCCCCAGCACTGAATTTTCCACAGCAGCTAGCCCCAGCACGGTTTTGCAACAAGGGATCACCCCAGCATGACGTCTCTAGTAGAGTATCTTCAATCTATTTATTCAATCGTTTCATATTCCTCAGGGAACTACAAAGCGATTCGCTCAGAACTCGGACAACAAAGTCCTTTTATTCATGAAACAAAGGTTTTATTCCCAAGTCGATCGTTCCAATGAAGCTAGCAATGGCTTCGCTCCCACATACACCATACTACGAAAATCTGTATGTCATCCATGAAACCTGCTTGGGCTCAAACACCTGTCTTTCGAGAAAACATTTCGCCTCAAAGAGCTCAAAAATAAAATAAAAATGTACGTGCTCTCTTGGCGGTTTGGCTCGCGCCCTGTTTTGCCCAGCACTTTCCCAGTCGCAGTCCAATCACACCCATACCGTATGTGTCCAGCGTTGTACTAATCCCCAGCAACCTCCCTAATAAATACTAGTACCCGTCCAAAACACAGGAAAAAGGATACATGATTACAGGAGTATCTGCTACATGCAATGACCAAGGTGTGGGGTCAGCGACGGCAACTGCCACTTCTGTCAACCACCCAAAAGGAGTAGCAGCTGCATTCTTCGATTTTGACAAAACCTTGGTGGCCAAAGACAGCCAGGCATTGGAAGGGCAACATGTGCTTCTTGCTCATCATTTGTCAAACCCCCACATCATCGCTGGGCTGTTAGGGTGCTGCATGCTTGAACCCATTGTCAACAGAGGCTGGGCCACAGGCTGGGCCACAGCGGGTCTCCTAGGCAGGATGTACCTTTCGTCTTACCGAGGCATTCACCATGTGAGTCTCAAGGAAAGCGCACGGTGGCTCTACCACAACAGAATCAAACTGATGGTCTACAGAGAAATGATTGAGATAATGAATGATCATCGACGAAAGGGACACATGATCGTTCTAGTATCAGCTACAGCTGTACCAGCGAACATCTCTTGGAGCCTTTCACCGAAGATTTCAACGTAGATACATGGCTTGCAACTTCCATCCAACGTGACCAGCATGGAATTTGTACCGGAAGGCCGGCTGGTAGCATACGTTGTGGTGTAGAAAAGGCCAAGGCCATCCAGGAGCTAGCTGAAGAATGCAGCATTGATCTTTCAAGGTCATGGGCCTATTCTGACCATCACCAGGACCTGGCCTTCCTTCAAAGTGTAGGGCATCCTGTGGTTATTTATCGGACCCCAAAGTTGCAACAAATTGCCCAAGAGGAGCAGTGGGAAACTAAACTTCTACAGCTTCCACAAATGGGAGAAGTGTCATCCGATCACACTGGCAAGCCAAGGAAGGGTCGTCGTCGTGGTCACCAATGGCTCAAGATGTTCTTGGTACTATCTCTCATGGCTTGTCTGCTCTGAGAGCTTTCACCGCCCAACCAGAACTGTACCGGTACGCTGCCCCAGATGCACTAGGAGCTAGCCACAACGAGGGATCTACAATGCAGCGACTCTGTGTGATATCTTCCGAACCGCTCACATATGTTCAAACCGTGTCGGGGTCAATTGTTGCCTACCGTCAACTCATTACGGGAGCGTTGACTCGTGGGACCAATGTCCTTGTTGTGGAGCCTCTTCTCAGGGATGAAGTGGTCCCAGTTGTGTTTCCAAACAATGGCACTGGAACCTTGGAAATTCTGCGCCTCCCGGTTCAGAAGAGCAATGAATTAGATTGAGGCGGCCTTGCCGCATTTGATCCATGGGCCTTTCGAAATGACATGCGGCAACGCATTCTTATCTTTGGTGCGGATGTTATTCTGATACCAGATCCCATTGTCATCATGGCCGATGTCATGATGATCGCACCTGGACATTATGAAGCCCGTGAATTGGGAGCTGCGTTGGTGTATGACATTCACTCGAACATTGTGGATATGGCACCAATGATCAATCCATGGATGGGTCTCCCGTTGGTTCAACGGGCACTTCACTGGCTGCACAAAGAAATGCTCAAATACGCAAACATGGTGCTTGTAATCTCAGAACAGCAGGAGAAGCACCTTCGTGATGAGACTGGGTATGATGGACCGGTTCAAATTGCGCCTGCAGGAGTGCCAAAATGTGTGCCACTACCAGGTCGCAGAGCTTTACTCCATCCACAATGATTGGGTCGCACTGTGATGTAACTTTCACATGGGTGGGGCGGTTATCAAAGGAGAAATATATTGGTGAAGTCCTTAATGCCACATCAGGACTGTTGAAAGGCAACGGCAGTTGGCAGAATACATGCTTGGCAGTGGCGGGACCAGATCAGGGAGAGCTAAGTGTGTTGCAGCACTATGTGCAAGAACATCCGAAAAATATATTCTACATGGGCAATCTTGAACAATCCGAAGTGGGGACTTTGCTGCAGGCATCGGATGCCATGCTCTTTGTTGGAGGTGTGGGTGAGACACTTGCGCGCGTTGTCACTGATGCCCTGGGCTGCCATACTCCTGTGGTTGCCGTTGCCACTCCTCAATCTACGTGGTGGCAGAACCGGGAGGATCTCCCTCATGTGGATCTCACAGTATCGTCCGATGCTGTCAAGGAGCTGATGGATCGCATGACAGCATTTTCTACCAGTGCTGGTGGTCTGCATGATGCATTAGTTGCAGGTGCGGCCCATTCAGCTCCAAACCAGATTAGCGAGAGGGAGGCGGTTGCACACAAACTGATGACTCTGGACTCGGTGTATGGTGGATTCAGTAGGTGATTTTATTAAAACATCATCAGCAGTCAACACAGATTCATCACTTAGGAGCTGTCACCAGTAGAGACGACAGCGATTCAGTACTCTGGCAGTCATGGTCCTTGCAAGCTGGCGAGAACAGCAAAGGATAAGAATTGGAGGTGATGACCGGCATCAAGTTAGTTGTCCTTGCCACGCCGTGGTTGTGAGAGAATAGTGAAGGTTTTACTGAAACTGGTCTTTCGAAACTAGTTACAGTACCGTAATGTATGCCATAGCTTTTGCATGGTGCTCCAGTAGCTGGTAGTACAGGTAGTACCAGGTATGCATACTGTAGCAGGCCTGTCGCCGTCACAACGTGTCGCCAGGTCTCAATGGACACTGCTAAATTGAGGATTCTCCGGCGACGGAGGAGCATTCGGGCTGCGGCAGCTGGAAAGGTGCGCTTCCTGAGTGGAATAAGTTCGACCACACTTGTGGGACATTTCTCGGCTGGTTGTTGTTCTGCCTGTCCCAATGATGTATAGTTTGGTTCGTTCGTTTTCCTTTATGAGTTGTTGCATACCGCGAACGCAGCAAGCACCGTCACTGCGTGCATCCCATCAAACTACACGGTACCTTGTAGGAGCTCGTGCATGGATTTCGGTTCTTCAGAGGATGACTGTTGTCACAAGGGTGGCCATGTGGTGGTCTCCGTGGATACGTTATTAGCCTTCATTCCGAAAGCGCTGGCTCGAGCTCCAACTCATCTCGAATCCGTTGGAGTCTCACGGCGTTTTCTCAGCATGGCATTGCTCTCGCAGGCCTCGTTTAGTGGCTGATTTCACGGCAGCGTATAAGTACTGGTAGCATCGACGAATCCCATTGTCCCCAGGACGGGTTTTGTCTGTACTACATAAGCAGCAGCCAATCCATTCCAGTCCGAGGCTTGTAAAGCTAGCATTCGTATTGTTGAGGATTGGCGGCTGCGTGCTTGGCTGTGCAGAAACCGGAGTGCCCTCTTTTCCGGTTTTGTTTGAGAGTACACCACAAATTTTGGTTGGGCAGCTTTTGAATGCACCTCCGAAGTGTCCTCAAACAATATGGATCCTCGCGAGCAAAACATACTTGCCCCCAGTAGTCTTTGGATGGGGAAAAGTTTAGGCTGAGTTGAGCGTGGTAGTTGTCGTGTCATTGCATCGCTGTCGGATAGATGCCGGGCACCCTAAATTCTCGTAAGGGGCGCCAAGGCAAACTGGTCGTCAACGGGATCCACCGGGATGTATCTCTGTTGCCCAGCATGATCAGTGCCAATCACAAACTGCATCACGGCACTTTTGTGCGCTTTCTCCTACTGGAAGAGCAAATGGCTCAGGAATCTGGCCCTGACTCCGGAGGCTTCAATTGCATGAACGAGGCTTGAGGTCGCGGTGGAAACAATCCAACTATGTTCCTACTTCTTCAAGGTCTCAGGTCCTGGCAGGGTGGGAGAGAAGATGCAGACATGGCGACAGTCCACAAGGAGGGATTTGGGTCGGTCAGGGTGGTCCGTCCGAGTATCATTGTACACCAGAATAGATAAAACCTCGATCTCTCGAATTGATCCCTCGTTGATGCATTAGCAAACTCATCGCAATGGCTAGGGTTGCTTTCTCCTCATCTTGTATTGTAGCTACTGGCACCCGTCTTCGTCGTCGAGCGAAAGCTATAGCAGGGACTGAATGAGTGGACCATCGTGTCTGGCCAAAAGATAGCTTTCCTGCGATGGGTCTGTACTCAATGACCCTGACTGCATTGATCGCATTGGATGCTCCAGGCAACGCGATCAAGCTCCTCCAACGCAGGAAGAGAAATCCCGGGTTTTGAACTAGTGCGTGCCCTTGGTCCGCCCTGATACCTTTCGAAACAATTGCCGAAAGCGGTAGAAATCCATCTGGCTAAGAGACGCATCCACTTCTATCTTCGCAAAGCTGCAGTTCTATTTCGTCTTATGAATTATATCTCCAGTGGAATAGCACATCAAAGGCTTCACTGGACGTTGGGCACTGGAGGAGGAGGCCTTGCCACAAAATTATGCTTGTCGATTGCGTTGCGCAGTTTATGGAGTGAAGCCCGGTCAGGCATGTTAGTGGACGTAGTGAGATTACTGTACACATTGCAATTGACGGTTTGTTGGATATTGTTGTCTTGCTTGGTTATGAAGAGGAGGGTATTGGTGGTGCATTTTTAATGGGTTGCTTTCACTTTTCCGAGGCGCCTTTTTCCCAGTGCCGAGTGTCTTCCCAGTTCAACGCCAGCCACCCAAAACATTATGGCACACTCTTTATCCACGGAATGCCTCGTTTCAGATTTTTGAAGCTTGATAACAGAACTTACGGAAGATGCCATGGAGCCCATAGCAGTTTGGCATTCAAAGTAGCTTGCAATGGGCCATGCTCCTCTGAAGCAGCTTGGCGTGAACTTAGACGGGCGGGGAACTCGAGCTTGTGGCTCACCTTCGTTTAAGAAAGCAGGAAATGCAATCAGTTTCCCTTTGTGACAGGTACCATGTACGATGTAGCTGCCAGTCCGAAGGAAGGCAGCACGCTTGGACTTCTTCCCAGTGATTCTTGTTGCTGCCTCAGATCCATCTTAGTTGGAGGGTCTCACAAAGTGCAGTTTGCCCACAAAGTTTTGTGGCCATTATTGCGTCTCTGTGCCAACTGCTTTGCACCTTGCTGTCCCCCCTGCATGGCAGTAGCCAGCTAAGCGCTCGTTCGGCGTATCTGCAGGCCCACACTGAGCCCCACACCACCAAAGAGCAGCACGATGAAAACCACGCAGATGACGCACTGTCGATGGGACATGTTTCGTTCTTCTTCAATAATCTCTCTGTGCCGTCGACGCAGCCTGCTTTCATCGCTCAAAATCTCCTCGTCGCCCGTTCCAATGCTACCTGGGCGGCCCGAGACTCCTTGGCGCGAAGGGGAGAAGAAACCCATAGCTCCTTGTCCTCCTCCCCGCTCCACGTCCACTTCTTCCGTGCCCTGGGGCGATGAGCGCCTTGTGTCTTGCTGCCCCCTTGTAGAGAGCTTGCCAAACAGTGACTTTTTGGTGTGGCTCTGACCACCTGATTTCTGGGATTGTGCTCCAGATCCACCAGAATCAGTTTTGGAGAGCCTTGCTTTGTTTCCGGTCACATCGTAGTCCGAGGCTGAAACATCCTTTGCAGTCGCAAGAGTCAGATTGGAGGCCTCAGTCAACAGCTTGGTTTTGGGTTGAAGAGTTTCAGACGATGGCTGGATGATGGTGGTAGGATCTGCGCCGTCATTGGCCGGTTCGACAGCTTCAGGTTCCGAGATTGGGGATTTGGTTTCCTCGTCCCGGCGCTCTGCATATACTTCAGTGTGGGCATCCCCAGGTGCTACAATGTTGGTACCAGCTGGGGGTTCTCCCACGCCCTCAACAAAGGTTGCTCTAGGCGATGAATTCTGGGAAGGGTCTGTAGATTCTGGAGACTGATCAGCAATGGATGCAGGGGTATCCTCTTGCGGGGTTTCTGACGGACGGGGGCCTAGTTCCGTCTCAGGATGAACGCAGTCCTCTTCCGGGCCTGTGTTGCGGCTAGTTGTTTCAGAGTCATTGCCTACCTTTGCTTCTTGCATTTTTCTCTAGTTTACTTAACTTTTTCGTCTATGCTTGGCTTGTGAATGCAACTCTCTACAAGGATCCGAGGCTCCCTTTACGGATAAATGAAAATGTGGCTGGGCCTTTAGCTAAGTTTGACTACCGACCCGATCACAGGTCTACATGCTGTGTGGCTTCACTGGTGTGGTTGTTCGTAGAACCTCCTTCGCTGTTGGCCGCGACAGTTGCCAACGAGAGTTGATGTATGGTGAGGATGTGCTTGGGTACTAAAGATGTATAGTGCGTTCACCGTAAAAGCACCATTTGATCTGAATGCGTCTCACAATCTTCAGATCAAGCTTCGCCTGCCATTGAGCTTCTGTCTGACCTTGCCAGCCAAAGGTAGACAAGACATACCGGTATGAAGATTGAGATTCAAAGCTAGATCACTCAGTGTAATCAGAAAACGATACTGAATGCACGTAGGATAGGACATTCAAGAATACTTTGCATGGTTCACCTGTTCTACCTAGTCGATAGCTGTTCTACCATTACTGCAATGCACACTGCACACTGCATACAGAGTGTTGATGTGTTGATGCGTGTCGTTGGATTCCAAAGCAGCATGGTTTCTGAAATGTGTGACCAGCTGTTCTAAAAACTCATCCTTGAAAGTTTGACTTTGAAGAGGTACGTTTTAGCACTTTTCGTTTTTCTACCGTATGCTATGTTCATTATTGCGTCCAGGTGCTGGTCAAGTCAGTCCAACCCTCCTAGCCTCCTAAAAGAATAAAAGAGTTTCAGGTAGCTTCCTGTGGTAGGGAGCTTCCAGACTCCAAAGTATGAAAGCAAAATGAAAAAGATTCAAATGCATTCGACTCTACAAATTTTTGGTTCTTCATAGCTGGGATGCAGCCAGGGAGAGGACAGTTTGGCGCCGACATGACGCAATCCAAGCCAAGATTGCTGAAGGAATGAAAGTTGAGCCTCCGCAACAAGCTTGCCAAAAGGGCCAAACAGGATTCATGTTGGCCGATGCTCTTGTTGCTGAATTGCTTGTTGCCAGTACATTCATAGCCTCTCGCTAGAAGAATGAGATGTGTCGTAGCAGGGATACAATTTGGAGTTGAGAAAGCACAAAATTAATCTGGTGAAATCTGTTAGAAAGCCAAGTTGGGTGTGGTCTTCAAGGCTAAGCAAGAAGTTTGAAGAAATGAAGTGCAGGGTTTAGGGGGGGACAAACAATCAAATTTTCAAGATTTGTCACAGAAAGGCAATAAGCCCAAAAACACTTCTGGCAAAAAGTTGTCTCTGTGCATTCGTGATTCTGTCATGCATTTTTATCCTACCAGAGTATCCTATTGCAGTGCTGGCTTGAAAAGACATTTTCTGTAACCATTGTGAATGCATAGTGTTCTCTTCAGACACCTTGTGTGACTCGCTTTTGCTTTCCAAGACTCCATCTGCTCCATTACGGACCAGCGTGGTCTAAATGAATAAAGCCTCATGTTTTGCTAAGTCATTAGGCCCCCCAGAAAGGAAGCAAGGGCCGCCAAGAGTACTTTCTGGAGGATTGTGGCAGGATGCCCAAATTCCGAGGAGCACTGCTAGGTAGCTGCTCTCAAAGTACCTTTGAAGCTTCGCACTTTGTGTGAGCAGCTGCTAATATCACCACTCGAGTAGCTACGATTGAGTACTGGTACTCTACAAGTATGCATAAGTGTAGCTAGCTAGCCGCCGGCGGTAGGGAGCTGCCACCGGACTCTCCGTTTACCGGTACTCACAAAAGCTCTCCCAACATACCGTACACGATGTAGCTCACGATGTATCTCAAGATCAAGAAGCCGATCAGAGGCACCACGTGCGAAGCCGCAAGAGGTGGTACCAGGTACCAGGTAACCAGGCGGCCAAAGGAAGCTCCTGAATCCTGAAGAAGTGTTCCCCCTCCATGTCCCCCAGGATGCCGACTCCAAAGCTCCGAAGCATCTGAAAGATCTTGATTTTGTGCCACTAAAAAAATTCGGCTACTGATGACGCCTAGGATGCAATAATTTGGATAGGAGAAACCTTCTAAGATCTCACTAATTGGGACGCCTTTGCGTATCCCATTGCTCAACTGTAGGCACCCTCCAGCCAGTCACAGCAAATAGCTAGCTAGCTAGCTAGCATACTTCTTACTTCCCCTTCCTTCAGCACCTGGGATTCCAATCCATTCCATGAATTGCGAAGGTGCGCTACCCATTTCGGCAAGGCCGCCGGTCCTTACAGCAGAGGCCTCCTCATCATGTATTCACCCAAGAAAAGGAGCTGAGGCACGACACCCGTCTCGTCAGCTCGGAGAGTATTGGTGACCTTGGGTTTGGTTTTAAACTTTCCCAGCTGAGGGGGCCAACTCTCTCCGCCCCAATGTTTGTGGGGGTTATCGGTTTAGGGTAGCGGCACGGTGGACAGTCGTACTCAGAGTAGCCTTAAAATAGAATTCTATTCTTATGATCCGTAGCTGGCTGAATTCCCCGCGAGCTGAACGAAGAAGCAAGCTGCGAAGGTTGTGTGAGGGCCTCGACTATCGGGGGGGACACTCGACGCTAGTAGGTACAAAAGAATTTTAATAGTCTTGGGGACTACAGCATAAGTCTCCACTGAAAAGCAGTGCTGCTTGAGATCCAAACTCAGGAAGGATCAAAGTGTGAGTTTGGCGAGGTGCCACTGCTTCACAGTGGCTGCTGGAATGGTACCGTAGCTTCTCGTACTCGTATACCATTGGTCGGGCGGTCGGGCACAACACGTCAGCCACGAAAAGCACTGTTGCCCAGGACTTGATTGACCCATGTTTTGAGCATTGGCCCTCGAACATCCCACGTGCTGCACTCAACGATGGAAACGATTGTTGCGGTTGTACCGTAGTCGGACTCCCGCGCTCAAAGCCTCAACAACGATCCAGACCTTTCAGCGTTTCGTGGAGCCAGCCAGCATACGCCTTGTACCAGGAGTATGCCAACCAGATGGTGGCTGCGCATCGTGCTCGACCGTCACTTCAGGTGGAAGACACAACGTAAACACCTCACGCCAATTGTGGCTCGAGCGAAAGGCAAAGATAGCCTTACTACGAAATGGCTAATATCCAACGTTAATAATCATCATGCTTTGGTACGTTCCGCTTTGCAAATCATCCAGTCTCTGTTACCTCCTTTCAGGGACCTCTGCACTGGACACTCGAATATGCCTACTAGTACTCATGATCTACTTGGCTCCATCATCAAAGTCAGACTTGGCCTGGCACAGACCATCAAAGATACGCTTGGCCAAAAAGCGCTGCTCGGGAGGAAGATCACTCGTCTTGTCGGGGTGCACCACAAGACTGGCCTTGTGAAAGGCTCTCTTGACCTTGCTGTCATCCAACAAGTCTCCAATGGTCAATTGCTTCCATTTCGCACCGGGCCACAAGACGGTATGCAACGATGCCAACAAGGCTCGCAACTGTTTCTTTTTGCCGTGTTCTTCGGCCCATGCCTTGATTTTGGGATCCAACCGTCTGCGAATGACATCTTCCTCTTCTTCGTCTTTTTTCTTTTTGGCTTCTCGTTCTCGCAATTCATTCACCTTTTTGGCCTGTTCCTTTTCCATTTCGGCCACACGCTGTTCGACACCCCGTTGGACCGTTTCGCTCTTCCCGTAGGCACTGGCACGGTTGAGGGACACCCCCTTGACCTTGGTGGTTTTGGCTGCCGCCGCAATGCCCGATTTGGCATGGCCGGGTGGAGCCGACCCTGGTTGCATTTCGACCCAACGTTCGTCGACGGGATCCCAGACTCGATTCTTGGCAGCAGTTTTTTCTCGTTGCTTGTGTTCTCGTTGCAACTTTTGAGCCCTGGTTTCATTGGGATTATGGGCAGGCCTGCCAGTAGGCGTCATGGCCGGAAGAGGAGCCGACATGGCATGATGCAACACTTTGGGGTTGCGACCTGGTGAATTAAAGCCCATGAGATCGGCTTCGGCGGGTTTGCGTTGTTGTTGCTGCGGCGGCGGCTGGACACGAGTTTGTTGTGGGGCCTGATAGGCTCGAGGAGGAGCGGATTGGCGCACATGCTGCGGTGCCGCACGGGGTTGTTGACGTGGTGTCGGGGCGGGAGCTCTGGGGGGAGCTGGAGCCGGGGCGGCACGGGGTTGATGATGATGACGCGTAGTTGTAGCATGAGTGGGTGGAATGGGGGCCGTTCCTCCATTGCGTTTGTTGACATCGTCGGCTGCTTTCATCAAATCGAGCAATTTAAACGTCAAAACAGCGACGGGAGGTCCATGATCGGATCCACCGGCATCGTCTCCCGTGACCATTTTGTTCATCATTTTGAAGGCTCCCTTGGCGGCCTTGGCAGCCGTGTCGGTGGCAGCAAGGGAAGGTTTGGGTGGGAACAATAGTTTGCGCAAATTGTACTGGGTTGTTTCTTTGACGGGCAATTTGGCATTGCCATCCTGGACATCCCACCAACTGTAGGCTCGTTCCGTGCTACCAGCCACGGGCTTGTCTTCAACCAAGACCCTCCAATGATACCCTTCTGGTCCCAAGTGACTCAACGAGTGGGCTGCCGTGCAGTGTCTGATAACAAATAGTAATTAAATAAAAGAGATATTTCAACAAAAGACCATTGGTTAGATAGGATCACCAGTAGTTCAACTCCGGGTATAACTACAGGAGGGCAGGGGTAGGTGGGTTGACAGTAGATTGGTGCACTTACTGTTTGACGGCATTCAGCGTTGGTCCACGGCCGTAGGGCATCTGGAAGCAGTTGAAGAGAGGATCAGAGCTGTCTGATTCGGAGTTGGTGATCCTGTAGAGGACCAAGATGGTCCTGCCGCCATTCTGGTGATGTCCATTGGCTGCCATTTTGAATGAATGTTCAGTGCGCTCCAACTGTTAAAGTATCAAGTTAGCTCGTAGATGGATGAATTCGAGTCTCCTGCGAGAAAGAAAGTGACCAATTGTGAATGAGATAACTAAGATATGACAATTCGTGAGAAGCAAACCGCAAACTGAAGTTTCGTTTCGTATGTGTGTCGGTGCAAGTCAGTCATCCGCGAGACCATAGACAATAGTAGACCGGATCCTCATCCAATTTCAATTCGGTGAACACGCCAACGTAATACCCTTCCTCGTTCTCACGGAGCAACCACCCACTTCAAACCTACATGTTCCACCACGCGCACACTTACTTACAAGTCTGTGATGACAGTGCTTTCCAGTCTGATACCATCAAAAAGAAGCAAACAAGATCGACAATGGCAACAACAGCCGCCTGGTCGTGGCGGTGGCGGTGCGCAACGGTCACATTTTGAGTCATCTTAAGGCTAACCTTTTAAGGATACGGGACTCAGACAGTGGAAACTGCTTCAAAAACTTTCGAAACTTCGAAACGATCCTCGCTGCGCCGCCGCTTGATGCCAATCGACTTTCTCTCTTCGATTCTATGATGGGTGCATGTTGCCGATGGACAGTAACATCCAGGATCCATTTTGGACAAAACGACCCCCACCGGTCGAATAAATTGACAGCTGAAACCATGCCGAAACGGTGCGGTGGAAACGACCACTCCTGGTTCCGTTTCTCCCGCCAAGGCGAAGATCGCTTTCAGATCCTTTGCTACTCATGAGCTCATAAATCTGTTTTGCAAATCAACATGCATTGGGCACCCAGGGCCTCCCTGGAGGATCTGATAGGTGTACCGCATGACTCTTCGCTTTTGGCACATCGATGTAGGTGTGGAGCAAGATGGTCCACAAAAGGACTGGTTTGTAGCATTCTGCTGAGAGACTCACCCGCAACACTCCAATGGAGGTTGGACGAGATGGTGGGCTGTAAGTGACAGAGGAGGCAGCACTCGGCGGCTGTGCTGAGTGACTGACTTCTTTCTGTTCCATGTGGAGAATGTGTTGGAAATCCTGGTGAGGTGATTGTGGGATGGCTTCGGTGGAGGGAGTCCAAAGCAACTCTGAGGTTCCAGCACCCCCGAAATGGGGGTGATACTGGTTCCCGAGAGGAAGTGAAAATGACACTTGTTACCAATATTCTGGGATTTAGACTCCGTGCAATAGTGGGCCTGTGAGATCCCTTCTGCTACCAGGTGTGACAGGAGCAGAAGGAGATTCTCATGTAAGGTTTCAGCGGCACAGTGACGGGCAGAATGAACCCAAGGGATCATTCTGCAGCTGTGGGGCACAAAATGCTCAGACAACAATAGCAGCTTTATATTCCAAAGCATTAAAACATATAGCATCAATCAATCAAAAACAAACCCTTTCATTCTATAGTCTACAGTGCCCAATAGCCTAGAGTTGGAGCGAGAAACTCCATTGCCGAACCTTTTTGCTAAACAATTTCCACTCCCGCAAAACTTGGCAACGTACCAGTATGGATTCGGTCATCTAACCATCGCTCTACTGGTCTTCCCCATATCCATCTACTGTAGCTAGAATCTTCCTTTTGACACACTTTCCATTCCTCAAATCTTGATCTAGGTTTGGGTTCACAATCATGACGAATAGCAACAATCAGTCAATCACAAAAGAAATCACCTTCCTCGGTGGCTTCACATAGAAGCGAGACAGAAGTATTCCTTCACGACGGTAGGGGAGACACGGGGCTTGATTGTCCGACTCGACTCGACTCGACTCGACTCGACTCGACTCGACTCGACTCCCTCGTCACTCAGTCGAAAAGTCTGATAAAAGCCAGTAGAGCGGTAAAACAACGAAACGATGACTTGACTCGACTGAGACCTCGCCGCGGCACTCTTTTCACTCACTCGCAGTCTCCACGTTTCGTGGAAGCTGCCGGTGCGCCGGTGCGATGGCATTTCGTCGTCGAGTTATCGTGAGAAGCTCACAAAGTTTGCTGGAGGAACGAAGTACTGGTAGTTCATCCCCGAACCAAGATGCCAACGCTAACAGCAAAACCCGATGGCAACCATGCTCTTTGGCAACAAGAAGATATTTGGGTCGTCCATATCCTTCCCTTTGTAGGCATGGGACAGTTTGCCTTTGTTGCATCAGTCAGCCACACATTGAAGGGTCATTACACGGCCTACTGCGATTCCGTGAAGAATCCACCAAAGGTGTTGCGGGGAGCCTTTACGCGCAATGCAACCAGCAGAGACACTTTCTATAGTTCAGTCTTTTGTAGTATTTCACGTGCCAGGCACTGGTACAACAACGATTACAAGAACAATCTGCCGAAGGGTCGTGGTGTCTGTGAATTGGCTGCGAGAGTGGGGAGCATTCGAGTTCTTAAGTGGGCCCGAAGTGAGGGATTTGTATGGACCAAGAAAACTTGCTCTACTGCTTCCAAATATGGCCACTTGAAACTCTTAATGTTTCTGCATGGTCGTGGCTGCGGGTGGGATGAATGGACTTGCATCAATGCGGCTAAGAGTGGGCATTTGAATGTCCTGATGCATGCCCATGCGACTGGGTGTCCTTGGGGTCCATGGGTGTGTAATCATGCAGCCATGAGTGGCCACTTGGTGATCCTGAGGTATCTACATGAGAATGGTTGTCCATGGGATCAAGGCACATGTGAAGGAGCTGCAAAGAATGGTCACCTGGAATGCCTCATATATGCCCATGAACATGGATGCCAATGGGACATATCCACATGCCACACTGCAGCCGCAAATGGTCATCTAGAATCTCTGAAGTATGCTCATGAAAATGGCTGTCCTTGGGATAAATTCACTTGCAGAAGTGCTGCGATGGGTGGCCATCTGGAGGTCCTAAAATATGCCCATGACAACGGATGTCCATGGGACAAAGGTGCATGTGATACGGCTGCTGGGGTGGACATTGGAAATTCTGAAGTATTTACATGAGAATGGCTGTCGCTGGGATGAATACACCTGCCGCCAGGCTGCTCAAAATGGCGAGCTGGAAGCCCTGAATATGCACACGAAAATGGCTGTCCTTGGAAGAAGAACACCTGCGCTGCTGCAAGATATGGTCATTTCCATGTCCTCCAATATGCCCATGAACATGGCTGCCCTTGGGATGAGAAAACCTGCAGCAAAGCTGCAACAACTGGCCGTTTGAAACTGCTCAAATATGCCCATGAAAATGGCTGTCCATGGAATGAAGAAACAACTTGCGCTGCTGCAAGATATGGTCATTTCCATGTCCTCCAATATGCCCATGAACATGACTGCCCTTGGGATGAGAAAACTGCAGCGAAGCTGCAAGAACTGGTCATTTGAAACTGCTCAAATATGCACATGAAAATGGGTGCCCATGGGACGAAGAGACAACCATCAATGCTGAAAAGAATGGGCAATCGGAAGTCATGTCATATGTTCGAGAATACGGTTGTCCATATCCAGGGGACTCCATCAAAAGGTTTGCCATTGTGTCTGCTGGTTTCTGCAGCATTCTTCTTCTTCTAGTTTTGGTGATTGCCATTTTCAAATGGTGAACGCTACGGTACACCGTACTCAATGAGAAGAGAAGAGGGAAGGGCGCCAAGCATCATCAAGATCCATCAGGAGGAGAGCTGATAAAAGCCTCTTTACTTATTTGATTCTCGTTTTTATTAAACAAAACCGCACTGTTACCATTACAGTCAATTACAATCTAGCTAGAGCAAGAAGAACAATCGACCTTCGGCAATACTAGTAGCTATTGGTCGCCCGAGCAATCCGGAGCAGACGCTTCCTCTTTGGCTTCTTCTTTGGCGACATCAGCAGGAGCCACGGGTGCTGCTTTCTCCTTTTCTTCTTCTTGTTTCTTGTCGTCCAATTCCATAGGAGCGGTCTCTTCTTCCTTGGTATTTTTCTTGGTCTCGTCCTTTTCTCCCTCGTCCAACTGGTCCAATTCTTGTTGTAAATCGCTAACATTCAAATTCCGTGCTTGCCTGGTAGCCATGACAAATTCCAAATGCTTGCGTCGATGTTGTTTGTAGGATTCCTGCAAGACTTGCGATTCGGCCAAGATGGCTTCTTTGAATGCCTGCACTTTGGCATCGGGGGATTCCTTGCCCACTTTGGAGAAGATATTCTTTTTCTTGAGTCGCGCCAACAATTCGTCGCGAGAGAGGGGCGCCACTTCGACCGAGGAGACGGGTTGCAACTTGCCCGACATGCCGTGCGGCAATTTGCGAGGAGGATGAATGAAATGGGGTCCAAAATTGACTTGGACCGATCCACCAAGATAGGAGGAAACGGCAGGATAGTATGTACCGGGTTGAATATTTTCAAATGCCGCCCCACCCTCTCGTTTTCCCTTGGTAATGAAAAAGTGTCCCATGGGTTCTCCATTTTTGAAAAATCGAATGTGATTATTGTTGTTGTTGTTGCTGCCATCCGGATTGGCGGCCGCTGCAGCAGTGGTATCGAGAAAAATGGCACATCCCACGACGTCTCCTGGTCCCCAGGGTTCTCCACCCCAATTGTCTTCTCGTCGCGATTGATGAATTTTGGATCCGGATATATTGCGAAATCCATAGGACCACTTGTCATATCCCACGGGTGCTTGCAAATCTCCCGTGCGCATACTCCAACCAATTCGTAAATGACCTCCGACTTGTGGTTTGGGAGGAATGGTACTTTTGGATTTTTTGGTAGAAGAATCGGGGGGTACGGTTTCTTCCGCTTTGCGTTTTTTACCCTCGCCCGCGGGATGTTGTTTTTCATATTCCAACGCCTGTTGAATTTGTCGTTGCAAAGACGATCCCAATCGAGCATTGGGTGGCAAACTGGCCACAATTTCTTGAATGGTGGGTGGATCCAATACGAGTGCTTCAAAGTAGTAACATCCCTGTGAGACTCCATGAGTGGCACGCGACATACGATAACCTCGCATTCCACCCTTGAGAGTCAATCGATCTTGATCGACAATTTTGAGTTGCGGTGCCGAATCACTCTTGCTCAAATGAACAAAGGGAGGACTTTCTTGGGCGGCCTTTAACGCAGCTTGTTTGGCTTGTTCAGGTGTGGGAATTTGCCACGACGAGGAGGAGAGAGATGCCGACAGGGCCGTTGCCTGCAAGACAGTCGGATCCGCTGCCGAAGCGGCAACACCGGGCGCCGATGACTGTGTCAAGAGTGACAAGAGACCATTCAATTGCAAGGAGGCAGCCATTTGCACCGCCGCGGCCAAATTGGCAGCAGCAATGGCTTGAGACGACGAGGAGGCAGCATCACTTGGCACAGTGGGAGAATTGGTCCTTCGTTTTCCAGCCTTGGATTTGCTAGCACTGCTGGGGACTTCTTCGGCTGCATCCGGAGCATCGGGAGCATCAACAAGGGTCGGCATGGTGATTCGATTCGAGTCTTCTTTGACTGTTATTGTTGTTGATGATGGCTCGATCGGAAACCAAAAGATACGAAAGACAAGGAAGTGGCGAACTGGCCGTGACTTTCGCTGTGTGGTTGGCCGTGGTGGTTGTCATCTCTAACCCTAACACCCTACCGTGTGGAGGTTGGGTTGAAGTGTCGACCGTTATTCTGCAGCTGCTTCCAGCTTGCAATGGGAAAGAACAACATATGACACCGTCACAACCTTCAATTCTCATAGAGGCTTCTCGCTTCTGTTGGTTATTATCTCAACACACAAAAAACCTTCAAGATGATGTCAATGGGCTTTGCTTCCAAGCTGGCGATTGTTGCGGCAGCTTTGACGATTGGAGCTCCTCTCGGGGTTGCTTGGCTACCTCCTAATAATGCCCTGGTTTTGCCTTCCAGGCATTCCGCCCATTCCCAAACACTAGTGAGGTACAAGGACAGAGGAGACAACGATGACACTGACATGAACGATCAAGTGGTGGAACCAAGTACACTTCGAATAGACACTGCATTCATGGATCCCTTTCGAGAACAACTGGAACCATGGCTGAATTCGCTCACGACGGTCACACGGTCGGACCCCATTTGGGTCGGGGAGGAGCTGCTGCACATTTCTCCATCGGATGCCCTGCAGCAATGTTTCGATTCCCTCCTCCGTCAACAAGCCGTCGAAGTGTTCCCACCCAACGATAATGCACTGAGCCGAAAACACCTCTTTGATTGGGACTGGAAATACGCCATGGTCAAATCACTCACGCAACAAGACGACTGGACGGCCAAATCCTGGAAATTGGGACAATCCAATACGCATCCGCTGAGGCTCCAAGCGGTGGCCATTCCAGCACATTCGTCGCTGCCACCACATGTGCATCCCGCCGTTGAATTGGATATTCCCATTTTGGGAACGCTGTACGAAGAACGATCATCACAACTATTATTCGTAGACCCCGACTTGATTGACCGAGCGCCCGAGCATTCCTTGGGAAGTCCACTCAGTGACTTTTCTCCCACACCGACACCCCTCGAATTGCAAACCATTGCACAAGATATCACGGAACGAGTGTCCGAAGTGCATCAAATCACCGATTTTAGCCACGATTGGGAGACACACCCAGTGGTTGCGGGACAATGCTTGTTGAATCCGGTGGGCTCGGTTCATCGTTCGTATACCCAAGACGAGGCGTGTTTGCTCTTTGTACTGGGGCCCAATGTTCATGCTCATTTTTTGAAAGAACCATAATAAATGAATGAATTCAATAGAACGTAGATAACACGTACCGGTACATGTATACATAGATGTGAACTCAGTTTTGTTGACGCAGCAGAATGAATTTTTCATATTGCATAATTATTTACAACGCATGTGAATGGCTAGTGCAGTGTGAATTTACCAACAGGGGCATTTGATTCTGGAAAGTAATGTCCGGCAGAAAAATGCCAGCTCGGCCTGTCGTTTTGCTGAGAAGAGGGAGAAACCAAACAATGACTGTGGTGATGAACAAACCCTTGTCGATTGCCAAACCGAGTCACGGTCTTGGGTTCGAAGGAAACATTCATAACAGTCCGGCTTCATTTTTTCAAAAGTCTCTCTGCACGCATCTCGGCTACAACATCCAAGCCATCGTGCAAATTCTCCCCCTCATTATCACTCAGAGACTACCTCCGCGACCTCCGTTTCAAGGTGGCCAACTCTCGCTTCAGTCGTTCCACTTCTTCTTCCAGCTTTCGTTCCCGTTCATCGCGATACTGCAACTCAATCTCCATTGTGGACGCCACGTTTTCAATCATGTTTGCTACCGCTTGCGTCAATGCGCTGGTTCGTTCGTTGCTCCCCGGTACGATGCTAGCAGACGATGGTAGGGTGAGAATACGACCCGAAGTAGCCACTCTCGGTTGTGTTGTTGTTGATAAGTAATGGCCTCTCCCATTGTTGTTGTTGCTGCTGCTGTTTGCCCTACCCATGCACAGCAAAGGATTGAGTCGAAGAAAGTAAAACACCGAGTTTAGATCCGATCCTGCATTGGCCAACACGGAAATCCATTCTTCTGCAGTCACTTGTTCATATCGATGGACAAAGTGTTTTCGATTGAGCTTGTTGAGTTTTAGATAGTACTCGATGGGGCCACCAATCTCTCCTTCATCACTGTCCTCGTTCCCAATCTTGAGAGATTTCAAGACCACATTGGACGACTTCAAGGCTGCCACGAGTGCTTCTTCTGCGTTGGAACTCCAGCAATCTTCCATGGTGGGTCCGCACAAATGAAACTCGGAAAGGCGGGTGTTGCGTCGGAGGGCCTGCCCCACTAGGACCAGGAACTTTTCCATGGAAACATCGGTCGGGTTCTTGGCGGCTGTAGTAACAATACTACTACCAAACAACGGGGAGAGCTCGGCAGATCTCCAGGCAGTGTGTATGTGGACGACCTCCAGAGTCTGATTGTGCTGGAGCATGCCCGCAAACGCTTTGAACGATGATTTGTCTTCGGGAAAGAGTCCCAGAACGAGCTTTTGGAGACGGCTCGTCGACCGCAAGGCTGTGGAGAGACTGCCAATGGTGGCACCGTCCAGGTCGATCCACTCGAGCCTCAGTTCTTGTAAACTGGAAGAGCTTAAAAGTTCCACGAGCGCTCCTGGACCAATGGTAGGAAAGACTTCGTTCTCATCGTCATCAAAGGCAAATTCATTGTCCTCTCCTTCGGATGTCCCCACCAACTGCAGATGCTTCAGAGTGGTTATCTTTCCCAAACTAGACAAGATGGGATCCATGGCAGTAAAGTCCACTACTTCCTGCTGATGTCCGTCCAACAAGTCTGCCAAGGCCGTATTATTGTCGTTGTTGTCGTTGTTGCTGTTCGTCAAGAGCTTGCAGTACTTGAGTTTGACCCATTCTAGACATGTACATGTTTGCAGTGCCAGTGCCAACCGTCGGGTTGCTCGTGATAAGCACTGAATGCGCTGGACATCCAAATGCAAATAGCGCAGTCGATGCCGCCGTGGTTTTAATAGGCACGTTAGTAATCCAATGGGAAAGGGGTTTCCCTCCAAGGTTCGTGCCTTGATGGTGATGCTATCCAGTAGTTCCAGTTCGCCGAGAGCCCGAAAGATATCGGCAATCTGGACATAGTCCCACTGCGGTTCGGTAATGTAAAAGGGTTGTAGCGGTATCTCGACTCGTCGCACTTTGGTAATGCCGGCCAGCGCACGAGGCAATCCATCATCGGTTCCTCCTGTACCAGGTGATGTGTGCATATGATCCAGAAGGAGTTGGAGCGTTGTGGATCCTCTACGGCGACATTGTAGTACTTCTTGCACTGTTGTGGAGACCATTCTTCTCTCTTTTCTTCTTCTTTCAACGCTACTAGCTACTAGTAACAAGATTGGACAAACCAACCAAAATTGTGTCCAGTCGTTCTACGGATCAGGAAGCACGAGGGGGTGAGAATCCGAGAAATCAGCTCCAAACTTTCCCTGAAAGCTGGCTAGGATAGTCAGGAACCTGGGAAATATAAGATTGCTGCTTGCTGCCTCGATCAGGGCGTGAGGGGAAACCAATACAGAGAGTAGCTCGAGGAGCTACGGATCTGTTCGATAGTCCAGGCCTTGTAGTTGCCAGTTCTTGTGAAAGACGTGAGCTGATGATCGAAATGATGTGAGAAAGCTCTGAGGTCAGTCCCGAGTAATGATATCTCGCGTGAATCCCTGATTGGCAACGGCAAATCTTTTGGCCCAATATTTCTCAACATCTCCACAATGTTGGCAGCAACGACGACAAGGACAAGACACTCTCGACCACAGCAAAAAGACCCAGTCGCCATTAATAATCGGCAACAACGTGGTGTATTTATACATCAGTCAACAGACGAGAATACAACACTTTTGTTGGAACTCGATTCGATTCCATTGATTCATTCAATTCATTGATTGATGAGGAGAGCGTCTCTTATTGTGCCAACTCAGACCATGGCGGCTACCACCACCGCGGAGCTTCAACAGTGTCGGGAAGATAATTCCGACTTTTTGAGTCTGAGGTTGTCGGACGATGAAGGTGTGTTGAATGGGATTGTCAGGAACCTTCCGTATTTGTCGGACTTGGTCACGCGTGTGGAAATTCCATACCACTCCAGCACGGATTCGGGATACAAGAATCCAAATTGGACGGATAGTGACAAGGTGGAGGAAGTCTTTGAGGCCATAGGAGAACTGGAACAGCTCCAATCCGCCACGATCCGGGCCGACACATCCTCGAGCAATTTCCCAATTGATCTCGTGGCGCATGTCTTGCTCCCGGCAAAGACTCACCTCAAGTACTTGACATTTGATGTCCCGCGATTGCAGTGCTCTTTCCGGTCCATCACAAAGGTGGCCAAAGCCTTGGAACAAATGACTTCCTTGCAAGTCCTCAAACTCCGGTACACCATTCTGTTCAACACGGGGAATGCGTTGGATTACGGTGCGGTGGATCCCATTCTGGCCAGCTTGCGAAAGATCCCGTCTCTACAATGTGTTACGCTCAATGGTTGGGCCACGGGATCGAATCAGAGTGATAGGGAGCTGTTGGGTTCGCGCCGACCTACGTTTGATGCCGATTCGTTTGGTGAATTGCTCAAATCGGAGAGTCTTCAAGAACTGCACATTTCCCGTATCGACTTGTCCTTTGACTGTATCATGGCGCTCGCGGGAGCCATTCAATCCAACACCAGTCGCCTCCGAAAGTTGATCCTGGACGATTTCCCACAGGACCCTCAGGTACAAAAGTGTCTTGCCATGGCATTTACGAACAACAACACCCTGGAGACCATTGGCGTATCTCACTCTGCACCCATGGAAGGAACGGATAACTTTCTTTCCATGATGGCGGGAGGTCTCGTCAAGAACACGGGGCTCACGACGCTGCGTATTTCGCCCTACCCTTTGTCGCAGTATCGCCCCAAGATTCAAGAGGCATTCGTCGAAGCGCTCAAAGTCAACACATCGTTGACATCGCTGCATGTCGCTCAAGCTGGAGGAAGATCTCCAGAGAACTATCCTCCCGCGCTCTTGCACTACTTGAAGCTCAATCAAATGAAACGAAAGGGGTTCTTGGAAAAAGACAACAACAAGATTTCCCACGCGGAATGGGTTGACAAGATGGTAGAAGCATCTCATGATCTGGATGCTTTCTATTACTTTTTGAGATTGAATCCATCGCTCTGTCCAGTAGTAGTGAAAGAGGACGATTCCGGCGACAAAGCTACTAGTACTCCAGAATCTGAGGAGAAGGCAGAGCCTGAAAAAGATGAGGAAAAGGCAGAACTGGAACTGGAGGTCGAGCGTCTCAAGAAGGAATTGGAGGAGAAAAAGGCAGAGGTGGTACAAGAAAATGGGAAGGAGGAGCTGGAAATGGAGGTCGAGCGTCTCAAAAAAGAATTGGAGGAGAAGGCAGATGTTGGAACAGACGAAGGGAAAGCAGAGCTAGAAATGGAGGTCGAGCGACTCAAGAAGGAACTTGACGAAAAGGCTGAAACCGGACAAGACGATGATGAGAAGGAAGAGCTGGAAATGGAAGTCCAGCGTCTCAGGAAGGAATTGGGAAACTTGAGGCTAAACTTTCTGGGACGACCGGATCAGCAGACCGCGTCAAGTAGACAGGTGTGGAGCACTGTGCCTGAAAAGAAAGAAGAAGAAGATGCAGAAGCAGAAGAAGCAGAAGAAGCAGAAGAAGCAGAAGAAGCAGAAGAATAGGTTAGGGTCTCGGATGATCATCGGTTACATGTAATAGTAAGCAGTATAGGATGAGGCATACATTCGTTCTTTGTCAGTTTCCTGATTTGATGGAGTCGGTTTTGTTTTGTTATGTTATGTTAGGATACTGCCCAGCTGGGCACGAGGCTGTGCAGGTGAGACAGCCTTTGATTGAGCCTTTGGAATCAAGGCGAGCGTCTTTTCTTAGTGGGGTTGTCTTATCAGCCGGGAACCAGCTTATTTATGATTGCCTATGTTTGCTACCTTCCCAAACCAGGAAGAGTGGTCAAAACAATCCTGATTGCAGTATTTCTCAAATGCACCAGCAAAAATTGAGAGTGCAAAGAACCTTGACAGAGACAAGCCTCTGGGCCAGAGTTCTGGTGCCGCCGAGAACCAAACAAAGTTTGCTCACGGTACTTACTTGCTGAACAGTCACCTCGCCGATATCTGCAGCTTTCCCTGGCCTACGGGTAGCCTTTGGACTCGCCAGTGCCACACATATCAGTTTCCTCTACCTGTATACCGTATCACAGCTGGTGAAGTAGTCAAAGCACCTATTCCAGAGATCGGTATGTATCACATCACTCCTAGCGAAGTTAGTTACTGTATGTTACTAGTATTTGAGTCAACACTATTAAACCGCCCCCTCATCCTACCTATGCTATGTATAATTCTTCATTTTATTGTGCAAACGTCAGTTCCAACAAGTTTATCAGCCCCTCCTCTCCCAATGCTCTTCGCTATCGCTTCTTCACGTTGTTGACCACAACTGATTGACCTATGGGAGAGCTACCACTACTGACACTACCGCTGGGCGGTCTCTTTTTTGCTTGCTGTTTGGGGTATCGTTTCGGAGTAATCTGACGGATGGATCTTTCAATGTTCCGCATGATGGATTCGGCTACGTCGGGTATATGCTGCTCTAGATCGTCAATATCTGAGAAGGTTGTACTCATGTTGCTGCGACTTCGAGTGTTGTCTCCCAAAGAAGGCTGCTGGTCATCACCACCAAAGTTCTGTTCCACCATCTTGGCATTCTTGAGGGGATCTTGTATCGTCCGTTGCAGCGAACCGCTCAAGGACATGTTCGGCTGAGCGGCTGCCGCCAATCCCACCATAGTCGTCGAGGTATCATTGTTGCTGTTGATGTCGCTGCAGCTTGTGAAACTCTCGCCCGCTGTCGTGGTGATAGAGGAGTCCGCGCGGATCTTCCTTCGTTCACTGTGACGCATCATGGCTGACCGTTTGGCTTTTTCTTTGGTCAAGGCTTTTCGACGCTGAAGACAAATGCTAGGGTCATCCAGCAAGTTGCAACCATTGACCGAGGGTAGCGTGATATGGATCTTGTCGATAAAACCTGTCATCTTGATCATGCAGCAGGGACACTTTCCCGAGCTGGAGTGAATCTGCCATGTTTCAAAGCACTTGCGATGGAACAAATGTCCACAAGGAACCGTGCAGCCAACCGAAAGGGTTCCATGGAGGGTATCTTGGCAAATTGGACATGCATTGTCAGTCGTCATCTTCAAAACAACGCAACGAAGCTACTAGCTAGTACAGGTGAGAGCTTGACAAAAGTAGTGTTTCCCATTCGAATACTGAACCATCAGAAGTGGCTTTCTATTGCTATGCTACGTTTTACTGCAGCAGCGAGCAGCGATGATACGGTAGATTACGATTTCGTAGATACCCTTCATTCGTTGGGTCAGTTTAAACCTGAGCCAACGGAGAAGAGGATGCACGCGTCTAATTAACCAAGCGTTGGCTATGGTACTTAGCTTAACCAAGCCCAAAATGCCAAGGTACTTAACGGAGATTTGGCTAAATACTCAACCGTAGGACTAATGCTTAACTGCTACCACATGGATGACGCCATACGCACACTCACTGCCCACAAAACTCGGTGACGACAATGTGAGTTTGTCCAATGCAGTCAGCTCTGTTCGGGTGTCCTCGGGCGGGACGAGATTGATAATTCGATTCTAACAGCTAATAACGTAGTCTAAATGCTACCAGCTACCAGGTACCTATTCTAAATTCTAACCCAACACCTCGATACAACTCACATCACTACAGCGCGTAGCTCAGTCTAGTCGAACCGATGCCTGGGCGAAAACGAATATCGACTCGTTCGACGACCATCTTCTGGAGGCAAACACGCCGACCAAAGGGATGGATTCTCCCGTAGCAACCCATAGAGATAGACACACGGTTTCGCCTCGGCATTGGCTCGTAAAAGCACATTGATCAGCATTTGTCGGGTGGCGCCTGGATCTCGTGCCACGCTTCTCCCAAGACGATTGAGGTTGACGAGATACCGGAGCTTCCTCCCCTCGGGACTGGTTTCGTGTGATGGGTGTTGGAAAACATCCAACACTTGCAACGTTGTATTGTTTCCAGTTTCCAACAAATCTACGAGACACTGATATCGTGTCGTCGTCGTTGCGTCCGGTGGTTGGGACTGCTGTGGCTTCCATACCGATTCCACGCCGACTTGCAACACACAAAGAGAGCGATTCTCCTTGAGAATCTCCGCGAGTGCATCCAGCCGTACATCAACTTTTCGCAGACACACACGCAGCTCCTCGAGCAGCGGAAGAGAAGACAAGACCTTGGCAATGGGTTCTGTAAAGTCTCGCGCTGACGAAGAGTCGAATTGAAACTGCGAGGTTGGACCGGGTGAGAGCTTGATGGTCCTGAGCGATGGAACTTTGGCCAATTCCGTCAAGAGCTTTTTAGAGTTTCGTACAATGGACGCTTCCACGACAATGGATTCCAGGCACGGTGGATTGTCGTAATAGGGTAGAGAGGATTCGTCGTCGGAACACAACATCATGTTGTACCAGTCGTCCAGCTGAGCTTCTCGTAGCACAATGTGCCTGACGGTTGACCCGGACAGCAACATGGAAACCAAATGCTTGGCGTCTCTTCGGAGGCGGAACCCTTCCAGATGTAGCTTGTCCAGTGGCCTTCTTCGGTGGCCAATAATCTCGGCCAATCGCTCCAGTGCCTTGTGCTCGGGACCGGCATACGGTGTGTGTCCCGAATAGGGCGAAAAGTCCAAAGCGAATTGTTGGAGGCTCTCCGAGGCAACGACATCCAGGTGGCCAAGGCTCACTAATTTGGGTGTGGCTCGTAGATGTAGACTCCTCAGCATTTTGCCATTTTTCTGGATGGCAGCCATGAGATGGTTGAATGCATCTGGATCAATGGTGCAGTTGGAGCCTGGACTGAACGAAAACTTGTCCAAACGAGGCAAGATCTTGGCTACTTTTCTGGCATCATCCAGTGTGACTCTTGTTGGATTCTTGCGTCCACACGGAGCAAAGTAGAGTTCCTTGAAACTGGGAGGTAGACAGATGGCTATCAGACCCACTGTTTTCTCGGAGACGACAGGGGATGCCAGGGCCAAAGAGCACAGCTTGTGGTTGCATCTCGATGAATCTGATGTGATCATAAAGCTCAAGGCGTTGTTGCATACCCTCAGAATAGCTTGGTCCTCAGTTTTTGGAGGAAAGTGTTCTATCAGGCCATTCTCTAGGGTCCAATCTGGAGACGACGTTTGATCGGAAGTGGAGGCATGCTTCTCCATCAGAAAAGATACAACATCACTGCGAATCTTTCCGATCCTTAGCAGTTGGGTAATCTGAGGATTGTACCCACTGCTGCTGCGTGTTTCTGTGCCGGTTCTGTCGTGCCCTACTATGCCATCGGGGAACATGGAATGAACCTCCCGGACATCTTCCAAGGAAGCCCCAAAACCAGCAAAAAAGAAGAGAGGGGATTTCGGGTGTACATCCACCACACCCAGACGATTTTGGCAGAGCAGTGGAAATGTCTCTGATGCCAGACAAGGAAATGTACGGAGCACTCTCAGGGCGAATTGGAGCTGGACATGGTCCCAATATCCCAGAGCCCAAAAAGGTGCCGCATTCAATCCCTTGAAGATCTCCTTCAGCTGATTTCTTGCATCGACCAGAGCCTGGGCCTCGTGTGCATTCCTAATAAGAGTGTTGGTGATGGATGTGTTCATAATCATGGATCTGTTCTACTAGTATTGTTCTTTCGTTCTTCCTGTTCGGAAGTTCATCATACGTGCCATCACTTGCATGACAAAAGCTCCATCGCAGTCACGAGTGATCCGTCATCAGAGCAAAAGATCCTTCACAAGCACTGGCTCACGATTGCTTCGAAAGCAATGATCAATGCAGTATCGTATGTTCCGACACCGAGGGTGCAGGACTCGACTCGACTCGACTCCTTTTCTAAATTTGTGTTGCTTGGCCGCCACTTCGGCCTCTACTAGGACAAACAGGCCAGGCCGGATGCCAATCGAACTTCGGTGCTTTTCAGAATCTTTTGAGATCAAGCAAGTTGACCTTTTGTGAGTTGGCTTTGGACGGAACCATCCCTCAGACTTCCGATGATCGTTCCTAAAATGACTCGGTTGCCAAGCTGGTGCTACAGTTGAGGAGCTGTGCGTTTGTAGCTGCCGTGTACCGGTAGTTGCTCGCTTTTTCTTCTACATCTCTTTCGTGGATATTGGCGGCAAAGGATGACAAAAGTTAAAATTCTTGAGGATGTACGGCTGATTCCATTTCAAAGATGTGAACAGTTCAACATCATTCTTTCGCTTATGCTAAACACGCTGATAAAAGGAACAAAGGAACCAACTTACCAAAGGTTCACTAGCTAGAGGATTGTTGGTAATATTCACAAAGCTATGTTGCGTCTGTCAAGAGGTAGAACTGGTTTTTGTTTTGCAATCGTTGGAAGCCTCGGCACCTTCCTCCTGCAGATTGTGGTCTAGAAATTCCAGTAGCTCGGCTATTTCTGCCGGTGCCATGTCGTGGTGTGTGTCGGGAACCAATCGAAAGCTGGCGGGGATACCCATTTGGACCAACCGTTCATGCGTGGCTCGACCCCATTTGACCAGGATAAAATCATCAATGGCTCCATGGGCAATAAAGGTGGGAGGCCAAGACTTGTGCTGCTGCTGCTCTTCCAAGATGGACCACACTTTGGAATCATGATTCAAATAGCAACTCAACCCAAAGACGCCTCCCAGTGGCACAGCGTTGGGCCTGACGTGCCATCGAGCCGCAGTCTGGTAGGCAATGGCTCCACCCATACTGAAACCTCCGATAATCACACGACGGGGATCTCTTCCTTTGGTTTGAATTTGATCATCCATCAAGGCCAATAACCGATCCGTGGATCGTTCAATACTGTCGGTTTGCTCGGGATATTTTGGATCAAAACCACCGACGCGGTCGTACCAGACACTGGTCACCATGCCTCCATTGAGTTTATATGGAATGGGCTGGGCCGTCGGAAAGATCCAGTCCCATTGACGATAGACTTGGGGTGGAACCAAGGATTCAATCCATGCTTGGGCACCTGCACCCGTGTCGCCGGATCCGTGGCAAAAGATAATCAGTGGTTTCTTACTGGCGGCGGAAGAGGACATGGCATTGCGTTGCTGTGACGGATAATGGTACTCAATGTTGCTGCAAGTAACATCCAAAGACAAGCTCGAGGGAATGGCTTGGTCTCTATCATGCCGCTCTTCTAAAGACCCAAGAGCGTACTTTAGCAGAAGCAGGCCGGAGAGAAACAAGGTGTGGCAATGAAATCAAATGTGAAGAAGCTCAACCACCAGCAAGGGCTGGCATCCGTAGATAATTTCCCTAGTAAACCTCGCGACCCAACCAGTTGATTGTTCCAACCAGTTGACTCTTGAGCGGAACCGCGCGAGAATTGGGTAAAATGGCTCGGATGAGGGTAAAATGGCTCAGATGAGGGAACTTTGGTGTCAAGTCTGGAGATCCAAAACTCCCTCATTTTCTTTTCTTCTTTTGGAGCCATCTGAGGAGCTGGTGGAGATACCAGGTACCCCTAGCACATCAACCAATAGAGACACTCCAGCAGAACCTTGAGATAGGGGATACATAATTTGGGCGTTCCGGTCGCAGTGGTGGTAATGGCTTGCCTATTCGGTGGGCATGGGAGTGACAAACGGCCAGCAAAGTAAAAGCAGTATTTCTCGGCAATTTCTCCTTCAACCAACAGGTCCAACAATATCTGTCCCCACTACTAGCCTCATTGGGCCCAGCAAATGGAACCATGGCTTCAGGTAGGCAAACCAATAAGACTGGAATGGCTAGAGCCATTGCTACTACCAGAAGCACCACTAGAATACATGCTGGAGTTGTCTCTTGCTCATTTTTGATTTGTGGTCTCGTCGTCTCTGGTGCTGCCGAATTGGGCTATTCAGATGTGGATCCAACTAGCTTCCAATTGTTTGATTCTCTCTAATGTACCTAATGCATTAATATGTATGGTTGGAGTGATAGTAGAAGGGTGATACAGTCCAAAATAATGGTGAAGCTGAGAACAAGGGAGTTGTCGGAAGAAAAATGAGGCATCCAGTTTGACATAAGATAATGCCTTCTACATGGCTGTTACTACTACAACCAGCACATGGCTGTGACAAGCAAAGAATGTAGACAACTCTAGATAGTTAGTTTGGTGGTGTACATGCCATATTGGTTGAGTTCATCCTGTAGGATTGCAGTGCTTTCTGCATCATCTTTGTGGCTTGTTTGGAGGCAGAATTAGAAAGATATTTCGAATTTTACAAATTTGATTCTCCATTTAGCAAGGAAATTCAAATTTACTTTGTTTATTATCTTTTTCCTGTTATTTCATGCTTTTATACTGGTTGGTTCCGTGCAGTTTGCTGGTGCAAAGTCAGCCTGTACCGAAGTTGAGTCAACTGGTTGGGTCGTGAGCAATCCAAGAGAAGATCGACTTGACGACTTCGATGACTCAGGATCTGTAAAAAAGAAAAAAATCAGGAAACAGAAAATTGAGAACTTGTGCTCACAGTGATCAACGGATGAGTGCAGAAAGCAGATCTCGACAATCCCGACCATCTACTGTATGTATCCATTTAGTATCTGTCTGCTGTCATGAATTACCTTATCGCCATCTTCTTCATTTTCAGTCTAGCATCCCATGTTGTTAGAATCTTGGCAACGACTTCTGGCAGCAAAAAGCAGCTCTACATCCTAAGACATGGTCAGGCTACACACAATCCCAGGGCCGAAGAGGCCAGAGCCAATGGCTGCTCCTATGACGAATTCATGGAACTCATGCGACAAGATGATTCCTTGGACTCGTCACTGACAGACCTGGGAAGAGCACAAGCCAAATTGGTATACGAACAAAGCTTGAAACATCTCGAGGCAAACATCCAATTGGTGGTGAGCAGCCCTTTATCCCGAGCCATTGAGACGGCAGATTTTGTTGTTCCCAGTGTCCAGCAGAGAGTTTGCGTGGAAGACTTTCGAATCATTAGTGGCTGGTTGCTCAATGCCAAACGAAGAACACGATCTGAGTTGCAGCAACTATTCCCTCACTGGAATCTGGATAATTTGCAGACCCAAGAGGATACTCTCTGGACACCAGACCTCGAGACACATGCGGATTGTGCCCAAAGGGGATTCCAGGGTCTCTGCTGGATCATGGAGAGACCCGAAGATTCCATTTTGTTGGTCACTCATGGAGGACTGCTGCGATTCACAATGCAACAGCACAATCGGGTCAAAATGATGGATGGAAGGACCTCCAAACAGGAAGAAAGGGATGTTCAAGCACGGTTTGGAAACTGTGAGCTGCGCCGGTATACGATGGAATGGGAGGCAGAGGAAACAGAGAATGACAACCATTCTACAGAAAAAGCTCAAAGAAGCCTTGTTTTGACAGAGTTGGATACTAATGGAGACAATAGCCAGGAAGCGGCTAGCTAGCTCATTGACAGAGGACTAAGAAACTTGAGAATTTTCTACGCTGGCCAGTAGGCAATTAGCTAGCAAATAGCTAGCTAATTGCTTTGATTGTTTGTTTAGTCATTTGTGAATTCTAACTGGTTTATGATCAATCCGCCCGCTTTTTAGCTATTCAGGCTGCCGAAGGCGCATCCACCACCACATCAAGTCATCAGGCGTTTGTTAGCCATCCGCTTTCTGGTCCACAACTCAAGCAGCAGCTTCTCTGTTTTGGGTCAGGTTTGTTTGCTTTTCTTTCAAAATCAAACAATCCTTCATTCACAGATGAATCCTGCCTGCAGAATCATAGCATCCAAAAGGGAGGCTGACTGTCTGCCATGATTACAGATACCGTAGCAGTCCAAAATGTATCGCTATCAAGAACATTTCCCTCTTACCGTCACCCACCAGCGTATTGCTTGGTCTTTTACCGTCACTCACCAGCATATTGCTCGGTCTTGCTGTTGTCGTGTGGGAGCTATGAATTGTAAGAGTTATTCATCCAAGGCACTGCCAGGATTACTAACCATGGAAGATCTGGCTGTCTGAGCATCCTCTTGAATCTGCATGGATTCTGAGTATTCTTCCTGGTGCTTCGCTTGCTTGTCCAATTGATTGGATTGCCTTGCTTCTGCAATGGCCAAGTTAAGTATTTCCATATCAAATGGTTTTCCCACGTGCTCCTCTAGAACATATATGAGTTGGCCCTTCTTGTCAAAGACTAGGACTCCACCTGCCAACCATCCTTCCGATTTGTGGTTCTCCTTGCTGGATACAATATTTTTCTCATTGAGTCTTCTTCTGGCACCTAGAATTCCCTTGAGAATCGTGAGAATTCCAAACTTTCTCCCTCCCATTGCCTTGTAGAGCTGCCATTTTTCATCCTGGTAGATTGGATAAGAGTGAAAGTAATCCTTGTAGAAATCCAGCAATCCCACATCATCGACTCCTGTTTCCTTGACAGTGGCAGCCAGTGCCAGTTTTCTGTCTTTTGCCGCAAGCTCTACGAGTTGTCTCCCGTGCTCGCGGCACCCGGCTCATCCAGGTTGACGAATGGCAAACAGCATAGTCACATCTGCTTGCTGACTACGCCGTTCATGCTTGATGGCATCCTTCAGGAGGACTGGCTGGCCATGTTTCTTGGTGACAATGTCAAATTGACAATTCAAATCCCACAAGGGCACCTTATACACTTGAGGAATCTGAGCCACGTCAACCTTGTGCTGAAGACTACTAGATCGGATGGACGTAAGAGAAGACCTGGCAGTGCCAACACTAAGGATGCTAGTGGCAGAGCGCTGCGAAGGTCCGCCATGACCTCTTTCTTCTTAAAACTTCTCCTCTCCTTCGTCTTCTTTGGTGGTGTGGCTTCTTCTCATCAGCTTCTTCGGCTTTCAATGACACGAACTAGCAGAATTAGTAGTCTAGAGTGGAAGCTGGAAATGAGGATGATTGATGATGCCTTGAGATCACTTCTTTGGTCGTTCGTGGCCCGTTCCAGCTTGGTATTTCGGCTCGAGATCTCTCCCAGGTCGTCTCTCCCTACATATCGTTGTACGGTACTCAGTAGTGTACGGCATACAGTTCCACGACGGGCTTATATGTGTCTGGAAGATTGACGATTGTGACCCTTGTTCTTGGTTGATCGGTCGCCTTGTCGCCCTCGAGCCTCGAGCACATTCCCCGCCAGTCGACGGAAGTCGATGTATTCCCGCACCGCAGCAGGACGGATCTGTCATAAGCAAGGACAGGGATACATTCGGTACGTTTAGCAAAGCAAAGTGTCAACTCTTTAATTTAATGCGCATCAACGATTTCCGGATTCAGCTTCAAGAAGTAGTACAGACAGGGGACATTGTCGGAGCAGTTGCCCAACACATCCACAAGGACATCTTTCGGAACGAAACCGTAGTCTCGCAAAAGCCGTCGTCGACCCGATGCGTTGAGACGAAGATGATAAGCAATCCGAATCTGCAAGTCCAAAAGACGTTCATCCTCCTCAGCGGTTGTACCAACGTGAACTTCCTCCAGTTCAAAGCAAGGGGACTGTTTCTCCATGATTGCAAGTTGCCGTACTTGCATTCTCAAAGACGTTTTGGCCAGACGGACTCGTTCGAGCACATGATTCTCGTGTTGCACAGGAACAACCACCGTTCCAGCACCGAACAGGCAACTGAAAGCAGCCGGTGGCCAGCACGAGACACTCCCTTAGATGGGTATTTTGAACAAGAGCATCCGCGAGTGCATGGTGCAGGTCCCGTGTGTTTCCATCGCGGTGTTGGAGCGGGACCATTTTGAGCTGTTGGAGTGGTGGATTGCTCGATAGCCACTCCACGAGTGCTTGCTCTCCTGCTTTGTCGATGAAAACTCTATCAAATGACAATCTTCGCAAGCACGGCAGCTTCCCGAGAGCACGGATTGCGTTCTGAAACAACGGACCAGGAGGGAGTTTGAAACCCAACTCCACATCCTCCAGGGACTGAGCAGAATCTACCGATTGCGTGCCAACCGGCAGGTCGACTTCCCCACCCAAGACCAACCGTTTCAAGGAAGGCTAAGGATGCGAGCTCTGAAAGCAACGACAGACCAGGCAAAGGCTCTTTGGAGCCCAGTCTTTTTTGAGAGCAGCCCGTCATTTCAAAGGACTCGAGACAGCTCTAGCTGACGGAAGGATCCATCCCAAGACCCCAACGGGGTCGCCAGGAAGCGGCACCCGTCGAACTTTAGCCTTCGGAGCCGTGCTGATGACTTCAACAGGAGCCTGGTGACGCAGGTTATAGGAAGGCCAGGACAGTCTCCTATAACAATCTCTTCCAGCCCCGGCAAAGACCCAATGACATCGAAAACAAACGAAATCTTTGAATGGTCCCAGAGATCGATTGGATAATCATCGACGGAAGCAATACGAACTTTCTGTGTACCTCTTTGGGAACCCGCCTTCAGATCCTCGATGATTTTATCGGGACGGAACCCTCCCTCAAGGCAAACGAACAATTCGCCGCCTTCAGCTGACTGCTCCGAGGCAGCAGTGGCGGCGTTGTCTTCCGTAGGTTGCGCGCTTGGCCCCTTTGTGGCTTTGCACAGTGCGTTGGCGATATTTGCGTATTTGAGGCCCCGCATAGCTTATCGAGAAAATCCGACCAGCGCATGGATGTTTTCTTTCTCTTTTGTGGTTTTGTGTTTAGTTTGGATTGTGGTGGTGGTTTTGTTTAGTATGATTGTTGTGGCTGTGTTTAGTTTGTGTTTTGTCGGGCACGGTTTGGTTGGCAGTTCCAAATGGCACGTCTGAAGGGGGGTCCTTCGCAAGCGGGAGTAAACCTTTTTTTTTGGGTTTTGTCTTGGCTTTCCCTTGAGCTCAAGAAGGCTGTGTCCCACTAAAGGCCATCGTTGCTGTTCGGAGAGACGGTGCAAGAGAGGCTGGACGGTTGATCCATGGGACGGCAAGTTAGGGCAACTATGATACTATCGGTACCATGGAGAGGGTTTATATATAAGAGAAGTAAGTAAAAGAGAGTTCCGTGTTAGCCCAGCCCATGTGATGATGCAATGGCTACTACCAATACCCGCAATTATGATAAGAGCGGGCTAGCCATGTAAAGCTAGCCATGACTTTTTATACGACTTATTGCACTGTATCCGTGTCCAATTCAGCGGTTGCCTTTGCTTGAAATCATGAAGAGAGACGCTTCCATTGTTAAAATTAATTCTACTGGTGAACCTGCTTTCACAACAAAGTAGCCTCCACTGCAGTATAGCAGTGTTTTTACCAACTTGGAGGAGGATCGTTGTTGTCAAAGTATATACGTATTAGATTATTACTACTGCCGCCTGACTACCCATCCACAGCACACTGCCGGCACAACTTCCCAGCATCTCTTCTTTT